GGCGGTAGAGAGTTTTGGGAGCCCGTCTAAGTAGGTCCAATAGCGTTTGCCACTCACCAGGTTAGAGCGTCGTGAGCTCACCTACTCGTTCTATGAATCTAGTATAACCCATCGAGGTTACAAGAACAGGCAAAAAAAAATTGTTTAAAAAAACAAACAAAATACGTTTTTATAGAAAATCCAACTAAAAAATAGAAAATAAATTTTAATAAATTTGAATTAAAAACAGTGTAAGAAAAAGTGATTTTATAGTAAAGAAGCGTGGGTAGTTGGATTGTCTATAAAAGCGTATTTTGTTTGTTTTTTAAACCCTTATTTATTTTCCATTTTTAGTTGAATTTCAATATTTTCATATATTTTTTTTAATATTGAATTTTCATCGGTTCTTAATAAGTATACCAAATTTCGAGTTAATCCGATGTTTTGAAGGGGGTCAAAATCATGTTCAAAGATTCCCTTACATAAATACGTCTGAAGCTAATAAAAATGTATTAAAAAAGCGTCTGCCGCGTTGCGGTTTCAAGGGTAGGGTTGCGGATATACAAAACAAGTGGGACTTCGATTTTATGTCCCAAGTTAGTATTGAGAATTTTCATTTCAATCTGCTCCAGTAATAGATTAAAATTAGAAGAGACGTATACACTTCGTTAGTGATTCTTATCACCGTTCTTAAATCAAATTCTAGAAGTCCTTTTTTGTTCTTCTTGTCCTTTTGTATCACGTCTGGCTCACCAGTGTTGAGTGATAAGACACGTGTTCAGTTATGCCGAGTTTACATTACGAAATTAGTGTCATGCATGTTGAGCTCAGTTTCACGAAAGTAGTTTCGATATATGCGAAAGTAATTTCGTCAAAAAATTAGTGTCGCGAAATCCACAGTATCGCAGTAACCATGGCGCCATCACCATCAAAGCTAAATTCTATGCTATATGCTATATTCAATGTAGCTAAAGAAATGTTTATATACCTATAAACTTAAAAAAAGACTATCAAGAAAAAAAGGTTGGTAGATTCGAGGATGGTCAACAAGAAGGCATTTAGGTGCAATGAAGTTAGTCTCTGAATTAGCAGATGAAGATCCTGAGAGTTATAAAAACTATTATCGAATGAGTGAATATAATTTTGCTTTTTTACTGTAGGTATTTCGGGTCCCAGAGACACCGTTTTCGCTGATATTCATTAATAAGATCTATATTTTTATCTGTACTCCATCGTTGGTTTGCCATTTTCAACGTTTGAAGCGCGTCCGAACTAACAATACACACGTCCGCACAGCGCAGGCCCTTTCGCGACATTAGTTTCACGTCGCGTTTACACTATGAAATTAGTTGCATGACACTAATTTCACCAAAAAATCGCGCAGGGCACGAAACTAATTTCCATGCATGAAACTAATGCATGCATTACGAAAGTATTAAATTACACGTGAAACTGTTGGTAAAACTAATGTCACGAAATTAATTTCACGCCACTAATTTCGTAATGTAAATTCGGCTTTAAGTGACTAAAGTATATTCGGATTACAACCTAACGTGCTATGGACAGTCCGACAATCGCGAGACTGACGTAGCTTCACTGCAATTTAATTATTGCTAACACATACATATGTTTTACTTCTTGTGAGTCCGCGCGGGTGGGTACCACCACCCTGCCTATTTCTGCCGTGAAGCAGTAATGCGTTTCGGTTTGAAGGGTGGGGCAGCCGTTGTAACTATACTTGAGACCTTAGAACTTATATCTCAAGGTGGGTAGCGCATTTACGTTGTGGATGTCTGTGGGCTCCAATAACCACTTAACACCAGGTGGGCTGTAAGCTCGTCCAACCATCTAAGCGGTGAAAAAAAACATATTAATGCTATGGGAACATTTGTGGTTCTACACCCTTATCCCATATTATATGGAGTCGACGCAGAACCTTATCATGCTGCATGATTGGCACGAGTCTTATGACCGACCGTCTGTCTTACGTCAACCTTTCTTGGATGATACCACTAGTATATCCACTGCAACTTGCCTACCGTACAGTAGACTATGTATAGTGAACTATAGAACAATAGTATATAAGTACAGGGAGAAAATGATTCGAAAAATCACTGTTTTATGTTCTACTAACTACTACTTTCGAAGTCGTCGTGGCCTAAAGGATAAGACGTCCGGTGCATTCGTATCTAGCGATGCACTGATGTTCGAATCCCGCAGGCGGGTACCAATTTTTCTAATGAAATACGTACTTAAAAAATGTTCACGATTGACTTCCACGGTGAAGGAATAACATCGTGTAATATAAATCAAAACCCGCAAAATTATAATTTGCGTAATCACTGGTGGTAGGACCTCTTGTGAGTCCGCACGGGTAGGTACCACCACCCCGCCTATTTCTGTCGTGAAGCAGTAATGCGTTTCGGTTTGAAGAGTGGGGTAGCCGTTGTAACTATACTGAGACCTTAGAACTTATATCTCAAGGTGGGTGGCGCATTTACATTGTAGATGTCTATGGGCTCCAGTAACCACTTAACACCAGGTGGGCTGTGAGCTCGTCCACCCATCTAAGCAATAAAAAAAAAAACAAAAAAAAAACGCGGCCCGCTCCGGCTTCGCTCGGGACTTTAACAAAAAATTTCAAAATAAAAAATTATATTATACACACGTTGACCCTTATATTATTTGCGTCAGGTTTCTAAAAATAGAAAATTATAACTATAGTTTGAATATTATTATTTTAATAAACTTTTATTTTCATTTAAATAATATTTGTTTTTAATTATCTCTAACTCTAAATCTTTCCTCTTTAAAACATTAGTATAGATTGCTCTTATTAATGTTTCTTCTTTTGGTGTCTCTTTTCGTCACGGAATAGATAAATCTTTTCGTCAACTTCAAGACGTCCTATCGACTTAAATTCTGCTCATCTATCAAGGATTAACGGCAGGACAAACATTTTATTACTTTGCCCTAATATCCTGACCAGGATCATTGGCGAAAAAATCCCGAATTTGTTTTTTGGTACGGGCTTTTATTAAAAAAAATGTTTTATTTTTGTATTTATATTATACCTTTTAAGTGGGTTCTGAATTAGACGAGGTTATATCGTTTCATTGATTGAGTGATTAGCTACTGTATCATGGAAGACTTGTACACCAAGGTACGGGTTCGATATAACCCATCCAAAACCTAAGAACAAAATAATTTGGATCTTCCAGCTTTAAACTTTAAGCTGCTATTCGTTTAACAGTCCGACTCTCAACAAAATAAATGTTGTCTTAGTTAAAATAAGAGTTACCACCTACCATCAGCCGAGCAATTAACACGAAACAAAAAAAAAAAAACTTTTGCTTTCAATTTACGAAAATTAACAAGAAAAAAAAAAGTGAAAACATGTCAATGACACCGTCAAATATTTGCATAGCGCGGTGTTGCAGGCGAACTGTTGTGTCGCGGTAATGTGCGAAGTGCGGTTATTAGCACAAGGTCGAATTTGCTACTTGAATGTTTGTCAATATTTAAAATGTCGGATTATTGATGATAGTACTTTTGTATGTTTATGTTTCAAAAAAAAAACCGTTTTGATTTTAGAACGTCTCGTTTTTAATTCATGCAAATTAGCAGACGTGCTGAGGACTCCTCTCTGCGTAAGTGGTTACCATTCATCCGCAAAACAACATTGCGTCGTGGTAAAGATATTTCAAGCTATCCATCATAATACGTTGTATATTAATGAAAGTTTTTTTATTTTTATTTTTTATTGCATTGACGGGTGGACGAGCTCACGACCCATATGATATTAAGTTGTTATCAAAGCCCATAGACATTTACAACGTAAATGCCGCCGCCCACCTTGAGATATGAGTTCTAACCTCTCAGTATAGTTACAACGGCTGCCCCGCCCTTCAAACTGAAACGCATTACTACTTCACCGCAGAAATAAGCAGGGTGGTGGTACCTACCCGTGTGGATTCACAAGACGTCCTATCACCAGTTTCATTATCTACCCAGCCTTGATCCCCCTATGCTATGATTGACCTTCTTTTTTATATGAGGAGCTAGTCTCCTCCCGGTGATGGTCACGGGGCGACCTAAGGGCCTGGCCACAGCTACTGGCGGTGCGTTTTGCGGTGCGTTGCGAGGCGCGGCGGGCGGTGTGATTTGCCGGGGTATGCCACAGCTAGACTAGTTGCGACGGCGGCGGCGTCAGAGGTGGACGTATTTAGAAAGCCCTATCAAATTTCCCTATCATAAGTGGCACGATATTACCTTAAAATAAGTGAGTTCTTAGCTGAAGATATTATTCAATCAAGAATAGGAGCGCACCCAGTTAGAAAAGGAGAGAACTTGGCGAATTTCACACTATTTATTATTATATTAGGAATATTAGGAATATAAGAACTATCCCGATAAATAGATTATTAATAGAAAATAGATTCAACCTTCACAGAGATTACCAGGTTCAAATCTCAATTTGCCATTCGTGTTAATTGCCGATAAAGCCTATCCTTTTAAAAATTATTTGATGCGCCCATATCCACCAGGTGGTTTTAATGCGGAACAAATAATTTTCGACAAAACATTATCCCGGGCAAGTGTCACAATTCAGTACGCGTAAGGGGGTTGAGACTGCGCCGCACGCTGCCGTCACACTAGCGCGCTGGTACCAGAAGGACGGGACGGCGCGTCGGCGACTGCGGACTGCGATGCGGTCCGCATTGTCGTCGCCGAACATACTGTGGAAGAGCAACCCGGTCNATATATAATTATCACTTTTAATAAATGAAAACAATTAATGTTTGGTGTTTTGTTATTTTTAAACAACATTCCCTCATCGTTCCAGGCCTTTTTCACTCATATTCCACATCCTTATACACTTCCAATAAGTTAGTAATTTTTTTTCTACACTAGAAATTCTCTAGAAATCTTATATATGGCAAGACAACGTTTGCCGGGTCAGCTAGTAATAAGTAAATATAATATAAAATTCACGTTCATAATAAAACATTTAAAAATAAAATGTGTATGATTATGTAATATTTTATTGTTGATAATTTATAAAGATTTTCTACTGAACAATAAATATTAATTACGTTTAAAAAGTTTCATTTCTCCAATAGTTATTCAATGAATATATTAGTACTACCCACATTCTGAATACAGGAACAATACTTAGACTTATGAATGATCAATTTTCGAAGTTCATCACCGAGATAAATCATATCTCAAGAAAACTTTTTCTTCATTGTGATCGCTACTTAGAAAAATGTTTATCATAAACTTTTATATTATCGAATATAATATACTTTAAAAAACAGAAATCGCCCTTTTTTCTGAATTTTAACTCACATTCTGACACTGACATTGTCACACAATATACTTTTCAATATTTTTAGACTACTACCTACATAAACTACAAACAGTCAAACTGAAATCGATTTTTATTCTCAATAGATATAATTCAACTCAAGACTTCAGGAAACACATTATAATTTTTTCCCGTTTTTTTTAAATGTTTTCTTTAAATACACTTCTTTAATATATACGTATAGATGTATTTTCATTTGATCATTATCTGGGCATCTAGTGTACTACACTATGTATTCTGTAAAAGACATCAAGTTAGCATATGAACTTGTGCTTGAAGATTTTAAATTCTTGACTGTAATGTGTAGTTGAAAGAAGTTACATGTAAATGGAAATCCAAAACCTACTACATTAATATACAAGAAATTTAGAGTAAAATATTTTAAAATACGACAGATTAAGAAGTGTTCTTTGTTTGTATCTGACATCCCAGTAAACCCGGCTTAGCCCAGGGTTTTGGCACAAGCTCGAAGGTTAGGTCAGCATTTTCCCTCCTAACAATAACTGTGATGCCATAATTGATAGAGTGTGACACAATTCTCATAATCTGCGAGACATCTTTGAAGTTCTTGTAGTTTACTGAACCAAATTGGACCAGTTCATCGTGAGCACGAAGACCCTGGAATCGAAAATAATATTTCATTTAAAAAACCATTTTAATATATTGAATCCAAAATTTTATAGTAAATCATTATATTCCAGTGAAATCTTTTTTCGAAGATTCATATGTTGTTGATATAATCTAATTCAAACTATTTTAGTGATTCAGTTTCATTTGATAGTGAACTATGATCACAGCATAACACCCGGCCATCGTCCTGGTCGAACCCATCGCTTGCGACGAAGGGCTCGACGAGTAAATTAACCCTCAGACACAGCCCACTGAGTTTCTCGCCGGATCTTCTCAGTGGGTCGCGTTTCCGATCGAATGGTAGATTCTGCAAAGCACGGCTCGTGCTAGGGTTCGTGTTAGCAACGTCATCAGGTTTGAACCCCGTGAGCTTACCTACTAGTTAAGGCTACGCTGATATAGCCTCTCAAGGTTATCAGCTTAGGTAGGAAATAAAAAATCGTAACACAACTAAAACTTACTTTGACACAAAAGCGAAGTTCCTTTAGACACACTACAACTATATGCATTATATGACCATTCTACATAGATGTCTATTATTGTATAAGTCTCACTCAACCAATTTATCCACACGACATAAGGGCAGTACACAGCATTCGCATTTTAATCAAAGAGAACAGTTAATAAAAAATATGGGACTTTATAAATGTTAAAAAAATTAAGGAACAAATTAATGAAAAAAAAAAAAAACTACTCACAGCTTCTTCAGCCGGTGAACCTTTATCCACAAAACTGATAGTAGCAAAAGTTGGATCATTGACAGTCTCATCCTTCTTAAATACTGGATAGCCATTTAAGCATGAGTTTATCTCTTCACTGTCGATACCTGGACTGTCAATTAAATCTTCGTAAACTTTAGCAATACCTCTCTCGATCAATTGCATTACTTTCTTGTGATCATTTTGTAGGCCTGAAATACAGTGCTATTAATCATAATGTTTAAATTACTAGTTATGGGCTGGTATGTTTTGAAGACATAACTGAAGTTGAAAATTAAAAAAATCAAAACCTCTGATATAATCCAAATGAAAATCATAGAGAGATTAAAACTTAAAAGAAGTTTTAATTATAATGTGATACATTTTCTATATTACACGTAATCATGGGAATACATTGTTGGCAAGTCAGGTTTTTCTCACATAGGTTGTGATCCACTGATTTGAAAGAATTGTAACAATTTGAAATATATGGGTTTCGGATAATTGACTTTAGCAGTCTACTCAAGATTAAATAGGGTGAAAATCAGTCTTAAAAAATTTCTAATTCAATGAGGAGATTCTGCTGAATCTCATCCTTGCTTCCTTGCTAGGCACCACTCTTGCTACTACAGATGTTTACAAAGTTTGTATGGCTCAGCCCCATAAGCTACCAGTCCAACTAAGTCAGAATAGCACTCAAAGAAAAAATATAATTCTAATTTTGTTTGTTGAATTCATGTCACTAACCAGTTAAATAGTTTTAGAATTGTGCTATTTAAGTTATAAAATCATTAAATGAAAGTTGTGAATGAAAGTTCACTAAGGTGTTGTGATCTTCAGGCACCTCATCTCAGAATTAATCAACAAGTTTAAAGACCGTATAAAATTATGTGGTTGAAATTGTTGAATGAAATGTTTGACTAGCACACATTTAAATAAATTAATTTAACTAAAAATATAAAAATAAATAAATAATAAAGCTACAGAGTGTCACGATCCTCAGCAATGAGGGACCGATTGAATAGACAAAGAGCACACATTTTTTGTTTTGGGCAATACTGTTAAAAAACAAAAATGTTTAGTCATTCATCAAAATATCATACTTACAAATTATCTTGTGACGCGCGTGTCTCACTTCATATACGTCTATGTCATCACGAGGGTATCCTAGCGCATCAACTAAAGAACCCTTTAAGCCAACATTGTTGGACGCTAATACGGCGTAATGACCACGAATCAAATGTTCGATTCTATCTTTTTCTTCCATTAGCTTCATCACGAATTCTCTTGTAGCTGGGTCTATTTTGTAATTAACCATTTTCGCTTGTAATCTTCAATTCACCGAAGCTTTCGACAGCAGATTTGCTGAAAAATCAATAATGTTGGATGGGTACAACTACTGCAACTGCAAATTTACTGACCTAATTAGGTGTATTGATTTTTGTTTTGAAAATGCACTGCAAAAATATGAAATGTATCTATGATGCACTGGTACATAGATAATTATGCAGTTTTTTTAAGGGATTCTATGACCTGGTAATTAATACTTTTAGGTCATGTCTTATATCGACGCTTGAAAGGCAAACGTGACTAAGCGACAATAACTGCTTTATACATAAATGATAGGCAATAACTATATTCGATCCGCAAAAAAATAATATTTCTAGTTCTATAAAATAAATTTCAAACCTACAGCTAGATTCGTTAAAATATAATTTTTTTCAGGTATTTCAACTTTAAATTAGTCTACTGTAAAGTACGCGCATTGTCGCTTAGTCACGTTTGCCTTTCAAGCGTCGATATATTCTTCTTTTAATGAAAAATGATATGGAGTGAAATGAAATGAAGATGATTAATTTGAGACATTAATCAACCGGGATATAATTGAGTGAAATGAGATGAGATGATATTATATGGGATGAAATATAATCTTAGTAAAATGGTGGTCATTTACTGAAATTTTTTCAGTGGACTTTTTGGAGGATCCCGAGAAGTTAAGTCCAGTGGCTTTGTTGCATTTTGTCACATTTGTAAACTTTCAAAGATATTAAAAACTTAATAAATCACTGTATTATACATTTAAACCCGAGGAAACACTAAATAGCCAAAATAAAACAAATCACACAACTTCACTCCTCGCGTTCCCGCCAAAAAGTCTGATGCAGTATACTATGTACATATAGGTATGGTATGTAGTACAGTCTAACCTTTTCTCCCTGGGTACTGACAAGTGCGCATGCACGTTAGTTTCTACGTCTGCTTTCACGCACCTAAAATTCTCCGCCATTGTTGTGCTCGGGTAATTTGCAATATTGTGTTTAGTGTAAAAGGGAAATAAACAAAAGGCAATAAAATTTAATAGTGAAGTATTAAACAAAGCTGAGTTCATCAGACAATTCTTATTCAATTAGTAGAAGTTTATTTAAAAATTTAAAAACAGTTAAATCGTTTTTTTTTATGCCCCAAACCCCCACCAGGACTTCGCCCCATGACCCCGGATCGGTACTCCACGGGTGCTAAGTTTTTTACAATGTCGAACTTTCAGCCTTGTAGGAGAAAAAATAGTATGTGCACCGCGGGAAAAAAGTAGGACATCTCATCCCGCGTGTTTTTTTACACGCGGGAGGAAATGTCCAACTTTTCTCCCTTGGTGCACAATGTACTATTTCATGTCAACTATAACGCTGACCTCTATTTCAACAGGCCAATAAAGGTAAATAATAATGAAAAGCATTAATGCTTAATAACTTATTTTGACGTGTGATAACGTCTTAATCGATGAACACCGGCTGTACGCATGACAAAGCGTTGACCGCCTGAGGCTGTGCATGCAAGCGAGAGCGCGGAACAAGCCTTAGAGAGTCGTGATCGGTCCAAGCGTTGACTTGTGAAACATGTAGCTCTCTTCTCTCGTGACGTCAGAGCTAACAGTTCGAATAGTTCTACTACTGACGTTATCGCGTAAAACTATCGTAAACCGACTTTACAGACAAATAATTATTCTAATTATGTCCAACGGCAAATACTTTTAGCAAAATAAAGAACAAACCTTTAAGATTACCATACAAAATTAACTGATCATTTTAATTTACGCACTGTAAGTGAGCAGTGATAACGGTAGACTGAACGAAAAATAATATCCCCTTAAGGGTCTAAAAATGAGTCTTCATTTTTTAAATATGTTCATAACACAGTTGACCGTGTGGTATCGGTGTCGGGAAAGAATAACACTACCCTTCTACGGTGTCGTAAAATGTGACTAAGGGATTTTTCAGGCACAGAAGCGCTTTCCACTATACTTCGATAGCCAACCCACATGCCAAGTGTGGGGTATATGGCGAACCTTCAGAATCCATCTGACGGTGGACGTATTTGGGCTAATGGTTTTACTAAAGCAGATTACTAAAGCAGGAGTGAAAAAGAGGCAAACGAACCAATTTTAACACTGATTGTGATAATTCGAAATTATTCTCCCCGAACACATTGGAGTATTAAGGGCACCTGTGGTACCCTTTAAGCGGACTCTAGCACCTACGTTCCCCTAAAGTTCTCATTTGTAGGTCCGTAAAATGAGATTCATAAGCAAAGCGTTGACACCTTTGGTCTACTTTTTTTAATTAATTTAATTTAATTTAATTGTGACCTGGTAATAAGACCTTTAAGCAAAGTCTTACATTTTCGTAAATTCTGTTGTATTAGCTGAAGTGGAATTAAAATGAAGTTAATTAATTTGAAACTTTAATCAATTTGAATGAAATTATGTAAAACGTGATGAAATGCTAAACAGTTAATAAGCCATCGCTATTTTACATTTAAACTATAAATAAACAGAATAAAACAATTTTCAAACTTTACTCCCGGTGTTCCCACTAAAGTAGGTATTCCCCTTTTACCTAAGGCTCTGTACCTGAGCCTTTTATTTCACAGCAAACGATTATACATTCACAGGAAATTATTAATGAAAAAAAAAAACAAACACGAGCCAAGATAATTGTTATTCTTTATTTGATATTGAAATCAATATTATGAGATTTATTATATTTTAAAACAGTAGCTTTTCACGATCGTTATTTTATACAAAAAAAATATAAGCTTTCATAAATGATTTGCTCCGTTTTTATATTATAAAAACAACATTCGATTTAAACGAAATGACCAGATTAAGTTTTTTTTAAATTTTATTTCTAAAAGTTTTATTACAGAGTCCGATTATAATCAACAGATATATACTTAAGTGACGGTTAACATTATAAATGAGAAAGATTACATAATATTAAAGCGCTTGTTTAACAATGTGAATGGTTAGCTTTTTTTTTAATTTTACAGTAGTCGTTTCCCGACGTACTTTGCTAGCCATTTTATTAATGCGAATTTCGACACGATTGGCGTGATCGTGCCTGATGTCTAAAAGTATGGACTCCGTTGATTGTGCCAGAAACGCAATAGAACATACAAAATAATGTACACATTCAAGATAACTTTAATTCTTAAATTAAAGAAAACAAGAAAAAGAATTTAATGAAAATGATGGGAAACATGATTGTGTATTACGCAAAAATGTAAAATATTCATAAATAAATTCTATTATATCACCTTAACGTATCGCCGATAATATTTTTAATAGGATCATTCCGAATACGTAATCTGGCGTTATCACGAAATCGAAAGGGATCCAAAAAAAAAACATTCACCGGCAATAACCTAGAGTCTCAATTAACAAAATGGTCCCTAAAGAAAATTATTCCACAAAAAAAAAATAGTTTCAAGAAATCACACTTTCCTTCTCGTCTCCTTCACACCGAGACTTATACGTATCATAAAACATACACTAACAATTATGGCAACGTCGACAATAAATAAGAGACAAAGGGGAATTATACAAATCGACATAATAAGGTATATAAAAAAAAAACATTGTATGAACATAGAAAATAAAAAACAGCACAAAATAATTATTAGAACATTGAAATGATCCTGCAGTGCAACATTTGCATGTTCAGTAGAAAAAAATATGTATACAAGGCAACGAGTGCAGACTTCAAGTTTTACTACTAACTTCTATTACTTCTTAACTAAAAAGCCGCATCCGCGCGTCTTCCTTCGTTTTTTTTTAATTTTTTTTTTTAATTAAGCTTGGCTTAATCGGCGAATCGGTTAATAAATGTTAGTATAATTTTAATACAAATATATCATAATCGGCACTTGTTGCTATGCCGATGCCAGCCGCTCTGTTCTCGCACAAAGCCAATTAATATTAAACTAATATCGGTTTGAAGTTTCTTAGTGAGCGGCTCAAAAGCGTCAAAGCGACTTGCATTGCATAGATTACATCTGTCATCTGTCATTTCTCAGTCGCGTGTGTCGATGAGTTGTTTGTTTACGTTCGTTTACAATCGGAATGGTTCGCGTTTCTCTGTGGTTTTGGGCGTGGCGGGGGCGCGGCGGGCGGCGGGCGTCGCCGGCGTGCCGGACTCCGACGCGTCCGACGGCTTCCGCAGTAGACGAGACACCGCGGTCTGCTGTCCCGACCGTACCGGCGTCGTGCTGCCCGACGGCGTCCTTTGTCTGTTCACGATAAATCATTTCAAATTCACGTTTCATCAAATTAAGATAGACCCATGCAAACACTACATAACATAAAAAAACCAAACCAACACAATCACTACGGCCAATGTATGTGATTTCTATGTCCTGAAACTTTTGTCGCTCGAAATGTAATAGTAACTACCTCTAGAAAGATAAAACACAAAATTGCAAGTCACCTCCGACGGTGACTAGAAATTAAACACTTTAAAATTTTATTATCGCACTATGACAGATTATGTTGTAAAATTAAAATTGATGGTGTTAATAATTATTCATGCAACATCACTGCCATCTATGAATTTTTTTGACATTGGTAAATTCAACTAACTCAGCGGACAATTTAAATTTAAAAAAAAAAGATTAAATGGGACTTGACAATTATACCTTTTGATGTTAAGTGCTTTAGGATAAATTCCATTGTAAATCAATGAGAACACAACTATTTTTGTTTTCATTTATAAAATTAACTTAAAATTAAATCAAACTCCGAAAATTGTTAGACTTTCATGACAAATGATTCATCTGTTTTCGTTACATTCGGGCGGTACAAAAAGCACTACAACATTACCTATTCAGAGTACTGTTAGTATGTTGATCCTTAAGGACTGGGATGCGACTTCGTCCTGGCGTTTGTAGATCGTTCGAAGTAAAAGACCCACTCCTATGATTGTTAGCGAGCAGACAGACACAGAATATTAGTAACAAGACGACAGATTAATACAAAGATTAAATGAGGCCTATTAAAATCAAAGACAGCTAAATCCAAGTCTGTCAAATGTTCAGGTAAACTACAAAAATCGGCCCTAAACACGTCATTACGGATCCTCCCGATCCATCGAAGTACTGCTCTTGCTAGGGCCAGTGTTAGTAACACTGCCGGTTTGAGAAGTTGAAATAACTGTTCGGGTAGCTACGATATTATTTATTTTAAAGCAGATTTATAAAGAATGAGAATATTACTAATAATCTGAATTTTAAATGATAAAACTTCGTTCATTAGTACTTAGTACAGAGTTAAAATAAAATTTTTGAACTGAATTTGTAAGAGATTTAGCTGCATTTGTAATAACATGAAAACATTAAGGCGTTTAGCTGCCTTTGATTTAATAGGCCTCAAATATCTGTTTGTTGCAGATGTTATTAATTCAATTACAATAATCTTCATAGGAAAAGTGGTAAATTTCTACATCGGTATTAAGAAACAATAAACAATAAATTACAATGTATAACTCAAATAGCATTTGCAACATTAAGGCAGATATAACAAACATACATAAACAATAATAAGTGATGGTTTATTACCGACGTATCGAGATATTTACGATTTTAATTATTGAGAATGGAAATGCACATTTCAAACCTCCAATATATTGTAAAAAATAAATACATGTTTTGTTTTAAAGATTTTTTTATGTATTTCTTATAATTATTGGTCGTACTACTCGATACATCGTAATAAACATAAGCTTCACACAGTTGTGCTGTCAGATCAGTATCGACTGACAGGAGTGTTAATGGAAGAATAATTAGTTTAAAAGCGTGTAGGTGATTTGGTTTTCTAGCATAGCGTTGATACATGTGATATAGGTTAGGTTTATTAGAGTAATCTCATGTGTGAGGCATAAAATTTAATGTTATTCTAAGCTTTCCGTTCCCTTTAAAACTTCATTTAAAAATTGACATCAGGCAAAGCGGTTCTTGATGTGTTGATGTGAAATGATTTGGTGCATGATTTCAAGACATAATACATGTGGTACGGTGAATGTAACGATGGACGGAGCCTTGCAGTTTTTTTTTTTGGATGACAATGACAGTTGACAATTATAGTGATAATCAAAACTCATGTTTTTACAGAACAGCAGTCCAAATATCGAGCAAAACTGAAGCTTGCATTCTACTGGCTTGTACCATTTGGTGCCACGTTGAGTCGGCTTAGACGCTTCGCCGCTAGACTCGCTCATATTACTTTCGTATTCATTGTCACTCGTCATTCCAGATATGCTGAACAATGATGAGTCGTCTTCGGGACTCCTCTGCTCGGACTTCCTGGAGGGATCGAGGGAGGTAGGACTGGGCTCTTGAGAATTCTCACGGGAATTAGATTTTCTGGACAGTTTTAAACGTCTCTCGACTGAGGGAGTTCTCTGAGATCGATTGCCAACGTAAACAGGGATCTTGGTCGACCCCTGAGTTTGGAATGCGGGATGATTGTGGGACAGTGACTTGGGATGTTCAGATGCCATGGAAGATGGCTGGGAATGCGTCGGGCTGTATTATATCCAATCCATTTTCGTATCGCATGGGGGAAGAAAAAATACATTAAGTCAACGTATGTATCCAGATTTCATATTGTAATATTAGTAAGAAACGAACATAACTCTGAGGTGAGTGTTAGGTATAGTAAAGACATGCTCTGTTTTCAATAGTTTCATTGGCGCACCCACCACCCGTGAATAGGCATTTGTCATTTCTTTGTTTAAACGATATGAATTACGGATATCTTCGAAATCGCATGATATTAAAGTGCTTCTCATGTCTCTCTCTGAAAGCGAAACGGCCCAAACGACACAACATTTCCCCGAAAACCTTCGTAAAGCAGACGTGCTTCTCCAACGCTATGTATCTTAAACATTACAACCGAAATTTATTTTATCTTAATCTTTTGTCTCTGTAAGGTTAATTTATGAAAACAGATATACATTTTTATTTATAATCGAAAAAATATATTACTTTTCAGAACTACTGTATTTAAAACAAAACAAAAAAAAAAATTGGTTAGATCAATTCTTATGAGAATAAAGATTAATTTTCTTTCGCTCCAAAACGCTTGACATTGACAAGTCATTAAATGTCTGTCATACTTAAAGAAAAAAACCTTTATTAACATGGCGGACGTTGACGTAACAAATTATCCAGACAACACAAACATAAAAAAATATATTGAAGAGACAAAAGACCAACAAGACGAATTCACACGGAAGCTTTAAATTGCGGCCATAAAGATACACGTATATACAAAACAGTGCGTCAAACTCATTGTGTACCTCGCTAGGGGCGGCACGACCATCAGTGTCGGTATACTTGAGGTGCGATACATCCCTCCGCTAGAATACCTGTTCGGGCCCATCAGTTCCATCAAGTATAAATAACATAATACTTAACACATCTATAAACAGTCGCCTATTTTTTTTTGTCAACCTATTTGCTTTTTTTTATTTAGTAACAACTAAAGAGCTCAGTGTTATCAACAACAAAAAATATCGTTTTTTTAATATAATGACAAAACAAAAGAGAAATTGTGATATATAATATAACTCGAAATAACTGAGCGAACACCAGTTTTGTGTTGACAATTACGATTTTTTTTCCTGCTTTAAAAACGAACGAAAAAATTGTTTTTTTTTGTAATAATTTGATAGGCACCTTAGAAAATGTTGCTTGATATTAAAAAAAAACTACCTATTGCTAGTACCCTCGAGGGGTTATGGTAGTTTTACTGGACGTTTGCTTGATAAATAAAGATCAAACTTTGTATAGCTCACCTTCCACTAGCCGGCGTCAGGTAACCGGTGGGCGTCCTCGGACGGGAGCCGTTCGGTGTGCTAACCCCAAGCTTGCTTGCATTGGCGGCAGCACGCGCGATCGAAGTCTTCGTATTCGTGACTTTCCTCATGGGAATGCGGGACGGCGTTGTCGCATCGTCTATAGAAAAAAAAACTTGTTATATCACAATTCGACCATTGGAGCCGCGTACATAACCCAGCGGTGTAAAGTCCGAATCCCATTGTGCAAAAATGGCCACGCTGTATGTAGTCAAGGGTATATATACAGGGTGTCGCAAGTGATGACGATAACCAGCATAGGGTTGAGGGTCCTCTTATGATGAAACAGTAAAAAAATCAGCGTTATACACAGTAATCAATACCCTAGTGTCATTTGATTACTAAATATTCTATACTAGCGGGAGCGAACATTTTCGACATTGTTTAGATTGTTTCGACATTGTTGTTTATAAGTTTTTAAATTGTTTTGGCTGTATTATAGAATTCATGCTAAAAATGCCCTGTACAAACCTGTACTATCCAAGGATAAATTCGATCCATGTCTCGAAGGGGGTTTTGATCCTGCCCTCGATCCAGCTCGAGAACCGGGTCGAGATGTTCCCGGTGTCAAAGTGGACCTGTTTGATTTGAAAAATAAAAGGCAATTTCATTTCTGGTGTCCTTCGTAAAATGTTCAACTATGACCGAATACAAACCTTGGAACGCTGGGCTTCCTGTATCTTGTTCCAAGTCCGCTCGCCGCTTCGTTATCACTGAGCGAGTCTGGTGTTCCTGCGCTCAACGAAGATCTGGAAGCGCGACCGGCCGCTCCCGCTCCAGCGGACATAGGCACCGATCGAGCTGTTCTTTCCCTCACCTGTATCATAATACAATCATTACGTATTATCTTCTACTCCCGTTAAAACGGCAAAATCAAAATAAAAAACAGCCCGAAAATTTAGGATGATGAAGATTTACTGTTATTATCAACTAACGTAGATATTATAGTAAGTTATCTTGGGTATGATATGAATGAAAGCAATGTCAAACGGAACACCATTATTACGAATCGATAGGTATTGCATGCTAACTAAATCACTTCACAAACGATACTCCTATGTATCTGTTACTACAACAAAACAAAAGACATCCCACACAAAATAAAAATAAAAAAAACATCGAAACCTAGTTATTGACTTGTTAGTGAACGACGGATCTAAATCAATCATTTCACTTCCATGTAACTAAATCATTACCCAATGGTATCCTGGAGATGGTTGGTATCCGTGATGGTGTGTATAATGATGGGCACCCGGCGTCGTGGAGCCCTGAGATCTTGAATGGCCGTAAATGAACGCCTGCTTTGTGCCATGTGTAGAACCGACGTGAAGTGGATATGAGCACGGGAGCTCTTCCCGCTGTCTCAAAGCCTCAAATATAGGCCTCAACTGCTCCATAAATTCTTCAGCTAAACGTACCAATGCAAAACCGGGAAGCTCATTAAGGACAGCGAATATCTCCGTAACGAAAAAAACTCAAGGTTTTTTTTTCCCTTTCATAGTGCCAATCGTTTTCTCCGGAACGCGCGCGAAAACTGGTCATTTTATTATTTGTCCACACGAAAAACAACGGTACGCGATTTGTTTTATGAATTACGAAGGACGGGAGGATCTTTGGGATGGGATGGCTTATACTGTACCGTCTGTAGGCCATATTGTGCAACCTCTCCAATGCAGTGGTTCAATGGAAACTAACAAACAACACCAAGAACTACACGAGCCTGTGCTTCGATGCAATAGCATGACCACAACAATGCAATACGACAAAACGCTACGAGCTCAACACATGCGTACTCACGACAAATAAATCTCCTATGTGAACAGCGTTATCCACATACAAGTGCATAAAAAATAAAAAACAAAGCAAAAACTTAAAAACCCAAACCGATTGCTCCCTCCAACAACTACGGTGCGCTCTATGGTACTGGTGCGGTCTTAGAAACTAATTGCTATCCTGTAGGGGAACAAAAAAAATGGGCGGAATATATGTATATATAAAAAAAAACTGGCGTTTATATTACTTACCTTCGTGATGGGTCCGGTTGATGGAGGAGTATTTGTGTTAGAGCGAGGCGTACGCGGCCTGAACGCTGCCATGCTCTGGGATACACCGTCAGCCAAAATAAACTGTTCCCGCAGTTCGATGTTGGTGCGTCCCTTGGCTGCATGCGGCGGCGTCCGGTGCGTAGATTTGCAAAGGGGGCAGGACGGAGTAGGATTAAAGAAAACCGTTAGGTAAAAGGAGAACAGGAACGAACACCAAAGTGTTGAATTACGGGACAGCGTGCAGCGGTAAAGGAGAAAAGAAAAAAAACAACAAAAAAAATCAGAAAACATCAAACATAAACAAACAAAAAGGGGGAGTCCACAATTAAGTGCAGTTAGGAATAGGAATTGTAAAGTACAATTAGTATATTCTCTCACCAAAACTATGCTTTTATATAAAGCAAAGGCAATTTCTTTTAAATGTACGTTATTAAACTTTATATACAAATACCACACACTATCAAAGCATCGTTTGTTCAAAATGATAGTTTTTCATTTACATAAAACTGTTCACACTAACATATCAAAAAGGGGACTGTATGTTCTGTATGCCTTTGCTTCATATGTATTGCGTAATTAGTAACTATTTATACAAATGTAAAAAAAATCTATGCAAATAAACTCCATCATCATGCCAGTTAAGCCACCATTAAGCAGATTACTCATAAAATATTTGTATTTCCCTTTAATATTGTAATGAAAATTTAATATATTAAACTGTTGTCCAAGTTTAGTTTATCTACATATTGATAGTTCTGATACATAATATAATACAGGCTATTTATACGATGGCACCAAACATGTATAATTGCATAAATTCAAAGAGTAGCATAAACTTCATTCATATTGCAAAAAAAGCCACACCAAAATATAGCGCTCTGTATCGGAACCATTTTTTTTTATTTGTAATTACTAGCGTATGTTATAAGTTTTTTTTTTATAAACTAGGTACCGATACAGATCGTATTTCGTACCGAGCGGGCAACAAGCTTCATGCTGCTCTGGCTTGCTCGGATCAGGCAACGGTAGCACTAATGACACTACTTTATGTAAGGGAGGTTTCATAGGAATAACCGAAAATAATTAAACAAATTTTCAAAAGGGTCAAAGGATAAAGGTTGGACAAAGCAAATACGAATTAGTAAATTAGTAGCAACATTAAATTTATAATCGTGAACGCAATGCTTACTTTAGCCGAACTAGCTTTTGTTTCATAGTTGCAATGTAATGAAGAAAAGTGAATTCACAAGTGGTGAAACAAGTGGGTAAACAATGAAATATTACAGTTTCCTGAACGTGAGATTGTTTTTTGTTTGTAGTGTATATGCTATCAACCATTTTAAAATATAAGGTTGAATTAATTAAGTAGTATGGCAGCCCTGTCTTTAAAACCGAAAAACAATTAGCATCGCGGTAGAAATAGGCAAGACGGTATCTTCGAACGGCCATAGCACCAGATCGCGTAAAAAATTTGGAAAAAAAGAACGTCTATAAAAATATTATTTTAACACCTCTGATCGAATCGCGGACATAATAACATTTTTAATTTTCAGCATTATTGGTAGTTCGTTATTCCGTTGGTTATTATAATAAACCGAATAAAAATACTTAAGACTTGGCCTAAAGGTCTAGATACCAGGCCATAAACTAAAAAAGATAATAATATTCCGTTGGTAGCTGGCAACACTGAGTACTGCGCATGTCAAAAACATCGCATCGACACGAAAAAAAAGAAAACACGAACAATGGAATTCGCCGCCGGTCGATTTTAAGTTCGAGGCTGAGTCAGTTTCGTCTTAATAAGTGTTCAAATGAATAAACATCTTCAAGATGACTGGGACGATAATTGAGAATTTGAGTGGTCGAAAATTAGCTGTGTTAGTTACGTTTCTACTGTTGTGTCAATTAACATGTTTTTTGATTGGCGGCTTGGTCGCACCCATGCCAGCTAACGCCCAAATGATGATCGCTACCGTATGCAAGGATACGACAACTGTGAAAAACGATACGACAAAGTGGTTTTACAATCGCGGGAAGGGCGCCTGCCAGAACATTGGCCTCGAGAATTTACACCATGACCTTTCCGAAACGGACTTCGTTTTCGCCTTTCAAATGCCGCTACCGCGCGAAAACATGATTCTAGACTATTCGAGATGGCAGCAGAATCTAATCGGTGTGCTCCAAATCGACATCAAATATCATTCTTTGATGGAAATTCAGCCCCGCAGTGTAATAACGATCGACGCGCGCATGGCATACAGAAACAAAGGAGACCCCGAAGAACAATGGAGGCTATACACTCGGTCTGTTGAGAAACGTAATTTAGACTGTGACATAGAAATAAAAAGTGAACATCATTTGTACAACTGCTCAGCTATGCCCCTCTTTGAGTTAGGGTCTTTGTTTCATGACTATTATTTACTAAACATAAGACTTCCCATTGAAACCCCAGATATGAACTCGCACATTGGACATATTCATGACATGTCGCTTATTGTTATCAATCAAAATGGTGGCTTCACCAAAGTTTGGGTTTCACTGAAGTCAGTTTTCTTCCCTAGTATCGTTGCTATACTTGTTTGGTTTTGGAGAAGAATACATATGTTGCAGCGCAAGCCAGTTCTGTTAGAAAAGATGCTGTTAAGCTTAGGCTTAGCTCTTTGTTTATTGAATATGCCACTGGAATACCTCACCTTGTATTTTGATTTACCATTCATGCTTTTACTTGGAGATATAAGACAAGGAATTTTCTATTCAATGTTGTTCTCATTTTGGTTAGTATTTGCCGGCGAACACATGCTGATACAAGATACATCAACACAAAGTTCTCTTAAGCAATATTGGCGTCATTTGAGTGCAGTTGCGACAGGCTGTGCATCCTTATTCATTTTTGATATGTGCGAGAGGGGAATGCAACTTAGGAATCCCTTTTACTCAATCTGGGTGACTGACATTGGCACTAATCTAGCTCTGACATTTATCATTTTGGCTGGAATATCGACTGGCATTTATTTCCTATTCTTGTGCTACATGATTTGGCAAGTTTTTATCAATATATCTCACAAGCGGCAGTCTTTACCAACCATGTGCTCTGTGAGGCGTTTGCATTATGAAGGCATTATATATCGTTTCAAATTTCTGATGCTGGCTACATTGCTGTGTGCTGCACTGACTATAATAGGATTTACATTGGGACAAGTTGCTGAAGGTCAATGGAAATGGGACGAGAACATTGAATTGGAGTATACTTCAGCATTTTTCACTGGAGTTTATGGAATGTGGAACATCTACATATTTGCATTGTTGGTTTTGTATGCTCCGAGTCACAAGCAATGGCCAGCCGTTGAGGATACATCTGATACACAGAATTTGAGCGAGGAAATTGAATTTACTCCATTGCAGGAGCGGTCTAGTGAGATTTCATCTCTCACTTCATTCCTTAAAAAAGCAACTATTGATTGAGCTTTGAATTACAGCTTTTATACTTTTGTTTTTTTTTGTACTATTGTGATTTAAAATGACTGATTTTTCACACTAATTTTTTTTAACAAAAATTATGTTTCACTTATGTACTCTTTGCATATTAAACATTTCTAATAATATAAGTACCTATTAAAATAATATTTTTGTTTAAGAACTTATTAAACTGCAAAAATCATTCAATCCTTAGATTTGTATAATCAAATATGTAATGTGTAATCAATATTTAATCTTATCTCTTGCTAGTTAAAACTTAGTTTTCAAGCAATAGTTTTAAAATGTAGACTTATGGTGTATTCAAATTTAGTGTTGAGCTGATTCATTCTTGAGATTATAAACAGGTTTCAAGGCACTTATACTGTAGACTAAATAATCATTTCCCTAAATAGATTATGGCGTAGGCGTGTTCTCATTTTACTTAACTGTGATATGTTTTTTTTAAATGTAAGTCTGCCAATTATTGTACTTATGTTTTTTTAGAAACATGTTTAAATAAAAACATGATGTGTTTTAGCTTGCCATAATTATTCTTATAGTGTGTGTACTTAATATTAATATTTTTTAACTTATGCATTTATGAAAACAGTATTGATAGTTATGTAAGGAAAACTACTGTTGCCAGCTACTTCATTAGGTATTTCGTGAATTTTGTAGTTATTGATATAGTATTATAACCATTTGTACCCGTAATAAATGTGTTTTAAAACTATAAAATTACTGGTTTTGTTATTTGGACACGTTTTTAATTATTATTTTTAGTCATTAACGAATATTAGTAACCCAAGTTTCAGGGTGTTAACACTTCCCGACACGTTTTGATTGACACTTTGAATAATAAATAGGTAATAAAGTTACTTTTGGTACATTTTGAAATTTGAACCTTAATGTTGGTTCATACAATTTAAAAAAAAAACGGCTTTTTCAATGCTTTTCAGATAAAAGCAGCGCAAAAGTCGTTATAAAATTTGAAAAATGCAAGTTGGCAAGGTAACTTAATGAACAGAGTATTGGTATTATGCGAAAATATAACAGTACACGTCATGTACATAATATAAAAATATATATTTGAAAATATAAGAACACAGCCAACTTGATTTTTAGATACCTAAATTGTAAAATGGAATTGTTATTCGGAAATGTGAATGCGAAATTGCATCAGAAAAAGCTTTGGAAATTAGAATAAATTATGGAAAGTACCACTTATGAGATGAAACGCCATAGTAAAAATTTATGGTCTATCCAAATATTAATCATATGAACTACAAGAATTACTATTGAATGAGAATGACATTTTCATTTTACAATTTATAAATTAAGTTTCTTACATTTAAACTTATTTGTTATACATTTATTCTTTTCATTTATTGAGAAACCACAAAATTTTGTTTTCAATAATAATGTCATAATATAATTTACTTCAGGGCAAATTGTAAGTTTTTTAATTTGTTGTAATTAAATTTTAATATAAATGTATAACAAATATACACAAACATGATTTACCATTAGGTTTCAAGTTTATAAATTCATCTGAATTTCATTTATGATACATTATTTATTATTAAAATACAAAATGTTTTACACAGTGCTTGTTAGATTATAGATTTGCACAGGCGATGCACTTTAAGGAGGAATTTGTTTGATTTTAAACATACTTAAATTGTTGCATTCTTTAAAGTCGTTTAATGAAATTTTAAGTTAAATAAATTTATTTGAATTCATTCCAGTTCCTGACGGAATTATAACTTCCAGAATTTTTTATTAATTTAAAATTGATTTTTTAGGTGAATTTTGTCTTGTTTTGTCACAAGCCAAATAACCTTTTTAAGACAACTTATTAAGATTTAGGGACACTAGTAGAGAAGAATCATTGTTTTCCTTCGGGTACAACGACCGACGATGCACTGGCTTTAAAGTTCAGTTCAGTTAAGTTCTAGCTTCAGGCCAATTGTGTTTTTAGTTCATTGTGAGCTGACTGGCAATAGCATGAGCTATTTAACGGGCAAAATTTGGCTCTTTGCTCTCATTAGACAAGCACAGACTTTTACCATCTGTATATATTAAAACCCACAAAATTCTGATATTCAAAATTAATACGGATTTGTCCCAACATGGGGGCCAACGGTGAATCATGTTTGTCTTAGATAATTCTCCAACATCTGGGAGCTCAGCGTCGCACTTACCTCTGCAGGGATCGTTCTTCACGAGGAACTCGTCGAGCGCCACCCAGCCCCCTCCGACCCTCACCATGACGGTGGAGCGGAGGATACGGACTAGACGCAGTTTCTGGGAGTCCCCGAACTGTACCGGACAATTATTTGATAGGGTGGGGGATTGTTTCGAAACTCCTTTGCATTTTTGTTAATTGACCTAGCTTATAAATTGGCTTTAACTTTATCTGTTTCTTGAGCTAACAGTTACCACTTAAGTTATTGGCTGTTTATATAAAATAACAACAACAAAGCAATGTAAAGGAATCATTTGAATATTTTGAAGAAGAGAGACGAAATTTGAAATTGTTCTAATACTTTTCGGTCGATTGACTAGTAGCCGGGAAGTGAACATTATTTTTTTACTTTTGTCCTTGGTAGCAATATCCTTAATTTTTTACGTATGGAAACCCTGTATAACGGCGAAAGACCAAGGTACTATGGTTTTACAGACATGCTTACACATATTGTATTTATTACTTGATCAAATCAGTTGATACTCAAAATTATGCTTAAATATTTGAATATCAAATATTTGAGATTAAATATTGTAAACACATCCTGTATTACTAAAGTAAATAAATGATTACTAATAATTATTGAACACGATTAAAAAATATTTTTGATGCTTCAGAAAATTAATTCAAATATAAATAGTTAGTTCTTGAATATGTTCAGAATAAAGTTGTTTATAAGTAAGCACTCACCCTGTATTTCCCTTCTCCGACCTGGAACACGCGGAACTTCTGTCGGCACGTGCACAGCATCACGAGTCGCTTCACCTCGTCGTGAATTTTGTCCGCATCGGTCGGGGGTCCGCGGCGTTCCACCTTCAAACGAATTGATGTTTTAACTCGTACGATATAAGAGCGAATTTACCATGATTATTTATTTTAAGTATTAAAAAAGTATGTGTATGTATGTATATATGTGTGTGTATTTGTATGTATATATATTGTTTTGTATCTTGTAATATGTATATATTATTATATGTAATGTTTACTGTATGCACTAGGTTTGTGTTCCAAATTCTTCTTTCCTTTTGCGGGCCTACTGGAAGAGATTTCAACATGAAATAAGTAGTGCCCTTGTACATTGTATTCTTATTGTCGTGTTTCTTCTAACAGCTGTGTGTACAAAATATATTAAATAAATAAAAGTCTATATAGGTATTCGAGACCATATCTAATTATATACGAACCCAGTCAGGGCGAAGCGCCGCAATGAACTCCTCCCAGTCGATGAGGCCGCTGCCGTTCCTGTCGAACAGATCCGCCACGGCGCCCATCTCCAGCCGGGATGTGTCGAATTCTGGTTACGAAAAGAAAGAATTGAATTTCGTGACATGGTGATGCAAAATTACTCGCTTCAAATAATTTCTAAAATTCGCGTAACGCGATTGATACAAAAATTCAAAAATACCAAAGAATATAATGTGAGATAATTTTTTTTTTTTGTTTGAACTTATATTTTATAATATATTATAACCACATTCTGTAGACATCTCTAGAACGGTCTGTTTTCGTTCTGACTCAATCTCTGGGTTACTCTCTCTCTCTCTTTGTTACTGGTGGTAGGACCTCTTGTGAGTCCGCGCGGGTAGGTAACACCACCCTGCCCATTTCTGCCGTGAAGCAGTAATGCGTATCGGTTTGAAGGGCGGGCCAGCCGTTGTAACTATACTTGAGACTTTAGAGCCTATATCTCAAGGTGGGTGGCGGCATTTACGTTGTAAATACCTATTGGCTCCAAAAACCACTTCACACTAGTTGGGCTGTTAGCTCGTCCACCCATATATGCAATAAATAAAAAAAAGCCGTCACACTACAGAATTCATACTTCAAGATCATGTCTTATGTCGATGAAGGGTTTCGCGTTGTCACGCCGCAGTCCCGGCACCAGATCGCGGCGCCGGGCTGCATCGGAAGTCTGCACGTCAGTCACTAAAGTACTCACTGGTGTTGACGATGCCATCGATGAACTCATTCCTCGGTATCAGCCCGTTGTTGTCCTTGTCCATTTTACGGAACAGATCTGTCAGGCGGGACTTCTTGTGGTTCATGAACTTGAGGAACTGGTGGATATAATATAATTTTTTTTAGTTAAAAATCGGTGTAAATTGGTGTAATCGTGTCAAACGATGTCACTGTGTGCAAGAATTTTTAAATGATAAGTGTTGTACATAATAAAATATTAGAATAAGAAGTGATAGAATGTAAAAATAGATAGATTTAGTAAATTTTGTGTTATAATTAATATAAAAATAAATTAAATTTTCGCATGCCTAAACAGGCGAAATATATGAAGCTATGTCCTATATCTTGTAAACTATATTTCTGGCGAATAAATATTTTCTTTCTTTCTTTCTTTCTTTCTTTGCCTGCGTTCGATTCTCGCAAACAAGTACAAATTTTCCATACAAATACGTAGGTACTTAACGCATGCTCACGAATAACATCCACGATGAAGGAATAACATCGTTTAATAAAAATGAAATCAGCAAAAACTTTAATACCTGTTATTATAAAGAAAATTGACTTAGACCTCAAATCGCAAACAACCACGAACTTGAAATAAGATTGGCCGCGAATTTGTTCAAGTCTACGCAATAAATATGTGTAAAGACGTGTGTGTGACGAAGTGTAGGTACGTTAAAAATTTATTATATTATTATGTCTGCTTGTCTGTCTTGCGTGTTTGTTGACTGTGGCTATGTGTTTGTTTAATTACGTCGTAAAGCCACGGCTCAAATTAAGACGGGCCTTAGAATATTTTTCGAACGAAGTTCCTTATGGGACGATGCGGAGGGGTACCCCCTAACCGGGAAACAGGCTCATAGTACATCTCAACGGTGATATTTGATATTTGTTACATATCCTGCAGGCCTCCGTCTTGGATAAGTCACATGGGGACCGTTGAGATGTACCGAGAGCTTGTTCACGTATGTGATTCAATTTTTTTTATTGCTCTTGTAGGCAGACGAGCATACGGTCCACCTGATGGTGAGTGAGTGGTTACCATCGCCCATGGACTTCAGTAATGCCAGGGACAGAGCCAAGCCGCTGCCTACCGCTTAGCCATTAGCCAAGTGAAGTTCGTACCCTCTTCCTCCAGTCGTCCCAGCTGAAGTTGGAGACGCGCTGAAGTTCCTTGAGATGGGCGAGGCGCTCATGCAGCCTCCGCTGGCGCTCCCAGGCGAGCAGCCACACGTTGCGCCACCGGTCCCACAGCTGCTTCACGCGGGGCGACCTGAACTCCGGCTCTGCACCTTTGCTGTTTGAGCATAGAACTTATTGAGTCTCTATATCGGGCATGGAGTTATAAGACACGTGTTCAGTTAAGTGACTAACGTATATTGGGATTATAACGTTTTTTTTTTCGGGCCGTGGGCCGAACCTCCTACGAGGTCCCCGCGCTTACAGGGCGGGGTATGTGAGACTCAACGATCTGCATGGTGTTGTGAGCAGACCGCGGGCCCAAGGATTGGGGCCCAATCACTAAACGACTTGGGATTACAATCTAACGTGCTATCGCCAGCCCGACAATCCCGAGACTGACGTAGCATCATTGCATTACAATTACCGCTAACACATAAATATGATTATTAGTTGCTGTGGAGACATTTGTACAACAAACAAACTCCATTATTATGGAAGCTTAGAGTACTTATCCATGGTCGTTGATGATACCGGTTTTAAAGAGCCAAAAGCAATATGACTGGTGACATTCACGTTGAGGCATCAGGTCGTACTTTCAATAGAATCTAAACAGCTACATCTTAAGACTCCAAGCCACGATATTTAATTAATAGGCGGCAAAACGGTGTACATTTGGAACCAATATTTTTTTTATGTTGTGATTCATAATAGTGAAAAAATTTTTTTTGTTCGGAACAAGGTAGATAACAAAAAAAATTAACAAAATCCAAAGTAAATATATCTAAATGCTATACCTATAGTCTAAGAAATGTTTATAACAACATCTTCAGTATGTACGTGTTTGTGTATTATTCCCATAATATGTTCAAATTATACTTACGTAGGTATTTTATTAGAACATAATGACAAACATAAGCTTATTGCCAGTTAAAAAAAAAAACGAGCGGGAAAACAACACAAAAAATTAAAGCTTCCGTTTTGATGCAAAACCCCGATGATGGAATGTATCTTAACAACTAATTGTAAGCATTGAATGAAGAAGTACTAGTCGATATATATTACTTAACTGAAATTGTAATTGAAGCCATAAAAGTAAGAATGTGAGGAAAGCAACATAATTGAGTCGTCTATTATCAAAGGTGGCAATCTGTGCATTTGGACAAAAAAAATTTATTGATGTGTCAATACAGATTGATTTGAATATAATCGTCTCCTTCAAAGAATACGGTTCCAAACCTGCATTAAATAAAGGTTAATAGTTAACCTGTTATTTATCTAAGATGTCGTTCCGAAGAGTTTTGTGACTGCCAATGGAATACAAAGTCAATAATTCGTTTTTCTGATTTACCAATCATTGTCCAAAAGTCAGATTGCCGGCTTTGATAATAGTCGACTCAATTAAAGTTTAAGTACTAAAACATCGACTAGGGACCTCTACTTCCAAAATCGACAAAAGAGTGGATTTTAATTCGAATTAAAATATTTTCGAATATTTTTCATCTGGTAACCCAAGTAATACTTGACTTGAATTGCCAGACCAACCGATTAAATTCCACTGTTTCTTGCACACAAATTAGCGAAACTTACCTTCCCTTCGGCGGGAATCGGGGTCCGTAGTGGGGCAGGTTCCGATCTGGCGTCTCCCGTCCAGGGCTGATACGACTATGAGAGCACACGCATATTTGTAATCAAACGAATGACTTACATACGAGAACCATGTCCTGTTAGAAGCGTGGCGTACTAGCGGACTACTGATCTTTGATAAATCTATGGAAGTTTTCAGCCATTCTGAGCATTACTATTATTTTTGAGTTACAAATGTCTTCAAATAACAAACTATTTTTTTGGAAACAATGGAAAATCAAATTAGAATACAGGTAATCCTCCTATAACACGGTATTTTACAACACGGTTCCACTCTAATAAGAAAAGAAAAAATGCCAAAAACCATCTTACAATATGGTACTTCTACAACACGATAACGAGATTTTTGTTTAAAATTATTCAAAAAATTACATTAAGCACTATAAAGACACAATATATAGGAATAATCGAAAATTTTCTGCTAATTTTTTTATATATAATAGGTAAAAAAAACATACAGACATAATTGAGATATTTCATTCGGAAAAAAAATTCTACTTTTTGTAGTGGCTTCTAGACTCATACAACACGGGTTCGCACAACACGGGACATTGTACGAACGTATCTACCGTGTTATAAGAGGGTTGCCTGTATTTGAATTCAATGCGAATTCTCAATTTTTTCTTTTTAATTTTTTTTCTTGATTAGTGCCAGTCTATTTAAATTTTAGATTCAAAAAATCAGTAGACCACACTCCGTACAGATTAGTCTTCAGCACTCGCCCTGTTAGTCGTGCGAATCTGACGCGAACGTGAACAAAGAGTTGAATACCTGTTAGTAGTCTGTGCCTGACCAGTCGCCACTGTGCCCGTTGTTTTAAAAAAAAAACATGCAGAAACGCAACATGCAATCGACAAAAACATTACCAGACTCGGAATCGCGTTGAATTTCTATCACACTCATTTCTACCATGCCATACTAGTAGTACATTCAATTCTAATGCTATCCATACGTACAATTAATGAATTGTGAAAAGGAGAGGTAGTTGAAATATACTATTTAATATACTTATAATAAAAGTTTGTAAAGTGTATCAAATTGTTATAAATAGGTCGAATTATTTGGACGTTAATGACTTTGAGATGATACTCTTGGGAATTTTAGGAGGAAATTTGAAAACTGATATTAAAATTTTACGTGAGTTTTATTTTTATATTTAAATAAGGAACTGTATTGAAAAGATCGCAAAAAACTTTTCTTATAATTACATTGTGACGTACATTTTTTTTTAATTACTAGCAACACTCACAAAGTTTAACTATCAATCTAAAGTGCAAAAAAGCTACTCCGGTAGTGCGTATCACAAAATCCAAAATCGCAAACTATTCAATTACTCAGAACCCGTATTGAGAAACCGTTACGACTATTTCACTACTATGTTTCAGCAAGTTTCTTATACAATATCATATATACTTTATTGCTAAATATATATATATATATTTATTTTAACGTCCGTCCAATAACATTTCGAATACTGCGTGCTTAGTGCGAGTTTTTTAACGTTCTCGATAACGTGAAAGTTTTTTTATTTTTTTTTATTGTCGTACAGGCAGATGAGCATACACCCACCTGATGGTGAGTGATTACCATCGCTGATGGACGTCAGCAATGCCAGAGGCAGAGCCGAGCCGCTGCCTACCGTTTACTACTCTCCACAAGCCTCGTTTGAAGAAGGACATGCCATAGCGCTCGGGAAACACCGTGGAGGGGAGCTCATTCCATAGCCGGATGGTACGTGGCAAAAAATATCTCTGGAAACGCACTATGGATTAACGTAGTGGCTCCAGGTAGTATGGATAAACTCTACTCTGGTGGCGGGCGGTGCGATGGTAAAAACGAGACGATGTTATCTCAAATTTGTATGGAATTGGAACAGCGCCCCTAGCGGCAAACATAGACAAACGTTCCAACTCCATACAAGTTTGAGTTGACTTTTACGCTATCGAGAACGTTAAAAAAACTCGCACCAAGCACACTGTACAACGTTACAACATTGTAAATAGTCTAGTTTCGAAATACGGGTCCCTAAAGCTAAGAACACACAACATGAACGTTGGCATCGAACCTTCCTCTCCTACTTCGCGAGTGTAGTCTGGACCTGCCCGTGTGAAGCGTGACATAGGAACGAGACAGAAAAGCAACATTTACATGTGTTAAAGCGAAACGAAGCTATGATCACAACGAAAAGTTTCACTAACTTAATGTAAACACACAACATAAATAGAAAATAGAAGATTTAAAAAAAAAAACGATAGTCAAATTGAACTAATTACATAATTTGGAAGAATTTTAAATCTATTCGATTTATAAAGGTTTAAAAAAAAATATAGTTTCTTGTGTATATTTTTTCACATATACTAATTTTAAATAAATTATTATCTTTATAAAAAAAACTCAAATCGGTTAATTGTTATTTATGTCGTTAACATTTAAAGCGCACGTATTGATGGGCACAAGTTAGTGTTGCCTACAAATGGATTAATATAATTAGTTTTAAGGCTTCATTCGTCTACATAAAAATAATAATTCAAACAACAACTTTATCTCTATCTCACATTTCATATATTTAGTTAGACAAAGACAAGACTATTTCAGTTGTTTCTGTTTTTTTTGTTTACAAATCGGCGCTTGAAAGGCAAACGTGACTAAGCGACAATAACTGCTTGGTACATAAATGATAGGCAATAACCATAATCGATGCGCAAAAAATACATATTTCTAGGTCTATTAAAATCATTTCAATCCTACAGCTAGATTCGTTAAAATATATTTTTATTCAGGTATTTCAACTTTAAATTAGTCTACTGTAAAGTTCACGCATTGTCGCTTAGTCAAGTTTGCCTATCAAGCGTCGAAATACTTGATTCGATCTAAATTCAAATTTGACGTAAACGAATGAAGACCTTATGACTACGTTTTAAGATTCATTTTCCAATAGCAAACAGACCTGAATCTTCTAGATCCGTAGTAGTCGGGCGAGACCGAGCGGTCCCGGTGCAGGTCGTGCTGGGAGCCGCGCCTGTCGCGAGCCAAGCGGTAACAACATGCAATGACGTCACGAGATGGCGTGCGCGCGATGACGTCACGGTACAATGAAACAACATGGGTGATGAGCAACGCGCAAAACAAGACAAACTACTGTACCTACCAAAACAGTATATCGCACGCACATACAGAGCTATAATGAATGTCACTTATGAGATCCTTGTTAAAACTGAACTGAGTTTGAGAAAATCCATTTTTTAATAGTTACTAGCCGACCCGGCAGACTTCGTAGTGCCTCAAACTATATAATATAAAAGACCTAAGCTTTTATGTAAAATAAACAAAAGGAATTTTGATTTATCTACCTTTTAAACCTTCTCTGGACTTCCACAAATAATTCAAGACCAAAATTAGCCAAATCGGTCCAGCCGTTCTCGAGTTTTAGCGAGACTAACGAACAGCAATTCATTTTTATAAGTATAGGTATAGATTAGTGAGATGTTTGCTTTTAATAATAACGTCTAAAGTTGTAATTTAAATACTATAATTTTATTTCTTTAGTCGAGAAGAACTATACAATTGTATTAAGATATTGAATTTTCAAACGCATCTCCTAAAAAAGTACATAATTTGCATAAGTGATGTTATAGCACCGTAAGTGCGATATATAAAAAAAAAACTTTTATTATCATCGGTCCAATGGATGGGCCTTTCACAAAAAAAAAAAAATTGTTTGCCGCATGAAAATATATACTATGTATTATGATGACTTCAATTATAAATAGACATAAACTTAGGACAACACGAAAGCATTATTGAACATCGGATGGTAGCGAACATATAATGCATTTGTTTGGTGAAGAAAATATATGATGGAAATAATAAACGAGAAATGAGGGTAGTTCGGTGTTGCAGCAGTACGTACCCAGGAGTTCCTTTCGTGGCGCTCTTCGCTGATACCTTCCTTGGGGTCGATTCTCTTCCTTGAACCTGACTCTTCACCTTTAAATGAAAAAAGATTTACAATATTTTTTATATTTTTTATTGCTTATATGAGTGGACGAGCTCACAGCCCACCTGGTGTTAAGTGGTTACTGGAGCCCATAGACTATATTAAGACCTTAGAACTCACATCTCAAAGTGATTGGCGGCATTTACGTTATAGATGTCTATGGGTTCTAGTGACCACTTAACACCTGGTGGGCTGTGAGCTCGTCCACCCACTTATGCAATAAAAAGAATAAAATAAAAGATTTACGAAGTTGTTGTAGCAAGTACATGACATAGGTATATATCGACCACTGGAAATTGAAAGGAGTTGCTAGGTCCATTCAACAAAAACCACTCACAAAGTCTATGCCTCAGATACTTTATTAATTTTATTCTAAGTCGTCGTGGCCTGAAGGATAAGACGTCCGGTGCATATCGGACGACGCGGCTGTGCCAAGGTTCGAATCCCGCGGGCAGGTACAAATTTTTGTAATGAAATACGTACTTAACAAATGTTCCCGATTGATTTCCACGGTGAAGGAATAACATCGTGTAATTAAAAATCAACATCACAAAAATTTTAATTTGTGTAATTAGTATACGATGGAGATTTACATATCGGTATCCACATTGTTATATCCATGGGCTCCGGTTACTACTTAACATCAAATGCATCGTGAATTATTTTATGTCTGGAAATTAAAAAAAGTATCCAATTTTTATTGATCCTTGGACGATTCTTATACTCACTAAAACTCAACTAATAAACCACCGAAACCGTTTGTCTCCAAGTTCGCCCTTACCTGGTACGCTTTGCAGACGCGGTCTACTTCGTTCTGTCTCTTCTGAGTGTGCTCCATCAGTTCTTTGTGGTCTTCTATCAAGCCCTCGAGAAGCTCTATGGATTCAGGCAGCGGCTCAGTCTCCATTGCTGTATCAAAGTAAAGTAAAAAAGTAATTTAGAGAAGGGGAAAACTGGCTTTTCTTGCTACATAAGTGCATAGAAAATTAGCATCTGTTCTGTGGCTTCTCTGTTTAAATCAAAACAATATTTTGTTAGGAATTTATCATGTCCGCCTCTAAACTTCAGCAATTTTATTCGTAGATTGAAAGCGTTATATACAAATTGGTCAAATTGGTTCCATAGACCATTGAAAACCGAAATAGCTAAAGCAATTAGGGATGGTACGTAGGAGTTTAAAAATGGTTTTGAGATTCGATTCCTATAGATTAGATCTGTGATATAGTATCAGCTACCAACACACGTCCTTAATACTTTTATATCCATCCACGATCGCATAGTACGAATTATTCATAATTAAAATTCATTTAACGGTTGCGCGATAAAATGTCGACGTTATAACAACACCTTGGTCATCTGTGACCACGAGAGCTGTGAAGTACTCGAAGCTTGAGATGATAATCGTGAAAGTGGTTGTAATTATGTCTCCAACTGGTGAGAACCGAAGTAGATACTCATATAAAAGTAGTATGTATGCATGTATGTAATATATTTATTCATAAAAAGTTACACTTTCATTTAAACCATGCCCCGCATATTAAACATAATAGATACTCCGGTAGGCAGCGGCTTGGCTCTGCCCCTGGCATTGCTGAAGTCAATGGGCGACCACTCACTATCAGGTATGCTCGTCTGTCTACAAGGGCAATAAAAATAATAATTAAAATAGTAAAAACAATATTTACATAGCAAGTTGTTCTCGAGTCCGGTGAGCCACTGCAGCAACTCCTCGAGCACGAGGTCCAGGTCTCTGAGGCTCTGCATGTGCGCGTCCAGCTTGCCGCCCCGCTGCATGGCCCATTGCCATACCTAACGAATAATACAAAACATCAATTAGCGTCAAACGAGAAAAACAAACATTTGAGTAAATCAAATTTTAATATTCTTATTTATATTAAGAAGCATTCCCTTGTGTTATTAATCACTGTACTGTTTTTTTTCTTCTTTTTGTTTCATTTTCTTAACTATGCTGGTAAAGCCAAAATATTATAAATGTCATCTCAATTATTTGTTAAAAGCGCACACTTTAGAAGTAAACTTCTTTGTCTCCACCTTATCCCACTAGGTGGGGTTGGCACAGCGAATTTTTCTATTCCATTCTCCTGTATCAGCCGTCATTTCAACACTCACTCCTCTCTCTCTCTCATATCATCATGCACACACTGCATCCACGTCTTCTTCGGTGCATTTCCATAGATCTCCTAGTCACATGCATCTTCTATTTACGCATCACATGTCCATACCACTTTAGAAGCAAACAATTTTTATTACAACCACCAGTAATTTGATTTGACTCATCCGATGGCTAGAGTTTTCGCTATCTACCTGTCCTGGTGTGACTTTATTGAATAACCTCAACACAGGCAGCACAGTGGCCACTAACTGCCTCTTAGGTCTCTCCTCGTTCATGTTCTTTTTTTTTTTAAATAACAACTATTTCACAAAACTATTAAAAATAAACCACCACAATACGCATTATGTAAATTTGGCTGAAGTTTGAAATGTATTTACATTTAATTACAATCTTTGCCACGATAAGATTGGCTTGGTGACGACTTATTTAATTTTTTATTTATCTTTATTAATCTTATTCTTTATGCAGTCCTTCCTTGATTTGATTCGAAATCAAGGTGATTTGTGCAGATAAGATTGATAACGGGACAAATTAAAAGTATTTTTGCTTTTGAGACATTATACTCAGTCGCATATTAATGATTTACTGGTAGAGAATAAGATGTCTAATATTACATGCTAATTGAACCTAATTTTGATTGTTCTATCTGCAAACAGAGACATATGCGATGGACTTTGACCTAATATACAAACGTTATGTTTTTAACTGCCTATTATGTGTCACGATTCACTCAACGTTAAGTGGTCAGTCGAGCCTATGGAAATCACATCGTGGATGCCGCCTGCTCTCTTGAGACATAGTTCAAAGTCTACATAGCATTGAGACTACGAATCATCTATACTTCACAAAAGAACCATTGGGTTTTTTTCCTATATTAATAGACAAGATTAAATAAATAGTGATCCAACCCCCAGGGGGTCATAAAGTGTCCACTGCTACTAAACATAAACATCTGTTTATGAGGATACAGGAAATCTTGTTTCCACTAAAACAAATGTTTTGATTTGTTCTTCAGTTTTAGAATGGATTGTGTGTGTGTGTGTGTGTGTGTGTGTGTGCGTGTGTGTGTGCGTGTGTGTGTGCGTGTGTGTGCGTGTGTGTGTGCGTGTGTGTGTGTGTGTGTGTGTGCGTGTGCGTGTGCGTGTGAGTTCGTGAACGAGTCGAGAGGGTCCGGGTGCTCACCTCGTCCCAGCGGCTCTGTATGATGGTGATCCAGTGCTTGATGACGGTGACGGCGTCGGTGTGCGCCTTGCTCAGGATAGAGTGAGCCAGCGTGATAGTCTCGTCCTTGTCCTGCTTCTTCTCGTTGAGTTCGCGCACGAAGCGCTCGTGGTCCCGTATCTGCTGCTGCGTCTCCTCGTCGCCTTCGGGGAGCTGGCCCGAGAAGCGAAGCTTGGTCTCCGCGTCCGAGAGCCACTCCAGGAGCATGTTCACCGAGCGATGCAGTTTTTCCGCCTGGTTCAATTAACTTTGTTTATTCATTCGTTCATTCACTCATTCATTCGTTTTAATATCTATGAATTCTAATGCTGATTTTTTTCAATGTTATTTATTGTCGCTATTTACAATTTCATGGTATTTTAGTTTATACTGGACGAATGATTGTAATGAATTTGAAATGAAAACTTCTTTAGCGTCGTTGTAATTTGAAAGTCAATGAAACGAAAAAGCGACAGTAAAAAGAGACAGACACATAAACTCATAACAATTGACGTGGGAGAAAATGAGATAGGAAGCATTATATAATTATTATATAAGATTTTTTATTATTAACGTGTATGAAATCTCTTGTAATGAATTTTAATTTAGAATAATACGTCAAGTTAAGAATATCACCAGCACAAAAATTTACTGGTACTCAGACATTTACGATAATTTTATTTTAATTTTTGAAAGTTTCACTTCTACCACGTGTGAATTGCATACTGTTTTTCATTTCTAGAATTGTATTTAATTAAAATAGTGACCTCTTTGAGTGCGCCCTCCAACTTGTGCGCTTTCCTCTCGCTGAGGGAGAGTACGCTGTCCCACAGTTGCTTAAGTTCGCTGCCTTGTTGGCGGATGTTGGCGGCATCTTCCAGTGGTACCTAAGTATAAACAATGTTATTTGTTTTAATGTTATTTGGAAGAAAAATATATATTTAGCATTCAATATTTAAGGATTAAACTAAGAATTTTCCACTTTTCGTAATTTTGTAGTTCGAGATTTGATTAGGGTTGTGTAATCGCGAAATGAACATAGAACAAGGGGATCTCGTGATGAAAATACTACACTAATATACTGTTGTGGTGTTGGTAGTACTAAGACTAAGCACACACAACAATTAGTTTTACGAATTAAATTAAATGGTCCATGTTTAATGAATTTTGAGGCACTATTTTTATTGATTTTTAAATTTTCATTAATTCAAATAAAACCAAGAATTCGTTATGGACTACCCTCAAGCGCTTCAAATGATCGATTATCAATATGACGTTACAAAAATTCCCTTAGGAATACATTGGACCTAAGTTCTCAATCATTGATCTCGGGGACAAGTCAGTCAGAAAAGTTTTTACTGGTAGTAGGACCTCTTGCGAGTCGGCGCGGGTAGGCACCACTGCCCTACCTATTTCTGCCGTGAAGCAGTAATGTGTTTCGGTTTGAAGGGCGGGGCAGCCGTTGTAACTATACTGAGACCTTAGAGCTTATATCTCAAGGTGGGTGGCGCTTTTACATTATAGATGTCTATGGGCTCCAGTACTCTACCCATCTAAGCAATAAAAAAAGCCTGCTGCTGGTACTCACGGTGGCCTCCAGGTCCCGGCCGGTCTTGGTGACGGACTGCATCTGCTGCTCGCGCGAATGCAGGTCCTCTTCGAATTGCTACGACAAGACACGATCACTCAGAATGTGTTATTACGATTTTTAAGACCATTTTTATATTTCCAGTACATACATGGTCCTTTCTATGATCGTTACTGGATATTTAAAACACACTAATTTTGTTAAACTACTCGTGCGCCATCTGTCGTACGTCGACGGAACTAACATGAAGCTGAATTGTACAAAACTCAAAATTAATAATATAAGAGACGCGCGGACGTATAAACGAACCAACAAACACGTTCTTCTTATATTAAATTTAAAAATTTTATAGGCGTCATTAAAGCTCGATCGCTTGCGACGAAGGCCTCCATTAGCGAATTAGCCCATAGACACAACAGCCCATTGAGTTTCTCGCCGGATCTTCTCAGTGGGTCGCGTTTCCGATCCGGTGGTAGATTCTGCGAAGCACTGCTCTTGCTACAGCCAGTGCTAGCAACACTCCGGTTTGAGCCCCGTGAGTTCACCTATATGTTAGGGCGGAGCTGAAATAGCCTCTCAAAGCTATCAGCGTAGGTAGGAAAAAAATTAAGCTCGCTTCGGGAGAGGTTCTTTTGCACTTTTTTTTATTGCCCTTGTAGACAGACGAGCATACGGCCCATCTGAGGGTGAGTGGTTACCGTCGCCCATGGACTTCAGCAATGCTCGGGGCAGAGCCAAGCCGCTGCCTACCGCATATTGTATTGTAATGTGTTAATTTACCTTATGTTGCTCAATGAGCGCCATCACGGTGTCCAGGTCGCCGTGGACGGGAGCGTCTCCTTCCAGAAGCTTCTGTTGCTTCTTGAGCCAGTCCAGCAGCGCTGACATGGCGTCTTTGAACTGTCCCGAGTACAGCAGCGCCTCTTCCAGTTTCCGTTGCCTGTTCAAAAAATAATAATATGAAAACTATTCCTCAGATCTTTATTAGATGTGACATCAAAAACGAGCGGTTTTAAATTAAGAACTTATAATATCTCTAGGTACGTTTTATTAAACAAAAGTAAGAAGGCCTCATTATGATGATATAAAAATTGATTTTTTTGTTATTGAAGAATCTAAGGTACAATCTATGGATTAGTTAAGTTGTAATGGTACACTCATGTTTTTTTATAAGTTTATCCTATCGGTTACTTTTTTTGTAGGTTTTACGGCCTGGTAACTTTTAACCTTTTAAGCCAATTCTTATATATTTTTCTTATATACTGTTATAATATGAAAAATTATATGAAGCGAAATATGATAAAGTTGATTAATTTGAAACTTTAATCAATTGGGAGGAAATTAAATGAAACGAGATGTGATGGAATGAAATAAAGGCGCAGTAAAATGGTGGTCATTTAAAGAGACTTTTACACCTTTTTGGAAGAACCCAAAAATTATTGTGCACTTTGACAAATTGACAGAAACAAAAACAAATTTATAAAGACACCGTGGTCAAAGCATTCACCTGTCAACAGCCTTAGAGCACACGGTTGTCCATTTCGTCTTCATATCCGTTATCATTGTCTTCAACGTGTTCTCGTCACCCTTGGGAGCCTTGTCCTTGAGCTGCTTGCCGGTCTTCATAGTGAGGTCGTAAGCTGGCTGCTTGGAAGCCAGAGCCTTTTGGAACTCGCGGTGTTTGTTTAATCTGTGGAAGGATATTAATTACTCTACTTCGTTTTTTTTTTATTCCCTAGTGGCAAACGAACAAGTGTTCTGCCTAATGCAAAGGTCCTTCATAAAGACCGTACACGCTTTTTTTTTTATTGAACTTGTAGGCAAACGATCATACGGCCCACCTGATGCTGAGTGGTTACCGTCGCCGATGGACTCCAGCAATGCCAGGGGCAGAGCTAAGCCGCTGCCTACCGCTTTGTTGTTGTTATGTCCTCGTTTAATGTAGGTTTGACAGTTTCCTCAAAGAAAGGCGTTTGACGATGTCCCCTTAGATGGATTGTAATTATTTCCCCATTCAATTTAGGTTTGACAGTTTCCTCAAATTAAATGTCCCCTTAGATGGAAGGCGCATCCTACGTTTCTGAATCCTTTAATGCTATTTTAAATATACAAATACAGATATGACTGGCCGTACTCGCCCGATTCGCTGGGCATTTAAAATTATTTATTGTCATTATCATTAGGGAGTCCAACACTCATATAAATATTAGCCTATCCATTAAGTACATGTATTTTCTACATGGATACCAAGTTTCAAGTCAATCGGATGCACGGTTCAGTAGTTATAACGGAACATCCGTAAAAACCACTGTAGATTCATATATTAGTACAGAATATAGATTATTAAAAAACTATAAATGTTTGTGTTCAAATTCACAATTTCTTTATCGTTTATTTTTTATTGCAGTTTCGTCTTAGATTGCGTATTTAAGCACAAAATAACGACAAGAGCTTTAGTGAGTTTGACTGATACTATCCAACTAGCTATTACATGCTGATTCGCTCTCATGGGCAATAAAAAGTGTCAGTGAAGTTACCCGTGGGAATGAGATGTTCACGATAAAAGGTAGCCTGTGTCACTCACTTACTCCCTGACCTAATATTAACACTTTTTAAATATTAGTATAGATTCTAGATAGACACTTTTTAAATATTAGTATAGAATCTATACTATAGATTGATTAAAGATTCACAAGCGCCCTCGAAGTTAATACGTACCTCTGTTTGATCTTATCGGGGTCGTTGACCGTCGCCTCCGAGTTCAGTTGGTCCAGCTGCTCCTCGGTCTCGTTCAGCCAATTCATCAGGTTGTTCCTGAACAAAGAATATAAGCTTTAAAGCATTGAGTATTAAAGTCTATTTTAGAGGTCACGCTTGTGGTTCGATAGGGTCATGTCCCATCATCAAGTTATTACAAGAAAACATTACGTAACTTGCAGTAGGATAGCTTTAAGTGGTGCGCCGTGGTGAATCACCAAGCCATCGTGTGATGAAATTAAAAGCTGTATGTACTTGTAAATGGAACGATATTGTCGCACTCACTTTGCTGTCTATGTGTTGGCTCCCATTTAACACCAGATGGAACTTCATGCCTATCTATTAACAAAATTAAAGTCTTTTTTTTCTTTTTTTTTTAATTGCTTAGGTGGGTGGACGTGCTCACAGCCCACCTGGTGTTAAGTGGTTACTGGAGCCCATGGACATCTACAACGTAAATGCGCCACCCACCTTGAGATACAAGTTCTAAGGTCTCAGTAAAGTTACAACGGCTGCCCCACCCTTCAAACCGAAACGCGTTACTGCTTCACGGCAGAAATAGGCGGGGTGGTGGTACCTACCCGTGCGGACTCACAAGAAGTTCTACCACCAGTCTAAGACTAAAGAGCTTATCACACTTGTTCTATGATAAAAAAAATCACGTGCTAACTTTTTTATAATAATTTATATACCATATGTATTAATTTGATAATTATAATAATACGTTTATTTCTTAGTTACTGTACAAAAATTAAAAGGTGCATTTATTCATCGCATCAAATTTCATTGAGAGACACCAGATGGGTTTAGATTGTGCTTTAGTGAACCTACCACATGTCACTGAACTCCTTAGCCTCTTTGAAGCCATGGTCGAGGGCCCTGGTCCTTTCGGCAGACTTGGAGACGACCCTCTCCCAGCGATGCTGTACGGAGACCAGCAAGTTCTTAATGAGGATCACGTCCTGCTTCTGGCTGAAGTACTTGAGGTGTGTTCCCTTCTTGTCCAACTGCAGCATGGTCTCCCGGTGCGTGGACACCTCCTTTTGGAAGCTCTTGTGCTCTTCGATTTGGGCTGGATAGAGAGTTTAGGAATCATTTGTTGTTTCTGAGCTATGTGCATAATTTGACAAGTCTTCACTACTTATAAGGTTTTGTTTAAATGTACCTACATTATGACATAAAGTGTGAGAGAAAGAGAGCGAGGGAAAGAGAGAGAAAGAGAATGTCATCCATTATGTATGTCTGTCTATACACATATAGCAGAATAACATATAGTTATATAACATGTACAGTAAAGTACTATCTTTTTCTTTTTCTTCACCTTATCCCACTAGGGGGGGTTCGCACAGCTAATTTTTCTATTCCTTTCTCCTCCATCAGCCGTCATCTCAACACTCACTCCTCTCTCTCTCATATCGTCAATCACACACTCCACCCATGTGCTCTTCGGTCGACCTCTTCCCCCTCTACCTTGCACTACCACTTCCTTACATACATGCATGCATCTCCTTTCTACGCATCACAAGTCCATACCACGCTAACCGTCCGCTAACTTAGAATATATAGGTTTTGTTTTGTTTACTAGTGTGAGGTTTATTGGTGATGTTGAGGGTTTACTGTGCGCTCTCCTCCGGAAACCTCATCAGAGTGGTCAATAAAACACTACGTATAATTACATGTTTATTCATGTCAGCGGCCGCGGTGGATCGCTGCACGTTAACCACGGACTGACTAACGTATGTTGCTCATTACTATAAATGCATAGTAAGCTAAGCGGGGCGGGGTATCATTCCCCTACACTAGGAATATAAAAATGAGCGCGAGAGAGAGAGAGTAGAAGATGAGCCGTCAGCTGGTCGGCCCATTTACGGAGAGGTAACTCACTGAGCAAGGTTTCCATGACCCTGGAGACCGGCTTGGCCGAGGTGAGGGTCTTCTCCGCGGCGGTGAGCCAGTCCACGAAGGCCTGCAGCGCGTCGTGGAACTCCGTCGCCTCCTTCAGAGCTATCTCCAACTTGATCTTCTTGTCGGATGCTCTGTTTGTATGTAATGGTACATTAATAACCAGGTTTTGTATTTTAGTCGTCTTGCCAATACTGCTATTATTACAATGAGTTTTATTTCTTTATTCAAATTGAAATTCAAATTTTTACTGGTGGTAGGACCTCTCGTGAGTCCGCACGGGTAGGCACCACCACCCTGCCTATTTCTGCCGTGAAGCAGTAATGCGTTTCGGTTTGAAGGGCGGAGCAGCCGTTGTAACCTATACTTGAGACGTTAGAACTTATATCTCAAGGTGTGTGGCGCATTTACATTGTGGATGTCTATGGGCTCCAGTAACCACTTAACACCAGGTAGGCTGTGAGCTCGTCCACCGATGTAAGCAATAAAAAAATACCCTTAATATTGTCATTTTCCAAGTTGTCAGTTTCATCGAATTAAGTAAAAGAGATCTTATATTTTGACAGTTAAGCTCGTTATTGACCTGGCAGTGACGTTATCCCATCGAGACTTCAAGGTCTTGAGGCTGTGGTTGAGCTGTGAAGTCGGGTTGGGTTTCTCCTGCCGCTTGATGTACTCCTGTCCCTGCTGCAGCACGGCTTCGACTTTGGGGCGGTTCTCTTCTATTTCGCTGTATACCTCCTATTTTTTTTTAGATAGACATATAATTAGACATTAATTAACAACAAAAAAGTATTAAGCGGTAGGCAGCGGCTTGGCTCTGCCCCTGGCATTGCTGAAGTCCATGGGCGACGATAACCACTCACCATCAGGCGGGCCGTATGCTCGTCTGCCTACAAGGGCAATAAAAATAAAATAAAAAAAAACCCTCCCAACAAAAACTAAAACTTTTTTATAGCCCTTTTTTATTTCCAACATCTTACCAAAAGGCAAGTTTTTCTTAAAAGTGACAAATATAAAACATATGTCATTGGAACACCACTTCGGGTATAGGCCTCCTCCAACTTACCCCACAAAACTAAACGTATTTTTATTAATATTAATAATAAGAAGATTAATAACTTTTACTGGCGGTAGGACCTCTTGGGAGTCCGCACGGGTAGGTACCACCGCCCTGTCTATTTCTGCCGTGAAGCAGTAATGCGTTTCGGTTTAAAGGGCGGGGCAGCCGTTGTAACTATACTTGAGACCTTAGAACTTATATCACAAGGTGGGAGGCGCCATTTACGTTGTAGATGTCTATGGGCTCCAGTAACCACTTAACACCAGGTGAGCTGTGAGCTCGTCTACCCATTTAATCAATAAAAAAAAAGGTAGAAACATCAAGAGCGTCACCAGCTTCATGCTGCAGAAATGGGATATGTCTATCGGGGTTAGTGGTGACAGGTGACGCCTCGTCCCTGAAAATATCAAGTCTAAATGGCCGTCCGTGGCTTTGTAATTAATGTCGCAACCGGCTAAAGTATTCTGTTCACTGAAATACTGGAGATTTGTGAAGCTGTGTGCTTAGTGCGAGTTTCTTAACGTTCTCGATAGCGTAAAAGTTAACTCATATTTGTATGGAGTTGGAACAGCGCCCCTAGCGGCAAACGTACGCAAACGATCACATTCCATACAAATATGAGCTAACTTTTACGCTATAGAGAACGTCAAAAAACTCGCACTAAGTACATTTGTGGCAGTAAAATTTTATAACAATCTTTACTATTGATGATAGCCGTTGTAACTATACTGAGAACTTAGAACTTATATCTCAAGGTGGATAGCGCATTTACGTTGTAGATGTCTATGGGCTTCAGTAACCACTTAACACCAGGTGGGCTGTGAACTCGTCCACCCATCTAAGCAATAAAAAAATAAATGAAAGTTGATGTTTTTTTGCCGTTTTTTTGGCGCTGACGTTTATAAACTTATATTGTGAGTTCATTGTGGTGAGCTGGGCGCTCGTGTGGATGTACGGTATCTGTGTGTTAGTGAATATCCTTTGCTCACCATGAACCTCTCCAGCTGCTCGGAGGCGGTCTCCGGGAGCCCCCCGACGGGCTTGGAGGCCGCGATGACGCCGTCCACTTCGGACAGCCACGACAGCAGGTCACCGATTTCCGCATTGAAACTATGCAAATAAACAATCATGATAAGTACACTGAATTTTTGTTCCACGTAGAATATATCAGAAAAATATGTTTTTTTTTAAAGTAGATTTATCAGTTCTCGGAACTTTAAGAATATAATTATTTATTATAATAATTTAATTTAAATCCATCAAATCATGTTTAATATATTTAATCTGTGTTTAAGAATTAAAAAATAAATGAATTTTATCCTGAATTTTAACTATTGAATTTTATCCGAATTATGAACATCGATATTCACTCGAGATTTATTACAATTACAATCATTATAATAATATGAGGAAATAGGTCCCAAAAAAGCTATCTATGCAAAAGTAACAATAAATCGTAACCATTACCACAAATTCAACATAATAAACTTTTGAATAGTGAAAAGTATATAATATATTGAAATGTTTATTATTTCGTTTATAATTTTACCTCTGTGCTTCTCTGAGCGCGTCTTCGAGCTCAGTTTGTCTGTCTCTTGCTTTTTGTTGGAGTTCGCGCCATTTTTTGTTTAGTGTTGCCAGTTTTTCGGCCGTCTCGCCCGCCTCTTCGGTACCTGCACAAAAAATAAGTATATTATTTTAATAAACATTTAGCGCCAGTTTCGAAATAAGGTTTTTTTTACTATATACTATAAAACAAAGTTATTGGTAAGATTTCTCTAAATATAATATGACTCTAATCGAATAAATTGCACATATCGTTTTCGTATTAGATTGACGATTGAAACGAAATTTTAACTTTGTGTTTGTTTAATGAAATTAATTATTTTCGGTTAACACAAAAAGCATATACGATGGACATAAAAAGACGCTACAATCTGCATGATTTTATTATTTCCGGCTATGTAACACAAAAAACATATGCGATGGACATAAGACCACGCTATAATCTGCATGCTTCCAGGGTGACATGTCGACAACATTCAGGATATTATGTAATTAGCAGATAAGGAGTGATCTAGCTTAGTGTATGTAGATGCTATATGGCCGAGGGGTGCGGGCGCGTGGCGGGCGCGTGGCGGGCGCGTGGCGGGCGCGTGGCGGGCGAGTGGCGGGCACGTACCGTGGTGCACAATCTGCGCGCCGGCGTCGTTGAGCGTGTCGACGCTGGCCTGGTGCGCCGCTATGTCGTTCACCAGCACCTTCAGCTTGGCCAGCTCCACCTCCAGCACCTGGGGGTCGCCTGCCACCTGCACGCGACCAAACAACCAAACTATTTTAATGCTGTGTTTTTAGACAACATGTGACAACTGAATGTTAGCTTCATTAATTTAAAATATTTGCATATTTCTTTAAGAGATAGCGGGATGTTGTAAATTCATATATTATTATCACGCCTCCAACAGTATACAACAATCACGATCACTGTGTCAAAAGTGAAACGTCTAAGAAGAAGAATATATGAGGCTGTCAGTGCAAAAGTGGCCTAACCCACAATTTTTCATAATTATGTATATTGCAATTTATTTCAAATATAATAAATTTTGATGCAAAACCGGCCTATCCATAGTTTCATCCACAGATAACAGATGGCTTTGTAAACATTATTTTTGCGCGTATTGTTTTTTTTTGCCTACTGAAATGCAAATTCATGAAAACTTAAACCTCACTGCTCCATAATAACTATGGTAAGCTTAGGCCACTTTTGCGCTGACGGCCTCATATGTATATGCTATAAAAAAAAATATTAATACATAGCAACAAGCGATATAATAATCGAATAACAAATCGATATTGACTGACCGGTTTCAACGTGTCCAAAGTGTCTGTGGTGTTCTGTATCCACGCGAGGAGCTCCTGCAGGGCGTGCTGGAGCTGCCCGAGTCTCAGCAGCGCCTTCTCCAGCTGCTGCTGGCGCTCCACCATGCCGCGGAGCAGCGCCGACCAACGAGCGTTGACCTCCGTCAAGGGCTGCTTGATGGCGGCCGCTTGCTCTGACGACGTTCTCTCTGTCAGCTCCTGGGCTTGCCTGTTCGAAAATTAGAGACCCTTACATACGGTTTCTTTAAAAGGACATTTACACGCATTGGACTATTTATTCGGTTACTAAAAAAAATTTTTTTTTTATTGCTTAGATGCGTGGACGAACTCACAGCCCACCTGGTCTCAAGTGGTTACTAGAGCCCATAGACATCAACAACGTAAATGCGTCACCCACCTTGAGATATAAGTTCTAAGGTCTTAGTATAGTTTTTAATAGTTCAAAAAATAATTCTAAAGTATATTTAATTTAATAAAAACTATTTCCATTTTAATCGAACACCAATGTCAGATTCATTGAGTTAATTTTGTTTAGTATCAAACACAAAACGTATAACAAATATAAATAAGCAATAAACTCAACGACAGAAAGTAAATATGAATAAAATAAAGAAAAAAAAACAGTAAATACTAACGAAAGAAAGCCTATAAATTAAAGTAGTAGTACAGTAGTAGTAAAGAAGTAGTAAAGTAACTATTACTCCTGAACCTAAACATTACATTTCTACAAACAAAACTAAGCTCAGCACACGTTTAGTTGACATTATATTATCGTTTCCAATGGAATCTCAAACGTGAGCTCTTTAGCGCATTCTACTTCAGAGATCCCATTCATTTATGCGGCAAAGCAATCAAAAAATCCTATTTCAAGCCAATTTCAATGTGCTAAGACAATAAATTATAATTCGATTTTCAGCTAATTATTGATTTGTTGCCCTAATATGATCAGACAAGCCCGGATGTTACTGTGTGCGTAGTGCGAGTTTTTTAACTTTTCGATCACGTAAAAGCTAACTCAAACATGTATGGAGTTGGAACAGCGCCCCTAGCGGCAAACGTATGGAAGCTGTTCTAACTCCATACAAATTTGAGTTAACTTTTACGCGTTAAAAAACTCGCATTGAGTACACTCATATCGCAGCCCATAGACAATACAATCTGAATAAGATATGTGTACTAAAAAACTGAACCCTTGTTTTCGAATCTATATGCTCTTGTACGAAAACCTATCACGACACGAACAGACACTTATTACATGCGAAGCGTAGAACGAACAAATGCCAAACGAAAACATTTCACAAAACCAACACTTATAATATTAATTATTCCTTGCCTCGTCAAACTCCTGACGCCAAACATCGGGGAGGGTAGTCGAAAAAAGAAACAAAATTAGTAAGTAATATATATATACATTGAATGTGCATATATCGGGACCTCTATATAGGTGTTTAATTGTTAGATCTTAGATATTATTATATAGATCATTGGAACTATAATATCTGTCTCGCTACCTCGTTTATAGCTTAAGAAAATGTGAATCGATTCTTTTTAATTAATGTAAATTTTTATTTACCAAACATTTCATTTTAATAAGAAAATATTGTAAATATTTTAATTTTACTGTTTATCAGTGTGCCATTAACAACAAACAAAGATTTAAATAAACATACATGTTTTTAAATGGTTATTTGATATTTCTATTACATTTAGGTTAAGTGAGACAGCTATATAGTTGTAATGTGAATTTAAAATAATCCAAAACAACTTCACATGTAGGCCTAACTTGTTCCTTTCTCAAACACTGATTAACTATACAACATCATATGACATTACCCATGAAATTTCATCAAGTATTACGTAAAAATAAAACCGTAGCTAACAAATTACCTCTTTCAATTAGTAATTAACGATTTACATATAAAATTACACAGTAGAACATGTATTATCATGCAGTTCTATTACACTGAAGATCCCCAAAGTTTTATTTAAAATTAAAATACCAAACCACGTTATATTCATGCACCTTTATAAGAAATGACAAAATATTTTCCAAAACCCAAATACTTATATCCTAAAATAGTTAAATAGGTATATGCACCAATGACAATATTTTCCAAAACCCAAATATTTATATCTTAATAAAGTTAAATAATAGTACCTACTACGTTTGATTGCATTAATAATTTTATATGCAACAATGCGAATATATATAATTAAAAAGTATATTCTTTGTAAGAACAACTACAAATGTCATGAAAAAGATTTAAAAAAAAAAGGTTTCTTTTTTATTGTAAAGGGCATTGTCAACTTTTATGATCAGCACCATTGTTCCTATATTTGTGCTGCAAAGCATTAGCACCTTCCCGTGTTTAGAGTGGGATAGCTGTATTACAATACTGTTGTGATTTTGACCTACTCTCTCCACGTGGGAGGTGGTGGTGGGCACACTATGATGTCTGTGGTTTTTGGTAACAAGTTAAAACAACGGATCGTCTATCTATGTAAACGTAAAGGAACTAATGAAGGAAGAGTTGGTGCAAAGTGGCAGCATTACGCTAAGTGTACCGACACGCCCGCACTGTATGGCTGTGACGTCACGGGCCGTTACGTGCAACCTTTTCTTGTCATTCAAAGACAACCCCAACACCGGAAGGTTTCTTATCTTCATAATTTGGTTTTAGTTTTTCTTACAATTTTAGAATTTGGACAGCATTCATTTTCATTATTTCACTTTCATTAATCAAGATAAAACTATCTTTACATAATTCGACGCTTGAAAGGCAAACGTGACTAAGCGACAATGCGTAAACTTTACAGTAGACTAATTTAAAGTTGAAATACCTGAAAAAAATTATATTTTAACGAATCTAGCTGTAGGATTGAAATTATTTTAATAGACTTAGAAATATATTTTTTTTGCGCATTTATGTATAAATCAGTTATTGTCGATTAGTCACGTTTGCCTCTCAAACGTCGAATTATTATAATGCACTATTGATAATTATTTACATCACAAAATTATCATTGTAACTAAAGAGAAAAATGGTCTACGTACGAAATAAAATCATAATGTACCTGTTCAAAGCTTCGACCTTCACCATGTGAGGGTCGACCTCCTGCTTGAAGGAGGCTAGCTGAGCGATCTGACGCTTCACGGCGTCGATGTCCGAGCCGAGCGGACCCATGCGCGAAAACTTGTCTTCCGCCGTGTCCAGGAAGTCTTGGAGATTCTGTTTATTTCAATAACGAATTATTATTCATTTGCAGAGTCTATCGAGAAACTTGTTGTTCAGGGTAGGGTCAATGGTAAGAGATCTCGTGGACGAACCCCCATGCGTTGGACTGATCAGGTGAAAGACCTTACTGAAACTCCACTTAACGCGTGTGTGCGCCGGGCCTCGGAAAACATCTGTTAAGGCTTTAATAAGCAAGAATTCCACATGACCACGACTGCTCTGCCAAGAGCAACCGATTATGATGATGATTAATTTGTTTTAAACTACACCCATGATGTTGGAAACCACAGGATGGGCTACCGTACCTGCAAGGTGTCATGGAACTCCATCGCCTTTTCCATAGCATCGATGAGATTCTCCTCTCGTCTGGCGTAGAGTGCTGTGATGTTGTCCCATGCGTTGTCTAGGTCCTCCATGTGTTTCTTGACCTCTGGCTTGTCGGGTTCCCCGCAGAGAGACATGAGAGTGGAACCGGTCTTCCGTACTTTCTCCACCTGGTAATTTTTGTGTTACTTTAGCACCGAATTATAGGTAGTTAAATAGTGTGCCCGATTTGTGGCAATCTTTTTGTTTAACTATATAAAAAAATATTTATTTTTGAAGTAAATATTTCTGTATTAAACCTTTGCTATGAGTTTCGATAAGACAAGTGAACTATCGATATCGAACATCCCTAAGGTTTTGTTCGGAGAGGTGCGTGAGTGTGCGGGGGTAGGAGGGGGTAGGAGGGGGTACCTCGGGCTTGGTGTGGTCGATCTCGTGGCGGATCTCCTGCAGCGCGAGCTGCTGCTGCTGGATGGCGGGCGGGTGCGCGGCGGGCGGCGGCTGCGCGGCCAGCGTGTCGGCGAGCTCGGCCAGCGTGCTGGACACGGCCCGCAGCGCCGCCCAGAACTCGCGCGCCACGCCCAGCGCGCCCGACAGCCCGCGCCGCCGCTTCTCCGACGAGCGCTGCACCTCGTCCCACAGTCTGCGGACGACGCATCGTCAGTCAACGCTCAACTGCTTCAACTTACTGTATAATCTTTTTCTGTATTATAGATGATGGCAAAATACACACAAAGCCACGACAAGTGAAAACAAACGTCCGGGGAGATTTTTAAATTAATTTGAATCCATATTATAGGATATAGGATTGGTAAGAACGAAATGTATGAAAAGAGTGGAAAACGGAGCGTTGAAAAGGGAGTGAGAGAAAACGGAAAGAAAGGAAGAAGAGAATGACAGAGAATTGGAAGATGGCGAAGAAGGTTGAAAAATGAGCAAGACGTAATAAAAGTGTTAATTGTTAATTAATTATTATTATAATAGAAGATTTTGAAACAGTGGAAGTTTTATTTTATGCGATGCGATCCCAATATATGTTACTGTACGACGATACAATAAGATGCTATAAAAATATTGAAAATAAGTTGTATTCTAGATTGGATCGCAACCAATTTTCGACATAATGGATTCAATAAACTCTAGCCTAGCGACACTTTTACCTACGCAACAATAACCAGTAAGAAAACCTTTAAGAGTCTTATTAATACTCATGTTGATATTTTTTCGGGAGCTTTAATAACGCAACAATGACATTACTTGTTGAGCTTGTCGAGTTTGTTCCGGATGTCGCGCACGGCGGGGTCGCTCTTGTTGGCCTTGCTGAACACGTCGGAGGCGGCGCGCTGCACGGCGTTGTACGCCTCCTTGCGCTTGTCCAGGTCCTCCACCAGGGCGTCGTTCTCTTCGATTTGGTCTCTGTCAGAATAGAAACGATACTTTAGAATACGCTCTATACTTTTATAATTTAGGCATTAGTCAGGGCAAGAACCTCGCCATGAAATGGTAAACAGTCGACGTCGCCCTAAACACGTTCTATCCATTAACGGTGCTCTTAGGGACCACAAGCATCGGTCACCGTCCTCGTCGAACCCGGCGCTGGCGACGAAGTGCTCAACGAGTAAATTAACCCACAGACACAGCCCACTGAGTTTCTCCCCGGATCATCTCAGTGGGTCCCGTTTTCGATCCGGTGGTAAATTCTGCGAAGCACTACTCTTTCTAGGGCTAGTGTTAACAACTCTCCCGGTTTGAGCACCGTAAGCTCACCTACACATCATGGAGAAGCTGAAATTGCCTCTCAAGGCCATCAGCATAGGTAAGGGAAAAAAAGACTTTGAGAACTTCGATAATATTGTCATACAAATTGGGAGCAAATACTAACTCGATCTTGGGTGGGTGAGCGGAGACCGGCTCGGCGCGCTGCAGCTGGTCGGCGGCGCCTGACAGCGCCCGCAGCATGCCCTCCAGCTTGTCCGAGAACTGGGACGATTCTTGCAGAGCCTGTGCAGGTGTCGATAACGATATAATATGTTTATTATGGGCCCTGACGATTTATCCATGTAGCCAATTTTAATTAAGTATACGACTCACGCAAATCAAAAGTACTATATAAGTATACTAGCCGTACTCGCCTGCTTCGCTGGGCATTTGAATAATTAACATCATTATTTATTGTCATTATTATTAGGGGGCGCAACACTCATATAAAGATGAGCCTATCCATTAAGTACATGTATTTTCTACTTGGATACCAAGTTTCAAGTCAACCGGATGCATGGTTTATAACTACAAATTATTATTTCAATAATATCTTAAAAAGCACCCCACGCTTTTTTTACAATAAAATATACATTTTTTTACACTATTTTCAATTTAAATTTATTAAAATTTATTTTCTATATTTTAGTTGAATTTTATATGAAGCGTGTTTTTTAATTTTTTTATTATATTTATTATTTATTATTATATAATATATAGAAGATAGAAGATAAAATAGTTCAGATAAAAGGAAGAAAAAGGTTATTTCCTAGTTGGGTTTAGGCGGCGCACCTGCTCGAGCTCCTGCTGCCGCAGCCGCAGCTCGGCCCGCAGCGCGTTGTACCGCTCGCAGTCTCCCTCCAGCACGTCCTGCAGCTTGGCGGCGTCCAGCTCGCTGCACAGCCGCGCCAGCGCCTCGCCCGTCTTCACCAGCTTGTCCACCAGCGGCTTGTGCCCCGCTATGGACTGTTGCAGCATCTGCACGAGGATCCCCAACTTCAGCATGATTATGCACACACATACTTACTGAAGAGGAGCGACACTTCGCTTAATAGTAATGTATTACTGGTGGTAGGACCTCTTGTGAGTGCGCACGGGTAGGTACCACCGCTCTGCCTGTTTCTGCCGTGAAGCAGTAATGCGTTTCGGTATTGTAGTAGTAAATGACCACCATTTTACTGAGATTATATTTCATCCCACATCATCTCATCTCATTTCAGTTGATACTCCATATTATCATTTTTCATAAAAATAAGATTGAAAATTAAAATATGACTTGGCCTAAAGGTCTCAGTTACCAGTGTGCTTAGTGCGAGTTTTGTAACGTTCTCGATAGCGTAAATGCTAGCTCATATTTATATGGAATAGGATCATTTGCGTACGTTTGCCGCTAGGGGCACTGTTCCAACTGCATACAAAATTGGGTTCACTTTTACGCTATAGAGAACGTTAAAAAACTCGCACTAAGCAAACTGGTCATAAAATCCCTTAAAAAAAAAATTGTTATTCCAGCGTACACGTAGCATCGTGTTGTTTACCTCATTCTTGTCCTGCTGCTGGGCGATCTGCTCGGGTCTGAGCGCGGGCATGGCCAGCATGTGGATCTGCCTCTCCATGTCGTCCAGCCAGGACGTGAGACTGCGCGACAGAGTTGTTCATTTTACTTTTTGTTTTATACGAAAAATCGACTAAGATACAAAATTTTTAGAAATGCAATATTTTGTATTAAATTTAAATTTGTATTTATTAAACTATTCTGCTAACTAGGCTATTCTAGTGTATGATAATAAACTTACTCTTTGAAGTGTGTTCGTATTTTTATTAAACCTTTATGAGGAGAATTATGTCAGTGGTTCTCATTAATAGTGTTTTACGTAAAGTGGGTATTTTAGTGTGCCGTTTTAAGTCAATAATAGAAAGTGTTTAGTTGATGCGGGTCAAGTGTAGGGCGCAGGGAGGTGCGTACCCGAGGTGCGTGTCGGCGAAGTGCTCTGCGAGCGGCAGCGCGTGCTCGAGCGCGGCGAGGCGCGCGGCGGCCAGCGCCCCCACCTCCTCCATCACCTCGCGCAGCTCCTCGCTCCGCGCGCGCACGCCCGCCGCCTCCTCCGCGGACCCGCACTCGCGCACCACCTGCACGCACTCGCACTTGCACTCCCACCCAACATAGCTTCACGTCGACGCTATAATCTTAATATATATAAATCACATGTCACGTTGTTTGTCCGCGATGGACTCCTAAGCTAATTAACCGATTTTAAATTAAATTTGCACACCGTGTGCAGTTTGATCCAACTTGAAAGATAGGATGGTTTTTATTTCGATTAATAGTCGCAATATTTATTAATTATTAATAAAATGATTTCTTATGTTTTGTTATTAATTGTAAGTTTCATAAATCTAAAACAAATGGCGCCTTAGATCAGTTTTTACAGACAATTATAATACTGTCTGACTTTAATATCTCATAGATGGCGCTGTGTTAATAATACCAACGTTTCGCATAAGCTACAATTTAATGGCATAAACACCACGTGTTGCTGAGGCTAAACTATAAGTAAAATTTATTTCGTAGTAAACGCAATACAGTGAAATCCAATTGTTCTTACTTTGTCAATTTTTGGTATTAGCATAGCCGACCGCGTGTTATTTAGAAACAAAAACCTTAGCCACGTGTGGCCAGATCTGCTATTTCTATTATATAAAGACTCTTATATATAGTACCCGTGTAGGTTTGTATTGCTCGTTTGGTAAAGTGAGCGCGCGTACCTTCTTGGCCTGTGCGAGCAGGTCCCGGCAGCGCACGCGCTGCGCCGCCAGCTCGTCGTGCAGCGGGCGCTGGTCGCGCAGCTGCGCGCGCACGGCGGCGGGCTCGCACGAGGGCGGCGCGGCGGACCGCAGGCGCGCCTCCACGCCGCGCAGCCACTCCACCAGCTCCTCCATGTCGCCCACCACCTCCAGGGAACGCTACGAACCACACGCTAGTATTACGCTCCCATTCATACGGCACACATATTTTTGCAAGAGACGATGGTATGATATGAGACCGGACGGTATGAGTTTGATTCCATGGAAGATGGACCGGGTGCAGGAGATCGAGAGCTGGCAGCTACTTTGAACAAAAAATTAGTCTAGCTATTCAAAAGGGGAACGCTGCCGGTAACTTGCCTAAAGGGACTCCTTTTATTAATATATTTTAGTTATTACACTATATATTTTTAAGGTTTTTAGTTTTGTTTCTAAATAAATGAAGTATGTTTTTTTTGTATTCTATATTGGAAGTCGCATGTACTTTTGTCACACCAATGAGAAAGACTAAAGATTCTAAACGATATTCCGAATTTGAAAAATCAGTTCCATTATTTAATACACACGACCAGTTGAGACAGAATCAAATTCAAATGATATCTAATCAGCATAAAGCTATTGTCATGTCAGAACAAAGAATCCTGGCACCTTCTTGCTGAGCAGCAGCCTCTCGGCCTTCCTCTGCACCTGCTCGGCGATGGCGTCGAACCTCCTGTTGTCGCGGGTCACGATTCCTTCGATGTGAGTGGCGCCCTCTCCGGGAGATATCTGTGAACACATTCGCGTTTCAGTAATCATTCACGTAATTTAAACATATTTCGGTAGGCAGCGGCTTGGCTCTGCCCTTGGCATTGCTGAAGTCCATGGGCGACGGTAACCACTCACCATCAGGATGGGCCGTTTTTTTTTTATTTTTATTAAAATTTATTAAAGTCGTCTGCCTACAAAGGCAATAAAAAAAAATATTAACTCGGTTTATTTGAATTATTAGGCTGTAATCTGCAGATCATTTTATTCCTGACTTGAGGCAATAACTGCATTAAGACATTATTAATTAATGAATTAAAATTATATATTAATAATATAAATTAAAATTATATATTATGTAGAAATGACACCTATCCCAGACGAATAACTGCATCGCGAAATATGGTCAGGATGGTGGCGTCCAGCCCTCTAGACTTGCCATATACCAGTACCAACAAATTCGAAATACAAACGAAATTCTTCACTACATAGTATAAAACAAAGTCGCTTTCTCTGTCCCTATATCTGTCTGTCCCTCTGTATGCTTAAGTCTTTAAAACTACGCAACGGATTTTGATGCGGTTTTTTTAATAGGTAGAGTGATTGAAGAGGAAGGTTTATATGTATAATAACATTCATTAACTAGTGGAGAAATCATTATATAAAAATGAATTGCTGTTCGTTAGTCTCGCTAAAACTCGAGAACGGTTGGACCGATTTGGCTAATTTTGGTTTTGAATTATTAGTGAAAGTCCAGAGAAGGTTTAAAAGGTAGATAAATGAATGAAAATGCTCGGAGTTAAATAAAAATAACAATTTTGTTTTTCCTTTGATGTGTCCCCCGTCGGGCGGATTCCTTTTGTTTGTTTTAAGTTTATTTTATATAAAAGTTTAGGTCTTTTCTTTATCGACTGAGGCACTGCGAAGTCTGCCGGGTCAGCTAGTCAACAATAAATTACAGTTTCCGTAGCGAAGCGAGGGCGGGTCGCTAGTTTATTATAATGTTAAGTCAATATGATGTGAAGACTGACCTGACAGAGCTGCGGTCCGACGGAGTTGATGGTGTCCAGCACCGGCCTGAACTCCTGCAGCTCCACCTCCAGCCGCAGGATGTCTTCCTCGCGGGGCTCCACTGACTGCAGGCACGTCTCCGCGCTCGTCATCCATTCCGTTAGTCTAGAGGGAGATCATTATGATAGTAAGTGACTGTAGTGGCGCAGACGAATAAATGACCTTCATTTTCTTAGTCGGACACTAGTTAGAGCAGTTGGGGTTGCGCTGATGATGTACACGCTGCAGCATTGCTGACCCACTCGAGAGTAACTTAACCTCACAGCCGTTCAATGGGTATATCTCTTCTTCGGAACAGAGGTCAGTTTTTGCATCCATCGACAAATTGCATGTCATGTTTGAACACAAAGAACGGTGTCGCTCGCGTCACTACAGCTGAGCTTAATTAATTTCATAGCTTTTTTGATCCCCCGATCACCGAAAACATCTATTGATACATAGAATAGACGTCATACCCTGGTACCCCCCTCTACATGAATAGGCAGATCGCATCAGGCATCGCATTGATATCGGCCAAAAGTTTTGTTCGGAGACCTTTAAGTTCTGTTCACAGCCAAGCGAGAGATAAATTTACTAGTTGCCTAGTAAGATATTTGACAGATGCCTGAATCTCACTAACGAAATTTTCAAGATAAGCTTGCTTATATACAAGTTCCGAACAACAACACCAGGACCGTCGGTCTACCGAGCAATATAACCCGCTCGGTGGAAGGTCTTCCTTTAGTCATTTAAGTCTTACAGTTACTAGACTAGTTAGCCGCGGGATCCGCAGTCTTGAGGCCGACAAAGCAAGACGTACTTGGCATGACTGTTGTAGAACTGCTGCACGAGGGGCAGGGTCTCGGAGGCCACCCTGAGCAGGTCGGCCCCGCGGCTGGTGAGGTCGTTGTACCGGCGCTGCAGGGCGTCCAGCTTGTCCTTGAGCTGCAGAGCTTCGTCTCCGGAGATGTGCTTCATGAGCTCGAGGCCCGAGTCCACGGTGCTGTCGACTGCTTCTTGCTTCACGGCTATTTCTTCAGTTTTCTCCTGCGGTGAAATTGGTTGAGATTAAATTGAATTAAACGTCACTTGTGGTGACAGGGTAAACTCATGCTAATTGTAAAGTGAACATAATTTACTTTTATAAAACTTTCAGATCTGACAATACATGACGCGAAGAAGACTATGCAGTCTAGTTTGCTATTCCGTCTTGAAAATACAATATAAATACCATATCGGAATTGATTTAAAGACGAAAGAAAAATTATTCTCTGCCTATGTTAGCTTAATGAATGCAAACACTCACAGCCAATTCGTCCATTTGCCGGAGCAGTTTCTCCATGTGGACCGGGAGCAGCTTCCTCTTGGCGAGGTACTGCTCCATGCCGTCCATCCAGGCGGACAGGTCCTGGTACGTGAGCACGAGGTGCCGCAGCCCCTTGCGAGAGCTCTCCAACAGATCGCCTACGTTCAAATTGTGATCCACCAGAGTTTGGTATCTGTACAGAAACGGACTACAGTCAGCGTGTTGTTAATTGCGTCTTAATAATTACAGGATTGCTTTTTTTGTAATCCGGAATCCATAAAACTAAAGTGGCCCAGACTTATGACAGTAATGGATGTATTTCTAACGACATTGACAAAGCAACAATGACCTCTATCCTATTCTCTATCTCTCTCTAACACTTAAGAAGCATGAGAATTCAGTCAGATTTTTGACAGTTAAGGTTAAGCTTCGAACACAGTGTGTACAGTCTTGTATATTAGTAGAAAGGTTGTATGACGACCTGGTGGCGGATTAGGTATAATTATATTCTCTATCTCTCTCTAACATTTTAAGAAGCATGAGGGTTCAGTCAAGTTTCTGACAGTTAAGGTTAAGCTTCGAACAGTGTGTACAGTCTTGTCTATTCGTAGAAATGTGTGATGACATGGTGGCGGATTAAGAACAGTATAGAGCCTTGGGTTAGTGGTAGCAGCATCACCACCGTGGGCATGGAAGTGCGTGGCAGCGAGGGTCGGCGTACCTGTCGGTGGCGGCCTGCAGCCTGTCGGCCAGCGCGGTGGCTTCGTCGTCCCCGACCAGCCCCATCAGGGTCGAGGCTGTCTCCGTCAGCTGCTTGAACGCCGGCTGCTTTGACAGGATGTCGTCGTGGAGGGCCTGGTGAATATATTTTACGATTTAAATATTGCGTTTGAGAAACATTAGAAGTTATTTTCAAGTAAGCATATTGCGTTGACAAAAACCAATAAGCATCTAAATAACGTAAAAGTACATGTTATTATCCGCAACATGCTTCGTCAGATTACAGAAATAGAGTTATCAGCAACATGCTTGGTCAAAAAGTACAATACTTACTTTCAGCTACAAGCTTTTTTTTTTTATTGCTTAGATGGTTAGACGAGCTCACAGCCCACCTGGTGTTAAGTAGTTACTGGAGCCCATAGACATCCACAACGTAAATGCGCCACCCACCTTGAGATATAAGTTCTAAGGTCTCACGTATAGTTACAACGGCTGCCCCACCCTTCAAACCGAAACGCATTACTGCTTCACGGTAAAAATAGGCAGGGCGGTGGTACCCACCCGCGCGGACTCACAAGAGGTCCTACCACCAGTAATTACGCAAATTATAATTTTGCGGGTTTCATTTTTATTACACGATGTTATTCCTTCACCGTGGAAATCAATCGTGAACATTTGTTGAGTACGTATGAGCGTCGTCATAAGTAACATACAGGCTAACAGCAATGCGCGCGGAGGCATCGGCTAGTCCTAATAAGTTGACTGAACTCCTATCATCACCAGCTCACCTTATGCTCTCTGATCTTCTGCTGTATTTTTTCCTCATCAGTGGGCACCAGTTCCAAAGACTTGACTTTACGTTCTGACACTCCCAGCCACTCGACCAGGGGCTGCAGCTCCTCTTGGAATTGCTTTGCTACCTGTTAACGATAATCATATTGGATACAGGCAGTGACCAAAACTATATCAACTCATTTATCAGTTTTTTTTATTTATAGCTTAGATGGGTGGATGAGCTCACAATCCACCTGGTGTTAAGTGGTTACTGGAGCCCATAGACATCTTGTTATATCGGAACTTAGGGGCAATGACACGACCGTACGTAATAACAGCTGGTTTATTACTACTGTGAGCGGAGCGGGCCGCGGCATACGAAGTACATAACAAACACTGCACATCTACAAGGTAAATGCGCCACCCACCTTGAGATATAAGTTCTAAGGTCTCAGTATAGTTACAACGGCTGTCCCGCCCTTCAAACCGAAAAAAGCATTACTGCTTCACGGCAGAAATAGCCTGGTTGGAAGTTCTGGATCTCTTTGTCTAGAAGTGAGATGCCGTCATTTCCTTTTCACTATCACATTATTCATCTTCAGCTTATGTAACCGTCGCCATGTCCCACGTATAACCAGACTTTCCTTTAAAATTCTTGATATCTCCGAAGCTGTATCAAACTTTTCAAATGCTTGAAATCTGTCTCTTAGCGTCGTCGAACCCACGCTTATATACTTAGCATTGTCAATGAGGAGTCGTCCACTAGAACATAACGTTGGACCATAATAATTTAAAGTGTATGAGGCTTACCTTCATAGCCTGTTCCAGATCCAGCATCCTCTGTTGTGCGGAGGTGGTGAGGTCGTCGAACCTCTGCACCAGGCCCTTGAGTTGTTTCTCGATGGCCTTTCTCTCCTGAGGCTCGCAGCCGGCAGCCACCTCGTTGCCCATCGCGAACAGAGACGACATGGAGTTTTGACGGTCCATCAACATCTTCTTCAGGAACTAAACATAGTCATTGAATATGAATTAGGTACTTTGAAATTTTGATACCGACCAGAGGTACACTGACAGGGTCAGTTGGTAAGGAAATTATAAGGGTCAGTCTGGGACCGAAAGTTGCTATGACAATGCAATGGAATACGCGACCTTTTCAAAGTATGTCATTTTGCGCTGTCTTTTTTGACGCACGGCCAGTGAAAAGATGGAAAATATATATATATATATATATATATATAAAGTTTTCCAACAATGTACTAAAAAGTATGAAACTTTTTGTAAATTATCATTCGAGGCATCTTCTTGATTAATTGATTGTCATTTATTCGTACGTTTAAAATGTCACATCTCTAGCTCATCATGATGTTAGTTTTAACGAATTATATACGGAACCGAACCCAAGCAGATATACAAAAGAAAACGAGCTAGTCCGGTTCGTTGACCTCGTGCGCCCCCCTCCCCCCCACAACCACACCGCACCTTCTGCTCCTGTAGCTGCGCCTTGACGACCTTGTAGTCGGCCGAGGGCGGCTTCTGGTTGCGCACCATGTCCTCGGTGTCGGCGAGCCACTTGTCCAGGCCGGCCAGCGCCTCAGCGAACTTGCCGGACTGCAGCAGCCCCACGTCCAGGCGCCGCTCGCGTTCGTTCATCTGGTTGTGGCGACTCATTAATGTAGGTTCACAATTCCACACACCACGACTTGACTTCGTACTACAATTTTCTCTTATTTGCCTATTCTTACGCCTGGTGTTATGTAGTTTACCAGAGCCCATAAATATCAACAATAAAAAAAAATTAATTGCTGTTTGTTATTCTCGCTAAAACTCGAGAACGGCTGGACCGGTTTGGCTAATTTTAGTCTTAAATTATTTGTGGAAGTCCAGAGAAGGTTTAAAAGGTACATAAATATGAAAATGCTCGGAATTAAATAAAAATAACGATTTTGTTTTTCCTTTGATGAGTCCCCCGTCGGACGGATTCATTTTGTTTGTTTTAAGTTTACTTTATAAAAAAGTTTAGGTTTTTTATTTATCAGGGTCAGCAGCTAGTCTACAATATAAATACCGTCACCCATCTTGAGATATAAGTTCTAAGGTATATATATATAGGTAATATAGTTACAACGGCTGCCCTACCTTTCAAACTGCATTACTGCTTCACGACAGAAATAGGCAGGGTGGTGGTACCTACCCGGACTTACAGGAAGTCCTACCACCAGTATGCTTATTGATTTAAAGTTGATTTTGCAACGCATTTCAAATATTGAACAAAACGTATACTACCCACCTTTTCCTTCAGAGCGTTCCATTTGTCGTTCATCTTCTCGAGGTCCTTCTCTAGCGCCTGAGTGTTGGCTCCCTGCAGGGCGGACCTGACCAGCCCCTGCCCGATCTTGTTGCAGTGGGTCACGTTCTGTCCCAGGGGCTCGAGCGTGCGACGCTTTAGTTCCGCGAAGTCCTTCTGCTGGGCGCGGATCTGGTCGACTTCCGACGACACCGGCTTCAGACTTCTCATTTGTTCCGAAGCCTGAAGTAATTGTACGATTACAGTGAAGTCGAATACGACACATTGTTTTTTAAAAATATACTCTGTACTTTTTAACTGAGAATAACGGTTTTTTTCTCTTCTTTTTTTTCTACCTATTCTAGTTACCCCGAGGGGTTATGCTAGATTCTCCGGGTGAGTATGTAACGTAAATAATTATTATTGCACTTTGATGTCGACATAGACATCTTGATATTTTTATTATTTTTATTGCTTTTGAAGACATACGAGCATACGATCCCTTTGACAGTGAGCGGTTTTTATTTATTTTTTATTGCTTAGATGAGTGGACGAGGTCAAAGCCCACCTGATGTTATGTGGTTACTGGAGCCCATAGACATCTACAACGTAAATGCCGCCACCCACCTTGAGATATAAATTCTAAGGTCTCAGTATAATTACAACGGCTGTCCCACCTTTCAAACCGAAACGCATTACTGCTTCACGGCAGATATAGGCAGGGCGGTGGTCCTACCCGTGCGGACTCACAAGAGGTCCTACCACTAGTAGAAAGCGGTTGCGGTGACCGCTATACATAAGTTGTGCCGTGAGCCTGCGCACCCGCAGCAGTGAGCTTACCTCCTGCACGTCATCCATGACCGAATCGTAGGCCTTATAGAAGGCTTCCAGTTTGCTGAGGGTGTCATCGAGGTCCTGCTCCTTGGAGCGAGCCCTCTCGTCCAGCTTGGCTAGCTGCTTACGGAGCCCTTCCACCTGTGTACGGTAGCACTAATTAGCTTACATTACTTTAGATGAAAGGTGTGATGGACTTGTGATGTTAGGTTACTGTGAAGTTTACATACTGTACTGTATAACATATTACAATATACCTAATGAAATCTGAAACTGCAGTTTAGAAACTAAAAATCACGCTTAAACTCAAAACGATGAGGTATCGAGTATAAAAGCGTTGTAGGGATGGCACGCAGTCAGTCAGTAATCGGAACCACTCGAAGCGAAACAGCGAACGGATCACCTGAAGCGAAGCGGAACAACCGAATTGAATATTTTAAAGTGTTTAAGTGTTTTAAGTGTTACAGTTTTTAAGTTGTACTTAGGTGAAATTTTATTTATCCCGAACCCCAGCGCGTAACAATATGAACTTGCCTGGTCCCTGGTCTTGGCGGAGTCGGCGGTGTAGCCGCTGTCGGCGAGCCCCTCGGCGGCGCGCTCCGCCTGCGCGATGAGGTCGTCGGCGCCCTCCAGCCGCTTGTAGAAGCGTGCCACGTCCTCCAGCTGCTGCTTCACGGTCTTGAGGTCGCGCCCCGGCGGCTTCATCGAGTCCAACTCCTTGTCCAGGTCCGACAGGTCGTGCGATAGACTCTTCACTTTGTCCTGCACGAGGATAAAAGGATTTTTTTTACCAAGCTGAAAGTTTATTTATTGCGTCGAGTCAGAGACAGTGGCAACAGTCTTCTGAACATCATATCGAGTAAGATCGAGGGACTGATTAATAGCCATTGCAGCAGGCATTTGTAAGAAAAAAAAAATTGTAATGATATAAAGTATGTAATGATAGTTATGTGTTAGATTTTTTAAGTTACTTACATAGATTATAAGTAATTCTTACTAACAAAATGTTAAGGTTTTAAAAAGAAAATGAAATAAAGTATAAATAAATAGTAAATATATTTTGTAGAGTAGAGGTGTTCGAGATGTGGCATCAAATGGAACTACATTTTGAAACTGTTTTTAGATTCGATGGTCATTAACTAGGTCTCTATGATTGTGGATGATTGCCTTATTATTTAAATATCTAAATATTTCTCAAATGGGACCTTTACAAAAGTATAAAAAAATATTATTGGTTAACTTGTGCGTGTGTGCGTGTGGTTGTGTGGTTGTGTACGTGTGTGCGTGTGAGGCGCGCCGCACCTGGAAGTGAGTGAGCGCGGCCGTGGCGCCCGCGAGCCTGGTGCGTGCGAGGTCGGCCTGGTCCTGCAGCCGGTGCAGCCGCTCGGCCAGGGCACGCGGGCCCTCCTCCAGCGCCGCGCGGGCCCGGGCTCCGCCCTCGGGGCCCAGCCGCTCCTCCGCCATCGTCACTATGTCATCTACTGCCACCTCCACGCTCTGGAGTGATATTAGTATAGATAATTGTAATTTATTAATAAGTTATGGTGTGTGTATCAACAGGAGCCGTCGCGTTACCTGCAGCGGCGCGCACAGGGCCTGCAGATGGTCGGCGAGCGCGGCGAGTGCGGGCGCGGCGAGCGCGGGCGGCGCGGCGTGCGCGTCCCGCAGCCGCTCCTCGCAGCGCTGCAGCGGAGTCTCCACGCCGCGGCTCTTCTCCAGCACCTCGCCCAGCATGCGGCTCGTCGTCTCCAGGAACTCCACTTGCTGGAGAACCTCTGTTGCACCACAAAATATATCTTCAATTAACACTAAACCTACCATAACTGGTCATATGACCCATTTTGAACTTTTTCATTGAAAATGCACATTATATCATCTTATCACTTTTGCATATTTGACTTCATTACTGTTTCTTACCAATTAATCCACAGTTATTATACTTTTTTTGTTTTTGTTTTGTTTTGTTTATTTTGAGTAGGTAAGTAGAAATAGGTACCAGTAAGTGTTGGTATGATTAATGTTAACCACTAAACTGTCTTTGCATGATTGAGTTCATTAATTCCAGGATATAATACCAGTCGATTTTTATAAATCGATATATTTTATTATTATTAAAAAATAGCTACAGTGAATATTTAATAAATATTTCAACTAGTTTCTTAAATTAGTCCATATATTCTAAAACAATAAAATACATAACTTATTTTTTTATCAATGCCCATTCTTCAAGCTAAGGTGAAAAAAGTAATATGCAACAAATTAAATAAAGCAAACTTTAATGAATAGCGAGTTTTTGGAAACGACTGTCAGGAACATCAGTGACTTAAAACCCAGAATATTTTCACAAAAGATATCGATCGAAAAGTGGGAATGAGTTGCTCGCTCTGGGCGTTTCAATATCGTAGTAATTGTTACGTTATAATACTCATTGTAAAAAATTCATATTTCCAAAAATAATAATCTAATATTAAAATATAAATAAATAATAATTTCATATAAAAAAAAAAAAAAAAAGACATGCCCGCTGAGTTTCTTGCCAATTCTTCTCAGGACGGAGGCTAGTTCTTGTGAATTGGCGGTAGTTCTTTTGACGTTCAACAAGTATGTACTTTCATTTATGTTGAATAAAAAATTTTTGATTTGATTTGCTTTGATTTGATCAATAAGAAGACCAATTAAAAATATAAACGTTTAAAATCATAGTTGAGTATTATTTAGTACGTATTGTCGTTGTATGCATTATTGAGAGATCTATGTATATCCAACTCACCGTTGTTTATCTTGTCCCATCTTTCCTTCATGCTGTCAATTTGCGTTCGGACCACGTCTTGGTCGACGTCACACGACGAAATGAAAGTCTCACCGAGAGTTTTGTTGTTCTCGAACTCTCCGGCCCTGGGTTACAAATTTATTGCCATAACAAAAAAAGGTTTAAACTTAATTATGTACTACATTTTTTTTAAATATAACAATACATACTGTATAAAGTATTATATGTATGTATATATGTAATTTTGGATGTATGTATATGTATATCTGTTTGTGTATGTAATTGTAATTTAATATAAATTTCATTGCACCTACCACTATTTACTCTGCACTACCTTTGGTTGACTGGTAGTTAAGTCCGCCAATGTAAATTTTACATGAAGTGTAATAAATAAATAAATAAATAACCCACCTCTTCCATATGTCGTTTCGGATGTGTTGCAGTTCTCTAAGTTGTTTCTCAACTTCCTTCTTGGAGAATGCCGGCGGAGGAAGCTTGGCGATGCGTTCCTCGGTGTCCGCCAGCCACGGCAAGAACGACTCTTGGCACTTGTGGAACTTACGGCAGTGTTCCTGCATGACGGACAGTTTACATTAGAAGGATTTTTGAAGTCATACTTCTTTAGGCGCCTTATGAAAAATTGATGAGAGTGAAATTTTACGATGCACGCGCACCGTAACACAAAATTAACAGAACGAAGTTGCCCACTAAATCGCTCGTTACGTCGGTCGTATTGTAATGACAATATGACCGACGTAACTTGGCAAGTCTGAATATAGCTGCAGGTGAACTTTCCGAACCGTACCGAGGATTACCGAATTTATACGATGTCAAGAAAAGGGATGTCCATATGCGTGTTTGAGGATGTTGTTTAATCGTTTTTTTTTCAAATTGATTAAAATTTAAATTAAAAAAAAGAAATAAATTTAATAAAAATAAAGTATAACTTCTTACGCGCGTACATAAGTACACGCACCCTTTTTTTTATTCTTGCACAAAACAAATTACAACCATAAAAATTAAAAGTTTAAATATTTAACATAAAAATCTGGGTGGCAATTCAAAACAGGTGCATTCAGAAAAAAATTTAACAACTGAACAGATGCCTAAATACCATGTGTGTATATATACATACACACATACGCTCACAAACACACACACACACACACTCACACACACACACTCACACACACACACACACACACACATATGTAAGCTACTAACTAATTAAATTAAATCTAATGTATCATTAGCTGGACAATATTATATGGAATAATAGTTTCGATTAGTTCTGTATATACGCGATTTTCATGACGAGGTTTGCGGGTAGTGCTATCACTGTACGACAGATGGCGGGCAAGTCGTGACTATTAATGGTAATACGCGCTTGTTCATATAAATCTTAATATCACAGTGAACGCGGTCTGGCGTCACATAAAAAATTATCAATTTACTAGACGGTAAGTAGAACTCACCATGGCGGTGTGTAGTCTTGTGTTTCTGTCGACAATCTCTCGCTTCAGCTTGTCCCACTGAGCTTGTATACGATCGAGATCCTTCCTTAAGTTCTGGTGAGAAGGTTTCTTTTCCATTTCACGGCCTGTTTTAATATAATAATTTATTTATATCGAACTCAAGGCAAAGTATAATAGAGTGGATAGTTATTATAATATTTATTATTAATATTCGTAATAGAACTATCATGTTCTAAAACAGCGGTCGGGGAACTTTTTTAATTATTACCCCAAAATATTTTTGTGCAAGTTGATATTACCCCATGGCGAAGAGCAAAAAAAACGCAACCGCTTCTTTTTAGAACCTTTCATATTATAGCCCCCATGATAATTTTGAAAAGAACACAATAACTAAAAATTTATCGACTCTAAAGAAGTTTTACTTCAATATATACTTTTTACTCACAAAAGTTTCATTTTTACCCTCCAAAATTTCATTTTACCCTATTTTGGGTAATTTACCCCGGTTCCCCGACCGCTGCTCTAAAATAACAGACCGTTTCTATCGATATAAATATAGAGTTGGAACAAATAAAATGTCCAAACAAGCGCTTTAACTAGAATGATCTATGTACGTATATTATTTAAACGAGTTTACCGAGTCGTTTTTGGAAGTATAAAATTTACTATCACATTCCACATCCACAGTGCGTTTCCAGAGGTCTTTTTTGCCACGTACCATCCGGCTATGGAATGAGCTCCCCTCCACGGTGTTTCCCGAGCGCTATGACATGTCCTTCTTCAAACGAGGCTTGTGGAGAGTATTAAGCGGTAGGCAGTGGCTTGGCTTTCCCCTGGCATTGTTGAAGTCCATGGGCGACGGTAACCACTCACCATCAGGTGGGCCGTATGCTCGTCTGCCTACAAGAGCAATAAAAAAAAACCATTGAATTCTATACCGTACTCACCCTTATCAATCAACATAATAATTTCATGTTCCCGTTGAGTGAGATCTCTGTAGAGGGGCTCGTGTTTCTGTATCTGTTGTTGCAGTTTGTTGATGTCCGCGGACACTTGGAGGCGGCTCGGCAGCGAGCCCAGCTCAGACTGGAGCCAGCCGAGGGTTCGGGCGACGTTCTCTTCGAGATTGCGGCCGTCCCTGGGAGATACAAAGTCGGAGTTTATTCAAGTTACTAATCATCAGACATCATCACATAGACTTTTTTTTTGTTTTGCCCACCTAATTGCCAGAGGCATCGGAGGACTAACTTAGCTTTATCATGCCTGGTGGGTGAGTCCATTGTATGACCGGTGCTTGAAATATCTAGATGAACCAAGAGCGGATCGCGATCGCATTCAACAACGCAATTGCGACTTCGGTCTGAGGACGAATGACAGCTTCCACGTTTTGCTACTACGCCAAGTGAGCCGGGAGCCTCTACTCTATGAGGAGCCAATGGCAAGTTAGATCAACGAGGGGTCTCATTATAGTGGGCATTTTTGACTCAAGATTGGGTGGTCTTCTGTTTTGAAGGTTATAGGTTTCTGTGAGCACTCAGCACCGGATTGTCTAGACAATGAGTGTGGGGAGGACGTACTTGAGCGCGGCTTCGAGCTCGGCCTTCCTGTGGTCCAGCTTCCGCTGCAGGGTGTCGAGGTGGCGGGCGGCGGCGGCCAGGCGCGCGCCCACGTGCTGCGCCGCGGCGGCCTCGCACACGCCCGCCAGCGCCGCGCCCGACACCTCCAGCCCCGCCAGCAGCGGCCGCTGCCCCTCCAGCTGGCGCTCCAAGTGCTAAAGACGCAACCACATAATAATAATAATATAATATCATTGTTCCAATAGTTATGTCGGTACACGGCTAGATAGCGAAAAGTTTCGATCAACATCTTAAGAAACTTTCGTTATCCAGCTGGGTTAAGGGCCTAATACAGAAAGCAGTTATCCTCAATACTGCACGCATTGTGAGGAGGTTTCTCACTCTGGAGTCCTAACCACTGGCGGCAATCTATTTTTATATAGATAGTGTTTTAAAAAAATATATATTTTTAATATCTTTTTTAAAAATATTATGTAATTAATAAGAATTTAAATAAATATAAATAAAAAAAAATGTGTGCGTGTACTAGTGTACACACGTAAGAAGTGAAACTTGTTTATGGCCTTATTTTTCGAAAAATGATCTACATGCAACTTTCTAGAAATTGGTTAAATAAAGTTAAATTAGATAAAGTTTAAACAAAAGGATTTTATTATCATAGACATGAATACAAATAATACAATTATTTCACTTTACCTTTTTGCTACTAAGATTATTACAGCATTTTAATAATACATCTCTTTGATATCATAATACCCTGGTACTTTTCTTCCTATAAATTAATAATAATAGCACGGTCCACGTGGTGTTAAATGGGGTTCCTGAGGTTCGTGAAGTTTGACCCACCTTGAGACATGAGGTCGATTTCTCAAATCCGAAACCATGCTTCAGAACATACCGCCGTTAATTATTAATAAATCTCTTTGCTATCATAATACCCTGGTACTTTTCTTCCTATTATTTTACGTAATAACAGTAATAAATAGCACGGTCCACGTGATATTATTAAGTGGGCTCCCTGAGATTATTGGAATTACAAAATGATTTCCGTAATCCACCTGGAGACATGAGGTCAATTTCTCAAATCGGAATCCATACTTCAGAACATACAGCCGTTAATTAATAAAGAAGGCTGTACGTCAGAGTAAAGTTATAATAATACATCTCTTTGATATCATAATACCCTGGTACTTTTCTTCCTATTATTTTACGTAATAACAATAATAGCACGGTCCACGTGATATTAAGTGGGTTACCTGGGATTATTGCAATTACAAAATGTATTCCGTGACCCACCTTGAGACATGAGGTCGGTTTCTCAAATGCGCATCCATACTTCAGAACATACAGCCGTTAATTAAAAGATGGCGCGTAACGGAAAAATGTGACGCGTAACCGAAAAATGTGACGGTAAATTTTTTTCCAACGCCGATAAGGAAGTTTCACTTCAATAATAATAAACATTTGTTCCAAACATAAATTAAATACAAAAAATAAAAACAAAGTTAAGAAAAATAACGAGGCTTGGAAACGGTTACCGGCTCAGCAATGCCTAACAGTAACGAAACAATCGGTACTGCAGCGCTGATCTTCCGCCGGCACCTACGGAGTGACGCGCACACCAGCATCAGACCGACCAATCGTTATACACTGAGTTTGAGTTTAGCAAATTATTACTTTCTTTTTAAAAATTGGAACACGCTATATATACTTTGTTAAGGAAGCTAGATTTTAAGAAATACAAGTACACAACAATGTAAAATATAAAAAATCAACTTAACATTTGTGTTGACACAACAAGACAAGATAGATATATTCCTATAATGTTTGGATGTTTAAAATGCTCACCACTGTCAGAAAACACACTTTTTTAGTTTATCTTTATGAAGTTAAGACTCACAGGTCGATAGGCGATCTACGTGATTCGATATGTACCTATATATTAATAAGTGAAAAAATTTGTACCCCTTTTTGTCGGAGGAGTATGAAATTTTTCACACTTATAAAGTTTTATTTTTTATTTTTATTGCTTACATAGGTAGACGAGCTCACAGCCCACCTGGTGTTAAGTGGTTACTGAAGCCCATACACATCTACAACGTAAATGCGCCACCCACCTTGCGATATAAGTTCTAAGATCTCAGTATAGTTACAAAGGTTGCCCCACCCTTCAAACCGAAACGCATTACTGTTTTACGGCAGAAATGGGCAGGGTTGTGGTACCTACCCGCATGGATCCACAGAGGTCCTACTACTAGTAAGAATGTCATAGCGCTCGGGAAACACCGTGGAGGGGAAGCTCATTCATTCGTGTTTCCCGAGCGGTTTGACATGTCCTTTTTTAAACGAGGCCTGTGGAGAGTATAAGGTATATTAGGTGGGCCGTGTGCTCGTCAGACTACAAGGGCAATAAATAAAAAAAAATCGACTACCGGGGGACTAGTTAAGTCTACTGGATGAGTGCTAGTGTATTGGCGACTACCCCCACCTCGATCTTGCGCAGCTGCTCGTCGGGCTCGTGGTCGGGCGCGAGCTCGTCCAGCTTGTCGCTGATGGCGGCGAGCGCGCCCCGCAGCCGCGCCAGCCCCGCGTCGAACTCGCGCGCCGTGTCCGCCGCCGTGCCCAGGCTCTCCGCGCGCGCCGCCAGCCTGCCAGCACACCACGCTCTTGGACACACTGCTCTCAGCAAGATGCATTGACAAAGACATCGGCATATTTATATAATATAGCTACTTATAGTAACCCCAACACTGAAGTTTCCTGGTAACTATGAGCAGGACTTAATTTTAATTAAAATAAATAGAAAAAAAACCAATTCCGATAAAAAAAACAATATTACAAACTAAACAAACTCTTTAGATTCTTGCCTACTGAGTTTCTCGCCGGATCTTCTCAGTGGGTCGCGTTTCCGATTTGGTGGTAGATTCTGTGAAACACTGCTCTTGCTAGGGCCAGTGTTAACAACACTTCCGGTTTGAGCCCCGAGAGCTCACCTACACGTCAAGGAGAAGCTGAAATAACCTCTCCAAGCTATCAGCATGAGTAGGAAAAATAAAAAGAAAAGAACTTTAGATTCGATTTTGTCATCGAAACACAAGAGGTGTTATCCCCACTCACTTGGCAAGGAGGTCGTCCCAGCGATGCGTAACGTCATGCAGTTGTCCCTGGAGGGCGCGCGCGTCCGCGGAGTGGGGCGGCAGCCGGGACAGCACGGCGCTGCCCACCTCCTCCAGGTGGGTCAGCTGCGGCTGCTGGCTGCGGAACTCTTCGCGGAGGACCTGCACCTGTGAGACAAGTTAACGCACTGGTTGAGACCTCGGATCCCGTCTTAAGGGGGGGGGAGAGGTGGTAGTAGCGATCTTCGCTTTCTTATAGGCACGAGTTCAATCTAGGTATACCGTGATCAAATCTACCCTTCCGTCTATTAAATTAATCAATTATTACAATAAAACATAGATTAAAAAAAAAGGAATATTTCAAATTAACTATATATTAAATACGTAAAGCAAAAACTTTGTATTCCTTTTTACGAAAATTGCGCGGACGGAAGAGTATGAAATTTCTCACACTTATAGAGAATATAGAGAAGCAGTGCACAATGCTAATATTTATTTAAAATAATGCATAAAGGATACTTTAAATCAATAAAGAAAACATTACACACACTGCCATGTATTTGATACACACACATGTATATATACTCTTTGTTTATTGTCAAACTTTAGTTAATGCTTAAAGTCTGTGGTCAAATTGAAAATAGGTTAATTATCTTGAATATTATTTGTCTATAGTGTAGTCTTGGCGAAATCTGTGATTATAGAAGTAGTCTTTGACAATATAACCACAATAATGTTCAAACTTATAATTTCAATTAATTATAGTCCAATTTCGACTACTGCGGGACCACTAGTTCGAATTAAATTAGAACAAGAGTTGTCGCTGCACCAGCACACCTACCTGCTGTACTTGTGTGTGCACCATGCTGGAGTCGGTGGAGATGGGTCCCAGGGCCGCCATCATGCGCTCCTTGGCGTTGAGCCACTGGGACAGGTTCGAGTGTGTGTCCAAGAAGTCCTTCATCTCCTCCATCAGTCTTATCCTGCAACCAATTTCAATTTAGTAGAGGTTCCAATTTAGTTAAGAGTTACACAGAGGGTGATCAACAGTATATAATAAATGTAACATCTAGCAGAAGGAAACATTACATGTCTATACTAATATTATAAAGAGGAAAGATTTGTTTGTTTGTTTGTATTGAATAGGCTTCGAAACTATTGAACCGATTTGCAAAATTCTTTCACTGTTTGGAAGCTACACTATTCCCGAGTGACGCAGGCTATAATATTTTTTGAAAAATTTATGGATCTTTACTAAAACTCCAATAATGTAACCCAAGGTGTAAAAAAAATACCTAAAATATTCTTTACATCGCATGCGCTGCGATAAACTATTCGCGATAAAATAAAAGAAAGAACACATTATTATTTACAAAAAGTGTCGCGACAGCATATGTCTAACTTAATAGTTAGAGACTATAATTAGTTATGCCGCAATAAATGTTCTTTTATTTAAAAATAAATAAAACAACGTCAAATATCGTTGAAATTTTTGTTAAAGACCCGAGCGTAGCCGAAGCGGGCCGCTTGTATAACATAACTCACTTGTCTTTCAAGCCGTCGTGAAGAGCCTTCCACCTGGAGGCGACGTCTTCCATCTCGTCGTGCAGACGGTCCGCCCCCTGCACGCTCTGTTTGCGCTTCAGGAGTTCTCGTACCTGGACGATATATTAATATTCATAAATTCAGTTTTATTACAACATTAAATTGCCGCAAACCTAGTCAAACTATCCAGAAGATATCGAACTTAAAATGTTCAAGTAAATAGAAAATATATAATTATGTATTTGTAGTGAGTTGGGACTTAAAGCCCACGTCTAAAGGTTGGCCTTTAATTCAGCATCAGGTCATGTGCATTTCTTACCTGTGTCTTAGTGGAGTCGAGGATGCTCTGTTTCTCGTACATCTCTTCGAGGACGGCGCGAGCTTGTTTTATGATCTTATCAGCCTCCTCCTTGTTGTTGGGGACTGTGTCCTTAGGCAATTGTCTCTGCACCTGTCGATTTTACACCAAATGTGAAAGGAGCTTTTTTTTAATAGGCTTCAAATCGACCCGTTTGCTCCAGAAAGTTCTTCACTTCAGGGTCAAGTTTTGATCGTCTCTACTACATCACGCTCCGAGAGAAATTGTAATGGCTGTCATCCGAATGTATGCCATCAATAGATGATGTCATTGATATACAGGATGAAAAGCATGGGGCGTAGAACACCAAATCTTGTGGAATGCCAGCGTTAATGGTCATGATATCGGAATAGCAGCCGTCTACGATGACTGCGATACTCAAAGTGGCTCAGTGCTGTGTATCCCATTCAATAATCTAGCGATCCACTTTGAGCATAAAATCATCGAATCATGAACACGTCACAATTTTTCGTTTACAAACATAGGCACAGTCCATCATCTTATATTTAAAAGAAGGCTCTGCTAATATAAAAACGGACAGATTATTAATGAAATGTCCCTTAAAATTACGTTCGATGATATTTTAATATATTATGGTCTCGTAACATCCGTAATTGTTTCGGATCAAACTAATTTTCTCTCCTACCGACGCCGAAAGTTCGGTTTTCGTCCCGCTGTACAGGGAAGAAAGTCTAACCTTTCCCCCCTGGGTACTGACAAGTGCGCATGCGCGTTAGTGTCTACGTCTGCTCTCACGCACCTACAATTCTCCGCCATTGTTGTGCTCGGGTAGTTTGCAATATTGTGTTTAGTGTAAAAGTGAAATAAACAAAAGGCAATAAAATTTAATAGTGAAGTATTAAATAAAGATGAGTTCATCAGACAGTTCTTATTCAATTAGTAATAGTTTACTTAAAAATTAAAAAACAGTTAAATTGTTTTTTTTTTATGAGCCTGGTAGGAGAAATAATAGTATGTGCACCGCGGGAAAAAAGTAGGACATCTCATCCCGCGTGTTTGCCAATGGAAATGTTCTACTTTCTCCCTTGGTAGACAATGTACTATGGTTTAATATCAAAGAGCTTACCTTGTCCAAGAACGCGTTCAAAGTCTTAAAGCTCTCCAAGTGCTTCTTGATCTCCTCCCTGATGGCCTCCAGCTCGGAGTGGCGGTCCGACAGCTTCGTGCCCAGCAGACTGTACCGGTTGTTGATCTCAGACAGTTGCTGCTGGACCGGGGACAGTTCTGAAAAGGAAGTTACCACACGATAAGTTTTGGAGTTGGTTAAAACCTTCCAAGTGTCACGTGGCAGCACTAGAAGATATGATAGAATTGGGCTTTAAGTGTGACACAGCCCTTATTCAATAATGTAGGCACTTCGACATGATGTCTTCAGTTAGGTGGAATTTGCGTAATGATATGTGTTGGGCTTCGGTGACAACTTAATACAAGATGGGACACATGCACCGGTCAGTCTGCAAAAATGCATCCGGCAATCGTTTTTGTTGGAGAATTCTTGAAATAGATATAACACTGTATTTATGTTCATATTAAATACCTTCAAGATGGAAGCCGTCTTGGCTGGATCGTCGTGACGAGAATCCGCTCGAAGTAGATCCCGGACTGACGAGGACTGAGCCCTTGCCTGGAGAAGGCGACCTTCCATCCAAAGTGCGACCTACAAGAATTACGTTACTAATAAATACAGGCCGACGAGCGAATTAACCCATACACAGCCCACTGAGTTTCTCGCCGGATCTTCTCAGTGGGTCGCGTTTCCGATCCGGTGGTAGACTCTGCGAAGCACTGCTCTCGCTAGGGTCAGTGTTGGCAACTCTCCCGGTTTGAACGCCGTGAGCTCACCTACACACGTTAGAGTGAAGCTGAAATAGCCTGTTAAGGCTATCAGCATAGGTAAAAAAAAAAACAGGTCGCATTTCGCCGTGAATATTGACTCAAAATACACAAAAATTTGTTGAAACTACCGGCGCGCCATCTGCTTATTGGACTATGCGAGATGCCTAACCGGCAGTTTCAACGACAGCTGTACAAAGATTCAGCTCGATCGAACAAACTATCAAACATGTGGGGGCTTTAATTTTTTGAGAGCGGCAACACTGTGAGTGTTGACAGCTGACAGCTGACGTTGTCGTCAGTCTGACACGACAATGGAGTCTTTGTCTATTTAGTGTTTATTCAGGGTTAAATGTGTAATAACGGTGGTTTATTAACTGTGTAATATCTGTGAAAGAGCACAAATGTGGGAAATAGGAACAAAGCCGCTGAACGTAACTTCTCGCGATCCTCCAAAAAGTCCACTGAAAAAGTCTCAGTAAACGACCACCATTTTACCGAGATTATATTTCATCCCATATCATCTCATTTCGTTTCATTTAATTTCATGTCAAACGATTAAGTTTCCTTCGTTTTTTATTATTTATAAACTTAAATAATGAGAATGGCGAATTATAATAAGTCTTATTATTTGACGCTGGCTAATGTGCAAACCGTGCCGGAGTCAAAAACTACAGGAGTATACTGACTGGGCGTGTGTCGCTTGGTCGGGCTGTAGAGCTGCCTCTTGCGGTGCGGGCTGTCGGCGCGGTCGGCGCGGTGCAGCGCCTCGTACGCGGCGCCGGCCTCGCTCACCTGCCGCACGGGAGACACGCATCATCAGAACACCACTGTAACTTACTTGAGACCTTAGAACTTATATCTCAAGGTGGGTGGCGCATTTACGTTGTGGATGTCTATGGGTTCCAGTAACCACTTAACACCAGCTGGGCTGTGAGCTCGTCCACCCATCTAAGCAATAAAAAAAAAATAAAAAAACTTCAACTACATTATTACTAGTGGTTACCTCTTGTGAGACCGCGCGGGTAGGTACCATCACATATTTCTGCCGTGAAGCTGTAATGCGTTTCGGTTTCAAGGGCGGGGCAGCCGTTGTAACTATACTGAGACCTTAGAACTTATAGCTCAAGGTGGGTGGCGCATCTACCTTGTAAATGTCTATGGGCTCCAGTAACCACTTAACACCAGGTGGGCTGTGAGCTCATCCACCCATCTAAGCAATAAAAACAAAAAAAAAAACAACCTGCTGCTTCTAGTCTATTATTATGATTACGTAATTATACTTGAGTACAAACGTGGGAACTGAGTCGAAAATCATTTTTATCAGACCTCTCGCTCACACTTATAGGCACATCGAATCTCTTGCTCACACTTCTAGTGTTGTGTGTATAAAACTTAAACCAATAATAATAACACAAACAAAAACGTTACTATTTATTTCAATTTCAAAAACATATTTTTTCGGGTCACTTTTTAACTCGTTAAACACTATCAACATTATTATGAATAGCCGAACGAGTTTGGGCATTAATATTCAATACAAATTTATGGAAATAATTCTAAATATGACATCAAATTACTTGATAAAAAAGTTCGCTTTGATTACCTTGTCTATGGTTATGGAGTAGTCTCTGTACTCCTTCGCTAGAGGGCGCAGCTCGTCCTGCTGACGCTTGATGACGTCCAGGTCGACTGCCACGGGCTGGAGGTGAGACACTCTGTTCTCCATCGATTGGAGCCAGTCCAGTACCTGAGGGGGAGCGAGATGCAATGATATGTCCGTCCTGTACTATCGGCAATAGAAAAACAGAATAGACGTATGCGAAGAACTCACCTGAATCTTCAAAGACTCGTATTGGGTGAGTTGGTCGGCGCGCTGTCTGGACAGTTTCTGCTTCTCTTCCAAGGACGTGTTGAAGTCGCGCCACTGGTTCTCCAGAGCCTGAGGATTGATGGATCATATTAAGCACTTAGCTTTGATTAGAATATTCTATGTGCTGACTACTTTTTATTGCACAGATAGACAGCTGAACTCTAGGCTCACCCGAGGTTTAGTTGTTACCGGAGCCCATGGACATGACCACATGAATACTGACAAAACGACCGAACCTCAACACTTTTGAATCTGAAACGCATGACTATTTCGCGGCAGAAATAGGTAGGGCAGGGTTGTATATTTTTGATATTTCTTTATTGCTTCACTGGGTGGACGAGCTCACGGCCCGCCTGATGTTAAGTGATTACCGGAGCTCATAGACATCTACGAAGTAAATGAGGCGCGACCCACCTTGATATATAAGTTCTAAGGTCTCAGTATAGTTACAACGGCTGTCCCGCCCTTCAAACCAAAACTCATTACTGCTTCACGGCTGAAATAGGCAGGGTGGTGGGACCTACCCGTGCGGACTCACAAAACGTCCTTCCACCGGTAAATGTTGGTTCCATTCCAATAACTAAATATATGTATGTGTTGCATAATTTACAAAAGATTTCTTTTTTACTTTTTTTAATTTAATAAATTCATAACTTGTTGCCTACCTTCATTTTGTCGAGTACAACGTGCGTGTCGGTGACGTCTTTCTTCGCGACCAACCTCTTCCCCATACGCAGACATTCGTCTAGAAGCGGCATTTGTTTGTCCCTGTGACGAAAATAATACATTTATTATTTTATATCTAAATTCACATAAATATTCCATATTGAAGAGTTCGTCCTTCGGAGCGGTTGGTTAACCCATAGACACAGCCCACTGAGTTTCTCGCCGGCTCCTCTCAGTAGATCGCTGCTCTTGCTAGGGCTATTAGGGCTAGATATCGCAAATTCTCTCAAGTTTGAGCCCAGTGAGTTCACTTACTCGCTCTCTCAAGACTTAGGCAAGAAAAAAAAGCGGAACGGCAATGGTTTTTTTTTTATTTCCCTTGTAGGCAGACGAGCATACTACCCACCTGATAGTGAGTGGTTAACGTCACCCATGGACTTCAGCAATGCCAGGAGGGGCAGAGCCAAGCCGCTGCCTACAAATGAGAAGTAGTTACATGCATACCTATAGTTGGCCAGGTCGGCCAGTCTAGCCCCGAGCTGGTCGGCCGGCATCCTGGCGAGCTCGCGGCCCTCGGACTGCTCGATGAGTTGGCCGTACGTCGCGTCCAACACGTTGGCCTGTTGGGTGAACTGGGCCAACTCGGCCGACACTTCGTCCAAGAATTCAGAGCGTTTGGCCGAGCGTTCCACTAGCTTTTCGTATCTGTTAAATAAATGCTTAGTTATAGCTTTATTTAAAAGTTCGACAGGCAATGATAACACAAAGAAATAATATGAATTTAACACTGAACAAATTTACATAAGTAACATTTGTGATATAGTCCATGATTTTAATTTATTTCTATTAAATGTTAACATATCGTGGAAATAATCAAAAGTATTTTTACTTAATTTTCGCACTTAGGAAACTACTAGCCGTAATCGCCCGCTTCGCTGGGCATTTAAAATTAACATTATTATTTATTGTCATTATTATTAGGGAGTCCAACACTCATATAAATATTAGCCTATCCATTAAGTACATGTATTTTCTACATGGATACTAAGTTTCAAGTCAATCGGATGCATGGTTCAGTAGTTATAACGGAACATCCGTAAAAACCACTGTAGTTTTATATATTAGTATAGATAGTATAGATTAGTATAGATAATGTATTCGAAATATCTGTACAAGTAGTTTTAACTATGAACCAGTATAATGTGGTTTCATTTGCAACTTTTTGCAACTTTCCCGCAAGTACGTCAAGAGATGGTCAGCGGTATACAATTGAGCATTGTTGGATCAGGGATCTCAATTGTCGTTTATTACAAAAGCGACTGTCCAACAATTGAAGTTGAAGAAGACTCCTACTAAAGTACAAATCAGAGGAGTAGGTGGAGATAAGACTTTGATCTCCAAGGCAATCGTGAATTCGAAGATATCATCACGAGTCGATCCGCAGTTATAAATGTAAAAGCACATGTTTTTAAATCCATTACCACACTTTTACCGACCAATGAGATAAAAACAGTGAAATGGAAGGATCTACAAGATATGGTGCTGGCGGATCCAGATTATCATACGGCATGTCGTGTGATATGTTGCTGGGTGCAGAAGTGTATGGACTAAACTTTCAAGAAGGAGTGAAAAGAGGTCAATAATACAAATCAATAGCAATGAGCGGAATTATTTTGTGAGTCGTTCCTAAAGTTGTTGGTGTCGCGCGTGCTCACCTCGCGTATATGTCCTGCGCGCGCTGCTCCAGCTTCTTGGCGAGGCGGGAGGGCGCGGGCTCGGCGGCGGCGCAGTGCGCGAGCGCCTGCAGCGTGGCGCGCCGCCCGCCCAGCTGTGCGTGCGCGCGCCGCTGCTCCCGGACCTGCTCCTCCAGCCGCGCCACCACCAGCGACGCGCCCACCAGCTGCTGTCTGCAAGACACACACACACATTGTGCCATTTGTGTTGGCAACAAGCTAGCAACTATGCTTGAGACCTTAGAACTTATATCTCAAGGTGGGTGGCGCATTTACGTTGTAGATGTCTAAAGGCTCCGGTAACCACTTGACACCAGGTGGGCTGTTAAGCTCATCCACCCAAATAAGCAATAACAAAAAAATCGGTTGTCTGTAAAGTCGGTTTACTGCATAGACCTATATAGTAGGGACACGACATATTGTTCTATACGTACAATTGCTTATATAAATAGCACCCATTTTGAAGGCACACACATAAACATATATCTATCTCGTTCTTACTCAGCACTTTAACTCGCAAGAAAACAATATAACAGTATTTCAGTGCGTACATAAAATGAAACATGAATATACGTAAATGTCTCCGTCTCCGTCTAATGAGGCCGAAAATCCGCCATGTTTAGCGCGCCAAATGTCATTGTCACGTCAGTTCGGCCGTCTGTTTTGGGTTGTACATTATTTATTGACTTTGATATCGATTTAATATGATTGCTTATATAAAATTTCTTATTTTATCATGCTTAAAACATACAAAAATAATAATTAAAACATATTTTATAGGATCTCAAGAAAGTCGTCGGAACTATTTAAATAAAATAGTTTTATAACACTATTGTCAACTCGTTAAATATTTAATAATTAAGTGATTTTAGAGAGGAAGTCACAAGGAATGACGTTTGTAATTTTATTAACGAATAAATGTTCTGTAGGTGTTTTTTTATCAGGCGGTCCCTTGAGAAGTTTAAAATTTGAATCACTCTCAAGCGAGACTCTCAGCAAAACAATTAAAATAGATTGTAATAGTCTAAGAAAAACACGTACTCAAAATACGATAACATTCAGCATGCTAGAAATGGGCTGATGGCACTGTACTATGCCATATCTTTATGTTTTGCGGCAAACGACAACTTTATAAAATCAGTGTAGCAAATTTAAAAAATCGTCATATCGTTTACTTGGAAAATTTGAAGCACGAACTCGTCTTAGATTTCACATAATATCTAAATCACATCATCTTTGCACATAACAATATACTTAATTCGTATTAAAGTATAAATTCTACAAATACATTCATACTCAACAATATTTAAAATAAAATAAGCCAAGAACGTTTATCGATAAAACCTACTAACATTAAAATCTTCTGGGCAGCACTAACACCGCCATGTTTTGTGGCCAGATGACGTCACAGTGGCACGAATTTTTTGTTGACGTTTCATTTCCATAGGTTTCCTACTTCAGTGGTTTACTGACGGTAGTTGAACGTGACAACGTCATAAGAAAATACTGATGGAATGGTTTCATTTTTCAATTATCGCAATTATCGTTGCTATAAATAATTGACATCACATTCACTTTTCACTGAACTTCATATTTAACGAAAACATGTAAATGTACTATTGTATAGCAGCTGTCCACGCGGATGCATCGCTCACTCAAGTGGGAGAGAGACAAATGTGTAATTTAAGTGACATTGTTTCAACATTACAGGAGAGCTATTTAAAGATCAAAATTTAGAAAAATTGACACGACAAAAAACTTTTCAGTAATTTAAATGTGCAAGCATAATTGAAGTTAAATTAGAAACATCGAATTGTTGACACTAATGCCAAATAAAAAGGATCTTTAATTACAAAGATAAATGTCGCGTATTAAGCAAAATGCCACTTAAACCAAATAGCCTTTCACCCCGCGATATATAAAAATGAAAAATAAAAAATATTTGTCTTTCTGTGGCTACCGTTGATATACAATCCTTATACATATATTATTATAATATATATTTCTTCTGTGCGTGTTTCTCACTGACCTTGACCGATTTTAATGAAATTTTCTGTGTACCTTTGATTGTGCTTTGGATTCGAGAATGGTTTAGATTTACAAATCAGCCCGGTAGATGGCGCTGCAGTCGGTATATAGGTTATTTATCTTTCCTATAAATAATTTATATGACAAAACAGCGTTTACCGGGTCAGCTAGTATTTATATCAAACAAAAGTTATTACCAATTAAATTAAACTGTGAATGAAAATTTCCGTTTGAAAAAATTTGAAAACTCACTTAAACAAGTCCTCGGCTTCGCCCAACCAATGCGCCTGGGCCTCGACGGAGTCCTGCAGACCCTGGCACTGCAGCAGGGCAGCCTCCAGTTCCGAGCATCGGCTACCAACGGCCTCGGAGAGGTCATGGTACCGGCTGGTGAGGTCCACCACCGGCACTTCCAACTGCCGAATCTCGGCAGGAGTCAAGTGACCCTCTAGAGATTTTACTAGTTGGTCACAAGCCTGCGGATGGAATTTGAGTAAATAAATTGCAAAGAATAAATAATAGTTTAAAAAACTAAAAGAAAACACGTTTTATATAAAATTCAACTAAAACATAGAAAATAAATTTTAATAAATTTAAATTGAAAATAGTGTAAAATATATTTTATTGTAAAAAAAAGCGTGGTTCAATCACAATGGTTTTATAGTTTTGAGAAGGGATTTTTTGTAACGCCATCTCGTGAAGTTTTTCGGTATTACAAATCAAAATTGTCCCTCCAACAGTAACAATGCAAGTATCTAAAATATTTAGGTACTAGATGTCATTATTTTAAATGTTGTGTGCCAAGCATTTAATAATTTTGCGTAAAATAGTGTTTTTTATTAAAAATCTGTTACATAGATACGACTTAATTATCAAATTAGTGTATTGTCATCGGTCCTCGATAATTCTACAAAGTTTGAATGAAATCTGGCCGTTTAAAGGGGGTCAAAATCGCGTCTAAAGAAGTCAGTCACAAACATACATACAAGTGAAGCTAATATAAAGCGTGAAAAAAGTAAATGTTAAAGTCTATCGAGTAATCATTTCGAAATTGGCACGATGAATTATGAACTACAGGATAGAGATGACGCTAATCAATGTTTCGTTTCTTTTTAGGAGTGGACGTGTAAGATGAATGTGAGTCAATTAAATAAAAAATGATCACAATAAACTCAACTAAACTTAGTTTAACTTAACAGTTCAGACAACCTCATATTTCAAGATTTCAAGGTTAAACACTTTTTTTATGTTTGGGAGATTACTGGCGGCCCTTTCCAGTTTTACCAGGACGGGTGGGCGAACAAGGGCTCAGCCAGGAGGGGTGGGATTTGCTAACAGCTGCCCGAGCGCTTTCAGAGGAGACCTAACCAATCAAGAGTAGCTGCTTCGCGAATGAATCTACTACCGGATCGGAATTGCTAAGAAGATCCTGCGAGAAACCCAGAGGGCTGATGTTTAGGTTAGGTTGCACGTGTGCGGTACCCGGGGTCCCTAAGCCTGCTCCTAGTGTTAGAGCTGAAGGCGTCTAATGTAAAGGTTATTGGATCTGATGGATCCGTAAGGACGTTTTATTTTTTTTATTGCCCTTGTAGGCAGACGAGCATACGGCCCACCTGATGATGATGAGTGGTTACCGTCGCCCATGGACTTCAGCAATGCCAGAGGCAGAGCCAAGCTACTGCCTACAGAATTCAATACGTTAGTGCGAGCTAAACACCTGACAATATCTATATCTAGTTACAAATTCCTGACAAAGGTCCTGCACTTACATCCTTGGCGTTGTCGATGAGTCGTCCCTGCGCCAGGATCTCGTTGTGCAGATGTTTGGCGCGGGACAGCTGCGCCTCCACAGAGCGAGGCTCTCCGCCCACCTGCTCCGACAGCACGCTGCGGACCTGGGGTTCCACCTGACAATAATATATAGTACAGTCAGTGGCGGATTAAAGTTCCAGAGCGTCCTGGGCAATCACTTTATCGGCGCCCCTGTACCGGCCATAAATGGCCATTATAATACTATAAATTTTAACTAGTTGTTTTTGCAATTACGATAACAGTCAATCGTGGACATTAATTTGTTGAGTACGTATTTCATTAGAAAAATTGGTACCCGCCTGAGATTCGAAGACCGGTGCATCGCTCAACACGAATGCACCGGACGTCTTATCCTTTAGGCCGCGACGACTTCGTAATTATGTTATAGCGTAGTCTGAAAGCGGCTTTGAGGTTAGATCTACTTACTGTTGGTAGGACCTTTTACTGGTGGTAGGACCTCTTGTGAGTTCGCGCGGGTGGGTACCACCCCCATGCCTATATCTGCCGTGAAGCAGTAATGCATTTCGGTTTGAAGGGTGGGGCAGCCGTTGTAACTGTACTGAACCTTAGAACTTATATCTCAAGGTGGGTGGCGCACTTACGTTGTAGATGTCTATGGGCTCCAGTAACCACTTAACACCATCTAAGCAATAAAAAAAAAGTGCACATAGCTAATATTGGTTTGACAACGAAGATATGCTATTATATCATAGCGTAGTCTGAAAGCGGCTCAAAGGTTAGATGTATTGTACCTCGTCGAGGAAGCGCTGGGCCCTGGCGAGCGCGTGCGCGTGGTGCGCGGCGCGGTCGCTGGCGGCGCGCAGGCGGTCCTGCAGGCGCTGCGCCCGCGCCGCCAGCTCGCCGTGCGCCCGCCGCGCCGCGCCCGCCGCGCCCCGCACCGCGCCCTCCTCGCCCGCCGGGACGTGCGACAGCCGCGACGGCAGCGACGTGCGGTACTCGTTCAGGATCGACAGGAACTCCTGCATCGTTCAAGGTTTATTCACAACCAATACATCTATAGATCCAAACCAAAACTGATTTAAACCAAAATAATTAAATTATTTAATTTAAATGCCTTAATGGGAAAATGCACGCTCTATATTACTTTGTAATCAACGCTCAATGATTATCAGTGATATCTTGTATGGATCAGCTTGTTGGACCATACGGATTGTTGGAAATGGCGGATGAAAGACGATTGCATGCAGCAGAGATGCGAATGTTGCGATGGATGTGTGGAGTAACGAGAATGGATAGAATACGGAATGAATATGTTAGAGGAAGTCTGAAAGTTGCACCTGTAACAGAGGAGCTGAGAAGTGCGGGGGATGGTGTGGATATGACGAAATGAAAATGTGGTTGGTAAGAGAGTGTTAATTATGAATGTGGAAGAAGAGGAAGAAATAGACCTAAAAAGACAGGCGATATGTGTAAGAGGGGAGTGACTGAAGAAATGGTATGGAAGGGAAAAACATGTTGCGACGACCCCAAGTGACTGGGAAAAGGGTAGGAAAATGATGATGACTCAGTGATTATCACCTACCCTCAAGATTAGATCACTCACCTTGCTCTCGTCGACGAACTTCTGCGCGGCCATTGTGATGAACCTCAGGTCTGCTTGGTGCGCGATGACGTCAGACACGAACTCTCTGATGTCGTCCGTTTGCGAGGAGAGCGTGTCCAGCTTGGACAGAGCCGCCTCCTTGTCTTCCAACGTGCGGTACGCGCCATCCATCCATACGTTAAATGTGTTCAATTCGTTGCTGTTTTGGGAGAAAAATATACATCGTTAAACATTATCGGTTTACTAGTGTCTAATATATTTATGATTTTCTATCTATAATGAGGGCACGACCTTAACTCACATTAAGCGGTAACCGGATGTGTTAATTAAACTGGGTAATTTAATTTTTTTTTTGTTTTTTTTTTTACTGCTTAGATCGGTGGACAAGCTCACGGCCAACCTGGTGTTAAATGGAACCCGGAGCCCATAGACATCTACAGCGTAAATGCGCTACTCACCTTGGACATGAGTTCTAAAGTCTCATTTTTAACTTTACAACGGCTGCCCCGCCCTTCAAACCGAAACGCATAACTGCTTCACGGCAGAAATAGGCAGGGTGGTGGTAACTACCCGTGCAAACTCACAAGACATCTCACCACCACCAGTAAAGTATGGTAATTTAAAAAGATTTTATGATGATTTATTCGTAAATCGTACATGAACTTGGCGAGCTCGTCCCTGGCGGCCGCGAGCCTTCTCAGCATCTTGTCGCACTTGTCGGAGCACTTGTCGCAGCGCTGCTTCAGCTGGCGCACGCCGCGCTCCAGTGCTGCCACCTGGTAACGAAACAAACAACTATTACTCTTGTATTCTTCCCCCTACCTATTCGCTGTGACGAGCTATTCCAGAGCGGACGGATAGATGAGCTCACGGGTTCAAGCTGAACGAATTTACTAACACCAGCCCTAGCTAAGGCACCGGTGACCTACATGGCTGTCAAAAGGGTTAATGTTATCACGAGGTCCAAAAATCAACTACGTAAAAACGAGCATTTATGAACCTCTTTGTTTGTGTTCTAAGCGCATATGTTGGTCTGACCGAGTTGGTATAACTATATTGACACTTCAGAGTGTTTTATCATAGTACCATCCACGAAAAACAGATGGCGTGTGTGTGTTTTTCAATAAAAACGTGCCGTTGATGCAATATTTTACTTAACAAATGATCATCGCTAATTAGAATCAACACTCATTTAAACACAATTTGAAGAACAATAGATCGTGAGTACAAAACAATTGAACAGTGAATCAGGTAATTAGGGTTGTCACCTGTCCGGCTTGCGATCATCCGTGACACTGATTGTGATCACTGAATGTGAAATAACCGAATAACAACGACAGGTGTACGTACAGACAGACGGCCTCGCCTTTATACATTTATAATGTATTATTTTATTCACATCAAAATAAAGTTTAGCCTAGTAAAACTATAGCACAAACTCAGTTGCTCTATAAAGAGAAACAACATTTAAAACTATTGCTTCACTAGTTTTTTATGTTTTTTATATTTATTTTAATATTCAAAAATGTTTTCATATTTCTAATGTTCCTTCTTCTAATGTTTCAATATTCAAATTATTATTTATGTCAGCTTTATAACATGTAAACCTCTTTTAAGATTTATGTCGTAAATCATATAGAGGTTACATATTTATGGTGTTTTTTTTTTATTTAGGTTCTTAAATCAATAGTTTTAGTTTTGATCGAGTATCGAGTCGGCTATAAGATTGGTTTCGCACTTCGACTGCCCCGTGTTACTTAGAAAGTATAGCAGTCAATATAATACCGGAACATAATATAACGCCTCATTGAACAAATGCGAAAGACACAACGAAACGCTTACGGTAAAATGTACCTTGTCTCGTATGCATTACGGTACAAATACAAAAAACCGTTCCGTGTAAAGCATTTATCATCGTAATACTTCTGACATATGCCATTCTAATTTGACCAATCTAAAGTTAGCGTCGAACGAACAGCTTGTCAAAATTATAAATACCTCAATGATTTGTGAATTTTACAAAACCACTTAGTGGCATTGCATTGTAAGTATAACAGCAAGATTTATTCTGGTGAGTAATCAATGTGTGGTTAACATACCTCATGTGGAGCAAGCACGTCGCCTCCGGACACGAGGAGTTGCTTGGCCTGGTCTGCGCAAGCGGATACTTGACGCTGATGACCCTCAAGGTCATCCTTGATCGACTGAAAAACAATACTTTGGTCAGCAATTCGTACTGGTGGTAGGACGTCTTGTGAGTCCGCACTGCTAGGTACCAACGTCCTGCCTATTTCTGTTGTGAAACAGTAATGCGTTTCGGTTTGAAGGGCGGGGCAGCCGTTGTACTATTAAAAGTGAGACCTTACAACTCATGTCACAAGGTGGGGGCGGCATTTACCTTGTAGATTCGTATGGGCTCCAGTAACCACTTAATTTTTGTGTTGCCTTCGAAGCAAGATAAACACACAGCGCTGATGATGCTTGCATCACAGTTACTCAGGGACATAAATACCAAGGTGAGGGTACTTTTCAAAGCCTCCTTTGAATGCACGTCATAGTGCTGAGGAGACGTGTCGTGAAATGGGCAAAGGAATTCTGAGAATGATTTTAAGCACCGGTTAATCAGTTTTTACGAAATTTAAAATTCGAATTTTTGAAGTTATACTTCTTTAGGCGCGTTATGAAAAATTGATGAGAGTGAAATTTTACGATGCGCGCGCACCGCGACACAAAATTAACAGAATGAAGTTGCCCACTAAATCGCTCATTACAATAAGACCGACGTAACTTGGCGAGTCTGAATATAGCCGCAGGTGAACTTTCCGAACCGTACCGAGAATTACCGAATTTATACGATGTCAAGAAAAGGGATGTCCAATATACGTGTTTGAGGATGTTGTTTAATCGATTTTTTTTTAAATTGATTAAAATTTGAATAAAAAAAAAAAAAATTAAAAATAAAGTATAACTTCTTACGCGCGTACATACGTACGCGCACCATTTTTTTATAGAAGGCTTTATTTTTGTGTTCTACACAACTTTAGTTAAAGCATGAGAACGCTCACATATCTAAAGTAATTAAAACAAACAATATTTTTCTGTGCCTACCTTCAATGTATTTATCTGGTTACGTAGTTCATCGATATCTTCCTTTACTGCCTCTTGGTTGGCTAATCGGTCTTCGACATTGCCGATCCATTCGAGCAATTTCGACAGGGTGTCGTCGCAAAGCCTATATTTCTCTTCTACTGCTTGCTACATTGAAAATATTAACTGATTAGTTTAAAAACCTTTATTACATACATCGCCTAAAAGAATCGTTTTGAATGTTGCGACACCGATTTTATTTATAATGAAACGTGGTTATTCAGCTCAGCCGATGTTTTTTTTGTTTCCTAATGAAATAGGTTTTTTTTTATACGCGCCTTAAATCATTTCTGTAACGTTTTTGAATTAAATTTTAAAGAGATTATGTTGAGCCACGGCGAATTCTTTGTCTCAGTTTTCAGCGTTATTTTTTACGTCAAAATCGTGTCGTAACATTCGAAAAGAAACCTTAACTAGATCTCATTACGAGTGCTTTTCACATCTACTCTGCAATTTTACAATGCTTCTACCAATATACATCTGTGCATTACTTTCCGTCAACAAAACAGACCGCATTCTTGTAACCCCCCTTTACTTTTGGGCAATATGTAAATTTTCATGCAAATATTTGAAATTTCTGTATGTAAATAAATAAGAAACCCGAAAAAATATTTACATTTACATAATCCAAAGCCAATTCGCGTGATATTTTACAGAATATACACGATGAGGTCTGATTATATTCGCAGACTAATAGACAATAGAGTGCACTTAGAACTGTGAACGCATTACTAAATTCGATGAGACATTTTTATAAAATTAATTACAAATACATATTCGTAAAGAATATCAATGTTCAACCAAAACAATTTGTATATATATTGATATTCCTTTGAATACAATGGTACATGGCCGTAAAGAAAGACAAGTAATACAAATCTTGCCTTAGTTTACGGGAAAATGCCTGAAAAGGAAGCCTAAAAGATCATAAAGGGACTACGCAAAGATAAAGCAAAGATAGAACGAACGATTCCAAAAGACCAAGACACCTTTGACAGCGGGAAAAACAAGTGAGGTGACGAACACACAACAGTCAGTGGCTGCGTCGGAACACAAATAAAAATGCTTAAAGCGCAACATGCAAGCGTGTGAAATTTAACACAACCCATTTAACGTACGGTATTAACATTTTTCTTATCAACTAACCTCTGATTAGAGCAAATAAGTTAAGTTTAATAATAATAAAAATACAAGAACAATAATACCTGTCACGTAAATCTGAAACTATTAAAAAATTTATGTGAAGGATTTTAATTAGATCGTAGCGATCGAGGTAAAAAATTTTAAGAGACGCCACACAAAATTTTCGTTTGGATCATCGCAAAATGTATATTTAAACGAAAGATTTACTAAAATATTGTCTGCAATCAGATTTAATTTCATCAATACTTAATAATATTTAAAATGAATTCAGTATGCTACTTCAAAACGTTGTTTCACATTTTGTTTGATGAGGCCATTTTTAATGTACCAATTTTTGTGTTTGATGATATTAAATCTTTCTGTAACGATCGAAACGTAAATCAATAAATACTACCTTCAGTATTTCTATATGTTGCAAATGTTTTACCATTTCATGTTATTGTGAATGTTTGAGACGCGAGTGCCCGCCTTTAACATCACGATAGCATAGCGCTGGTCATGCATTCCAATTGTGAGCACGGATCCAAGGAATGAGTATATGGAGCACTATATTTTTAAGGACAAAACCAGTTGTCATATTATACTGGCTTTGAAATGATTAAGCGAACATAATAGAAAGCGAAAAAAAGCTGACGGTGCCGCGACATCGGCGTCAGCCTTTTTCGGATCTTAGCACAAAGTGATTATGGGGGTTAGGTATTTGGCGAGACGATGATGGTTCGCTATATCGTCGTTAATATGATCCCTCACAGGCAAGCATTCACGTTTTAGCTCAAAAGGGGTTCTTTAGCATCGCAGGCAACGGCTGGAAATAAAAAACAACATACATCGAGCCTTACCGGTGTAAGCACACCTCAGTTGCCAGTTTTTCCTACAGGAAAAATTGGCAGTCTTACGTATTGGCGCTATTACCTAAATAATTAAGCATCTAATGACATCACAAGAGGCATCGAAATTAAACAATTTTGATTTAATCTAAAAGCTTCAATTTCATCTAAAGTAAAAGCTAACGTAGCTTACAATAAACTTACTGTGCGAGTAAAAAGTGCTTCTTGCACGCAAACGATTTTTTTTATTTATTTTAGTTTGACATGTAAAAAATACGTAAATAATTATCCCCCAATTCGTTCAAAAAGGAAAACCATTATAATCGAATTAATCCCCATCGAATTAATCGACACTATAAGTTTTGTGAGTGTCGTGCCATGCTAATGTTTAAGCCAAACGCTTTAGAGTAAGAATCACCTCGTAAGAACGGAAACAGGAAATGTAAAGCAACACCTTCGCTTGATAAAAGCACAACGATAAAAAACATTAAAAGACTTACCCTCGTTTCTGCTGGCAGCAAATATCCCTTCTTTAGGGCTTTGACTAAATCAAGACTGATTCCTTTCTTTGCATCAATCGTGAGTCTGCCTTCAACGGGATCAACCAACCTTTGTTCTATAGCTTGAACCAATGGCAATATCTTTCCGGTCTCCGGTTCCTTGACAACTGTGCTTGACGGGTCAACGATTCCTTGTTGGATCGCTTCGTCTAAATTAAGCCTCTTTCTATCGATAACGCTGGTAGTAATGAATGGATCGTTCAAGGCACCGGTAGTAGGATTGTAGATACCGAAATTTAGAGTTTCGATTAAGGTGAAGCTCTTCTTTGGCGTCATGAGTAGACCGCTTTCGATTGCAGCAGATAATGTATTAAGTTTTGAGGTCTCAGTGTCTAATATATTGCCTTTTTCAGCGTCCATGAAACCCTTACGGAAAGCTTCCGGAAGTTTAGTTAGCCTTTTTTTGAGATTATCTTTGATGAGCGCTGTGTCTGCATCAATATACCCAAGTGTGGTTGCGTCTTTAATCGTGAGCACTTCGTTGGAGGATGGATCGGTAAATCGAGCGGTACTAACGTTAAGGTAACCCTTTTCGAGCGCTTGTTCGAACGTAAGAGGCTCTCTTACGTACACAATTAAACCGTTTTCAAAAACGAAACAAAGCGTGCGCGACCTATTCTGAGTATCGAAAGATCCCTTCGCATTTTTGTCAATAATACCCTCAGTAATAGCTAGGTTAAGTGGAATGTATTTATTCTTATGGGGATCTTTTATGACGGCCGTTTCTGGATCAATAAATTCATACTTGATAGCTTCATCAAGAGAAAATTCCCTAAGCATGGGTTGTTTATAGGCCGCACTATCTGACACGAATTTTCTAGATATTGTTTGAGAAGTAATTGGCTGTATAACAGTCACGAGCAAACCCTTATCGAACGCAGTGTCAATGCTAAATGTTTTCTTTGCTTTTGTATCTAGTACCCTGCCTTTTGCAACATCAACATCACCTTGTTGAATAGCCAATAAAAGCGGTTTGTATTTATTCGTAAAGCTATCTTTAACAACTGTAAGTTCCGGATTGAGGAGACCAATGTCGATAGCTTTATTTATATCGATGAATTCGTTTGTGCATGGATCAACGATTTTGCCGTTATCCGCTCTAAATAAGCCGTTTCTAATTATTTCTTCTAGGCTAAGATTTTTCTTTGTCGTTACAACAAGACCGCGATGTTTAGCATCTAACAAATTGATTTGATTGCCGTTAGGTAGAACGTAAATATTGTTTTCATCGTCTACTATACCGCTTTCGATGGCTTCAGTCAATTTAATATATTTGCTAGACGGTATATGTTTAACCAAGGAAGTTTCAGGATTTATGAGCTCTTCAGCTATTGCTAAATTAAGTGTTATTTTACGTTCCGTTACCGGATGAATAAATATTAATTCTGTTATGTTATACATGTTCATGGCTAATGTGTCGTACAAAGTGAAGCCAGCACTTTCAATATCCACGATTAATCCTAGACTCATGGCTTCAGATAAGGGTATCTGGACATCGGAACCTGGTTCGTGGAACTTGCCACTTCTCCTATCAATAATTTCGTTACGGCAACACTCTCCAAGAGACAAAGGTTTTTCAGACTTTTTGTCGAAGTAGCATAGATACTTCGGACTAATGACTGACCTCCTAATAGCTTCATGAAGAGTAATTTTACGATTACTAGTTGGATCAATAAATTTACCGGTCGCATCATCGTAAAGTCCTTGATGCAATGCTCTTTGCAAGCTTATTGGTGCTTTACTATCAACAAGGAGACCGATTTCAAATGCTTTGCGTAAAGAAATTTCTTCATTGTCATTATTTATATTTCTGATCTTACCACTTTGATCATCTATGACTCCTGTTTCTAAGGACTCTGGTAATGACAACTTGTCCCATTTACCTAATCTATTGTCTTGAATGTGCACTGAATGAGGATCGATCAAATGAAGTTTAATTGCTTCAGTAAGAGTGTACTTTTTACCAGTTTGTGGATCCATAAACAGTCCAGATATTTCATTATAAACACCCTTTTCAATAGCTTCAACGAGCGATAAAGGTTTACGAACTTCAACTAAAACCCCCCTTTCAAAAGCTTCACGGAAGTCAATTTTTTCATCGCCTACAAATATAGTACCTGTTCTGCTATCTACAATACCTCTGTCTACTGCGAATTCAAACGGAATTACTTTACCAGCAAAGTGTACCAAAGTTGACTGAGGATCTATCATTCGTTTCCTTATTGCCCTATCAGTGGGCACTTTCTCTTTACTTTGAGGATGTGAAAATTTACCAGTTTTTGGATCGTAGAAACCCTTAAATACTGCTTCTGGCAAACTTAATTTTCGTTTGGCGGGTACAATTAAACCACGTTCAGCGGCATCTGTAAGGGATATTTTATCCCCGTGAACCGGATCTCTAACCCTACCTTCTTTAGAGTCAATTATTCCTACTTTGATAGCGTCTGACAATGAAATAATTTCCCCCGTTATTGCATTTCTTACAGTCAAAGCTTCTGGATTTATATTACCAATTTTGATAGCGTCTTCTAAAGTCATTGTAACATTATTAATTGTCAAAAGACCCGTTCCAGGATCGTAAAATCCTTGTACGAGACCTTCTTGTAATGTCCATGGTTTTTTATCGCTAAGAAGATAACCCTTATCACACGCATCTTTAAGGTTCATAACTGGTGACGTGATTATTCCTTGTTCAAGATCTATCAGGCCAGACTGTACAGCTTTATCGAACGATACAACTGCCTCTGACTTATCATCTTTAATTTGTATCTCGGTAGGATCTACAAGTTTCTCGTGAATAGCTTTCTTCAGTGTTATAATTTTACCCGATATCGGATTTAGAATTTGTCCATTTTCAGGTGTATAGTAACCTAATTCGATGATATCGAACAAAGTGAAAGTAACAGATTTAGTAGCAACCAATCCTTTATTTAATGCATCGTCTAATGGAATGTATTTACCAGTCTTTTTGTCTTTTAATTTCCCTGTTATTGGATCAACGAGTTTTACATCAAGAGCATCTCCTAATGGTAGGAATTTATCGGTTCCCGTATCTTTTACTTCAGATATTGTTGGATGAACTATGTTCCTATCTACCGCGTCGCGTACAGTAATTAATTGATCAGTCAAAATATCCTTAACTTTTCCCGTTTTGGAATCATACATTTGGCTCTTTATAATTGCTTCAATAGAAACAGCCCGTCGGATGATAGTAATCAAACCGCGTTGGATAGCAACAGATATTTCAATGATTTCTTGCGTCTCAATAATAGTGATAACCCCGTCGTGAATTTCGAGTATACCACGCTCTATTGCGTCTGAGAGAGTTACTAATTCATTAGTTCGCGGTACGGTGATTAACAAAGACTCATGATCTATCAAGCCTTTTTGCACCGCTTCACCTATAGGCACTAAGGCACCAGTATTAACATCTTTTATTACACCTGTCTGAGCATTATATAGTCCTTGTTCTAGCGCGGATTCAATTGTGACCTGTTCCGTTATTGAAACATCATCAGGTTTCTCTACAATCCATCGCAATTGAACGCATTCTAAGAAGGGCACGCGTTTACCGGTTTTCGGATTGACCATGTGACCTGTGGTTTTATCAATTATAGGTCTAGCGATAGCTTCATCAAATGAAATGTAATCGTCCGATTTAGAACTTAAATCTTTAACTAATATAGCCTCGGGATCGAATATTTGTAAGCTATAAACCAACTCTTCAAAGGATATCTTAGCCCCTGTTTCAGGATTTAAGAAAATACCTTTCTCAATATCATATACGCCCATTTCTGATAATTCTTCTGGGGTTAATCTTTGAGATATAGCGACACAGTAAGCGGGTTTGGTCTCTTTCAACACTACACAATTTTTAGACAGTACATCAACCTGTACAAATCGGCTTATCTGTTCCTGTTCAAGAGAGTCTTGAACAGTAAGTGGAGATTCAACGCCGTTTATGATAATCCTACAAATTTTAGGCTCCACTTTACCTTGAGCAATAGCATCGATGAGCGTTACGTTTTCATATAATGGTTTAACAGGAGTCTGTTTCTCTTTCGTTACATTTTGTTCAGTTATTTCATCAATTACCCTTAAGGGTTGTCGTTCGGCATCAATCAACATGGCAGATACGGTCTTACCGTCCTTAACAACTGTCTGAATTGGACCTTCGAACTCTGAGACTTTTTGTTCTATAGAAATGGTCGGTTCATATTCAATTTTTTTACTTGTTATTATTTCTCCAGCCCTGGTTGTAGTTTTAGTTATTACTTGGTGTTGTACAATCTGTTCGGTGACTGTTATATCAAAATCCTTAAGACGTTGCAGAAGCATCAAATCTTCAGGATTGTTAGATTTTAACACTTCGTTATATTTTATATATGTGTCTTTATCTATAACACCTCTATTTAAAGATTCCTCCAAAGACATATTTTCACCTGTTTGTGGATCTTTAATGAGAATGGTTTTAATAACTTTAGTTTCATGTGATACTTGTTGGTGATCTGCATTATCTTTAAGCTTCTCATAACTCTCAGAGTCAATGACACCCTGTTTTAAAGCGTCTTCTAATAGTAACTTCTCGTTTGTTTTAGGATCAATAACATATACATCTCTGACATCGTACGACTTAGAAGAATCTTCATATGTTTCATAAGTATCAGAGTCAATTATACCTTGTTCAAGTGCCTCGTCTAATTTCAATTTCTTACCAGATTTAGGATCTTCAATAAGGAATGATTTTGTTTCTGAAGTTTTTGATACAACTATATTTTGTGGACTATAAGATTTGGCAGTATCTTGTAATGTGTCATACTCCTTTTGGTTAACTAAACCACGGTTAAGGGCTTCCTCTAAAGTTACTTGTTCACCGGTTTTAGGATCTACAATGACCGTTTTGACGATGTCAGTTACGGTCATAGTACCTTGTCGTATAATCAAAGAAGATTCGTCAATCGAACTTGGCTGCAAAATTTCCCTTTTAGGACTAGTTTCTGTTGAAGAAACTAATCCTTCAGTATTTGCAATTTGCCCAGATTTTTTGTACTCTTCATAAACATCGGGTTCAACAAGTCCACGCTGATAAGCATCATCTATGGATAATTTTTCGCCTGATTTCGGATCGACGACTACTACTGTTTTGATATATTCAGTAACCTGAGAAGTAGTAATATCTTGACAAGTATTACTTTTTATAACCTCTTCATATTTGCCATAAGCCTGTGAGTCAATTAAGCCGCGTTGACGAGCTTGATCTATAGGTAATTTTTCTCCAGTTTTAGGATCAACTACGACTGCATTTTTAACAATTTCAATTACTTTAGATGCTGCGTAAATAGGTGCACCCACAACGGCTACAAGCCCCAACTTCGCTGCATCTGCGAAACTAATTTTTTTCCCTGTTGTGTCTTTCACTTTGCCAGTTTTTTCGTCGACAACACCTTTTTTAATAGCTTCTGGGAGTGAAATCTGAACACCTGTTTTCGGATCTACAACTTTAACATTCTGAGATGGAACGACACCTTTATTTACAGCTTCTAACAAATCTCCAGACACTCCAATAGCTTCTGAAATAACCAAAGATGTTTTAGGATCAAAAATAACACCCTCGGTCACTTCGATAATTTTGGGAGGTTCAGCTATTTTTGTTTCTACTTCGGGTGATTTCTGTTTTATATAAGCTTCATCAATAGGTTTAGACTTGATTATGTCTTTGGGAGATACATCTTCAGTTGTTATTTCATAACGATCTTTAGAAACATCCGTAGTATATTCTTTATCAAGCACTTGTGAAGATTGGCAAGGTTCACTATCAATTTCTTCAATAGTGACCTCAGATTCGTAATCTTCAGGACTGATCTTGTATGAAGATGCACTTTGAGTGACCTCTATTGTTGTCACAGTTGATGTCTTAGTAGCTGTTATTGTGCTAGTCGTCTGTAATGAAGACTTGGATGGATCTGTTTTTGTAATTGTAGTTTTTGTAATTCTTGTTCCGTCATCTCTTGGGGTTGACTGCTCAGGATTTTGTTTCGCCGTATCTTCGTCATTTAATTCATGACTATCTTTTTGTTTCACTATATCCATTTCTTGTCCTGAAATTGGTTTGTCATGCTTGGGGGCTTGTTTAATATGTTCTGTAGTTAATTTCTCGGTTACTGTCATTTGCGTTTTCTCATTTTCAGGTTTAGTACCGTATTTGACCTTTTGACATGTTTCAACAACTTCTTTGAGTTCAATAATATTTTTTTCTAACACTTTAGATGATTCAAGAACTTGCTCTTCGTGCTTGATACTAGTTTTACTTGGCACTGAGGTAGCTATCTGATGTTCAGGCTTCGTAGTTATTGATGATGGTTGGTTGGCAGAAGTTATAACCTGTTTTTCCGCTGATGATGCTACGGCAGTTTCAGTTTCAATCTCCCTTTTTTCTGTAGGAGTAATTTCCGCTTTTAGTTTTTCTTTATCTTTCTTAGAATCCTCGGACATGCTAGGCCGCGACGGAATATCCTTAACACTTACTTTAGCATCTTTCACTTTTGGTTCTACTTCAATACTACGTTGAATTACTTTTTTAGGCTCTGTAACCTTGTCAACAGTCGCTTTATCAGCGGACACAATTCTACTTGGTTCCTCAAACACTTTGTCTTGCTTTGATTGCATCAATTTACTTTTCACCGCTTGAGCTCCCTGTACTACTGCCATACCAGCGAGTACAGGAGCTGCGACCACAGCGACTAGCCCAATTTTTGCAGCTTTCTTTATATCTACCAATTTACCTGTTTTAGGTTCTTTTAATTGTCCTGTTTTGATGTCAACAAGCCCTATTTTTACAGCTTCTTGTAAAGTAACTGGTTTAGCAGCCTCTACATTGTATATTACAGATTCAGGATCTATAATTTTCTTAGCAAGAGCATCTTTGAATGATATTAGTTTGTGAGGTGATTTGGGATCCTTGAATTTTTGCGTTCTTTCATCAAACAGAAGTTCAAATGCTTCATTTAGATCTAGCATTTCTAACTCTTTTTTCTTCAGAGAAGGCTCACTAGAATCTGGCTTAATTTCTGTAGTTAATACTCCCGAAGTAACTGCATCTGGTATTGATAGAGTTTCGCCAGTATTAGGATGAGTGAAAGTGCCGGTTTCAATGTTGATATAGCCGTGACTTAGCGCATCTTCAAAATTAATATTGGTATCAGATGTAATAAACTGTTCCTTACTGGTTTGTTCATCTCTCACAATACCTTTAAGACGAGCTTCATCTATAGTCATGATTTCACCGGTTCTAGTGTTTTTTATTTCATTCGCATTGATTAATACATAATCAGCGAGAAGTTCAATCATTTTTGTTGTGATGGTATGCTGCGATGTAAATGTTTCAGTAATAGTAGTTACCACACCGCTTGTTTCCATAGCTATTGGGTTCGTTTTAATGGCCAATAGTCCTTGTTCCAAAGCTTTGTCAATTGGAAGTATTTCCTTAGTATCTGGATTAATGAAGATACCCTGTTTAAGATTTATAGCACCTTTTTCTAAAGCATCCTCTAAAATAATAGTATCAGACGTTTGAGGGTAAGGTATTGCCATAATCAAGTCTCTGTTAATAGCATCAGTAAGTGAAATTAATTCACCAGTAAGTGGGTGTTTTATTTCCCCTGTATGAGGATTTATTAAATTCTTTTTAATAGCAACATTAAGAGTCATTGCTGCAGGAGGTATTGTTTCATCTTTTTTAATAACTTGGACATCAGAGAAGACTTGAGCGTTGACAGCGGTTAATAAATCCATGGAACCATCATTAGTTTTAATTAAATTTTTACTATCATCTATCATATTTCTGGTAATAGCATCGGTTAAGGTTATTTTCTTTCCCAGTGCTATAGATACACTTGACAATGGATCTACGATATCACAAATTAAAGCTTCTCTAAGTGTCAAAAGGCTACCTGTCTCGGGATGTATAATCTTACCTGTTACTGGATCGAGTAACCCTTGTTCAAGAACTTCGGGAATAGTTAAACTTCTTGCAAGCGGTATCAGAACTTCATCTTGACCTTCACCGTCTAAGATTCCTCTATTTATCGCTACTTTAATCGTTAAAGTATCACCATGTACTGGATCTACTAATTTACCGTCGTTTTCATCAACTAACCCGATATCAATCGCTTTTTTTAGATTAATAGGAAGGCCGTTCTCATCTTTATAAGCTTTAACCGACTCTAAAATATTTGCTGTATCTTTATCGACTAAGGCTTTCTCGACAGCTTCCATAGGTGTTACTACACGTTTTCTTAATTTTTGAAGAATAACGGGCTTAGACTCTATCGGGATATCAGGAGTGTTTTCTCTAACAGCAGCGACTTTGTATTTGGGTTTTAAATTAGCTTTAATAATTTGAATTACTTCAGGCGGCTTGTCTTTTTTGTCTAATGCCTGTGTTGTTATCACTCGCCTGTTATCAGCAGATAGACTATTTTGAATTGATTCTACTGTAATGAATCCTTCAGAAACAGCTGCACCTACTGATATTGGTTTTGTGGTCGAATGTGAAACAGTAACTGTTTTACTATTCGATATATTTATGGGTTCAGTCTCAAAGTTCTGAGGTGCTTGGCTGAAAGTTACTTTGCTAGTACTAGGTGACTTAATATCATGATAAGTAATGGAACCTGGTTTTTGATCACTAACCGACAATACGTATTTTTTGTATGAAACGGGATCTATTAGGCCTCTTCCATAAGCTACATCAAGTGGTAATCTTTCCCCGGTATTTGGGTCAACCACCACTGTAACAGTAGCGGCTCCCTCCGGTGATGTCTTTGTTGTTTGAGTAACCGTGATTGTCTCTGTTTTTGTTGTATGTTCGCTTCTTGGTTTGTCGCTTTCTAACGTCCTATCTCTAATTTCTTCTTCATAGCGCTTATACGTATCAGGGTCAACTAAGCCCCTTTCATATGCTACCTCCATCGGTAATTTTTCTCCCGTTTGTGGATCAACTACCATAGTACTCCTTACAACCTGAATAACTTTAGAAGCCGCAACTAAAGGTGCACCTACAACAGCTATCAAACCTACCTTAGCAGCATCTGCTAGAGTAAATTTATTTCCTGAGTTATCTATGTAATCCCCTGTTTTTCTATCAATAATACGTTTAGCAATGGCTTGCTGCAATGTTATGAATTTCCTAGTCTGAGGTTCAATGACTTTAACAGTGTCAGGAGCGACAGTACCATTATAAGCAGCTTCTATTATATTCTCTGAAACTCCAGAAGGAGTAGATATGACTAAAGCTGTGGCAGGATCAAATATAACCCCAGGTGCTACCTGTACTGGTTCTAAAGCCACTTGTTCCTCTATTTCGAGGTCACGTGGATACGTGGTCACGTCTGATATTTCCGAAATTTCCATTTTATCTGGCATACCGGCTACCGATGTAATCGTTATAACTTTTTGAGATGACACCGATTGAGTTAGGTGAATAAATACAATATATTTACTTTCTATTGCTTGTAACATTGTAATAGTTTCAGTGATATATTTATAACGACCGACATGATCAATTAAACGTAATTCGAGTGCTTTATCTAATGGCATTTCTTTACGAGTTTTGGGATCAATGACTTTTGCGGATTCAGGATTAATTAGGTTTAATTTAAGGGCTTCTTCAAGGTCTAAAACTCTGTCAGTGCCAGGAATAACGAACATACCCGTAGTAGGGTCGAAAAAGTTAAGATGTATAGCTTCATTTAAAGTCCACCCTCCTCTCGGCAATTCAATGGTGTTTTTCTTAATGGTCATTGAGGTTACCGAAGGTTCAGTGACAACAGATTTTGAAGTAACCGTCCTAATTTCTTGGACTACACTTTCACGCGGTTGACTAACCTCACGAACTGTGTATTCAGGGCTTTTTAATGTTTCTGGTCGACTATCGCGCTCAACCTTACTTTCGGGACTAGAAGGTAGATCTTTAATAAACGACTTTTTCGTTATTTTCAATTCTACTACTTGTCCCGGTACTAAATCTTTTTTAGCTACTCGATCGGATATGTGAACGACACGTGGTTCGTTCTTTTCAACCCCTAATAAGCCTTCGTCCAAAGCTTGCTGTATTGGCATCACGGTGCCCGTGGTTGGGTCGGTAAAGGTCTGAGTGTTTTCATCGATAAGTCCCCGTCTAATAGCTTCAGCAAATGTGATTAAAGTTTCAGTACGTTGAGTTGAAGTCGTATTAGTCACCGTCACATAGCGTTTAACTGTTTTAGTAACTGTTTGCAAAGTAAGAGTGATATTTAACAAAGAATTCAAAAGTGCCGCACCTTCGGGCGTTATCATATTGATCTCTACAGCTTTATTGAAAGGAATAGGTTTTTTAGTGGTCGCTTCCAGTAAATGCCCCGATTTAGGATCAAGAATATTTTTGAAAACAGCATCTAAAACGCTAAGTTCCTTACCGTTCTCGTAAACACCTATCTTTCTGTTGAACATTTCTAAAACTTCAGGTCGAACTATAGACACTTTAGTGCAGTCTTCTAGAAAGACGAAATCCCCACTTTCTGCTTTCAAGAAAGTTTCACCATTCACATATTTTAAGTTGCCTTTACTTAAAGCAGCATTGAACGATACGAATTCACCTGATTTCGGATCTCTGAAACCGTCAATATCGAAAATGGATCTTTGCGAAACAGAAGTAATAAGACCGCGGTCGACTGCTTCCGGTATAGTACATATCTCATCGGTCAGATTATCCCTAAACTTATTATCCGGAAGAATTATTTTGGCTCCTATCGCCTCCGATAAAGTAAGTAGCTGACCTGTAGTTGTATCTGTTACACATTTAACATTGTCGCTGTCGAGAATACCGACCGATATAGCTTCTAATATATTCAATGGGACTCTGTTGGATAGGGATAATATTTTACCATCGTTAGTCATCAAATTGTTATCGCAAACGTCTTTAAGGGTCATAGGTTTACAAATGTAACGTTTATACGCCGCTTCCTTGAAACTAAGCTTCTCTTTTGTAACATTGTGCACGTATTTAGAATGTTTAGTGTTAATTATATTCTTCTCGATAGATTCAGAAAGAGTTATTTTTGTGTCGTTTTTAGGATCAAGAATTTCCCTAACGTTAGGGTTGATTAATTCATTTTGTATAGCAACGTCTATTTGGAATTTGTCGCCCGAATTCCTATCCAAGATCCAACCGTTGTTATCTACTAAGTCTTGACTTATCGCGTCCGACAGACACAGCGCGCTCGATTTGATTTTGATAATCTCGTTGTATATAAGGTACCCTCTTTGATAGGCTTCGGCGATAGAAATGTAGCTTCCATTGGGTAATCTATAGAGACCTTTGTCAAGGTCGACTTGTCCTCGACTGACCGCGTCCGAGATACTCATTCCTTGGGTTCCGGGCCCTTCGCCCTGTACAGTTACCTTGATCCTTTTTTCTGCTGGATCAGACAATCCT